TGGGCTTCGCGGCGTCAGCTTCCACAGCCTTGACAGCAGGAGCCTGGGTCTCCTCAGGCTTGGCCTCCTCCGCGGCAGCAGCCTTCTCCTCCTCGGCGGGGGCGGCGGCAGCAGCAGCCTCGGTGGACTCGGCCTCCTCCTCCTTGATGTACCGGAAGATGTCGTTCAGAACAAAGTAGCCAGACTGCTGCTCGGCAAGAACAAAAGTCTGGACGAATTTCCGCGAGTCCTCGGACTTGTTGGAGATCTCACCAATGACCTGGATGAGGATGTTCTCGAGGGAGGCCTGGGAGTCGACGTTGGAGACGCGGACCTTGCAGTCCTGGAAGTCGAGCTTGGCGATGCGCTCCTGGATGTCCTGGCGGCCGACGGAGATGTCGGCGACCTCGGTCTCGGTGCCGTAGACAAGCTGGGATTTCTTGCCATAGAAGAGCTGTAGACGCGAAATAATGCAACGGGTCAGCAAGCAATAAAAGGCAGTAGAACAGAAGCAGATGGAGGTGTATACTGACATGCAGGCGGTTGGGGTTCTTGCTGAGGGTGGTGTAGTACTGCTCGACAAAGTACCAGCCGACCTCGTCCTTGGACAGGCCCCTGCGATCCTGTTAGCTCAACGCGTCTCACGATGCCCGTGGGGAAGCCGCAGCTTGTTGATGGACCACTTACTCGTTGTGGTTGGTCCCGTTTGTAGCCATTGTGTATGACAGATGTGATGTAGATGTGAGGTGGCCGAAGGCGGGAAACACGAAAGCTTCTGGATGGACAAGCTGGGTCGGCTAGAGTTTGGCAAGATGGCTTGGCGAGTGTGCAGCGTGCAACGATGGGAGGGCGGCTGTCGACGTGAGGCAACGAAGGCGATGGCTTAGTGGAAGATGATCTCAAAAGAAAGAGATGGAGGACGTTCGGCAACAAAAGACACCGGTTGGGCGATGGACCAAGACGAGATCCAAACGATAACGATAACGGTAGGAGAGGGAAAGCAAACAAAAGAGCCGAGGAGGGTGAGAACCGGCAACTATGGTGAAAGCACAGAAAGGAGGGATTGCGAAACGAAAATAAGAAAAAAGAAAAGGAGACCGGGAGAGAGTCTGGAGCTGTGTCTGGGGTTGATGGGTAGCAAAGGGTGGATTGTCCGATGAAGGAGGAGATTCGATCGGCTTCGAGAGGTTGATGAATGGAGATGTGAGGGGAGGGAAACGAGAGGGGGGTGATGGTTGCACGGTTGGCGTTGTGAAGTAATGCGAGGTTGACGTTGGCTGTCAAGTTGTGTGCAGGCGACGAGAAAAAAATATTGTCACTAGAAAGACGAAAAGACGCACGAGGGGAGCAGCTAAGAAAAGTGGATCCTGGGTCCGCGAGGAAGGAGACAGAATCGCTGTGCGGCAGGCGCGACTGGGAAAAAGTGGAACCGGGGTTTTCTGCTTGTCGACTGTGGACCTGCAGCCAGGCCCCCAAACTGTCGACGTGTGCCGCTGGAGCTAGCTGCACGTCAGTGCCTGTGTTCAGACGTTCTTTCAGCCTCACCAACTCTGCCATGAGGCTGATGTAGCAGAGAGGCGTTTGGCAAGTGAATGTGCATGGCACAAGAAGTACGACAAACCAAGCCGCCCGGATGGAAACCATCACGTGACTATTGTTGATAGTTATATGAGGCTCTCCAGACGGTCAATCGCGCTTGCAGTCCGGCCGTGGAAGCATGGTACGGGGCGTGTCAGTGGACTGGCACAAGGCGGTTATATACGGAGCATCACGGGACGTGTAAGAATAGCACATGACTAATCACGTGAAGATGTCGTCTCAGACCGCGTCGGCGCCCGGACACACACTACGCCGATAGGAAGGCGGCCACGCGGCTGGCCATCCTTCGCAGCTCAAGACATAATACGAACTAGCTCGTGTTTGTGGGAAGAATGCGCAGCTGAAGCATCAATGTGACGCTTCATTCTTTCGCTTTTTCTTTTCTTTTTTTCTTTTGTCTTTTTTTTCCTTTTCAGAGGCTGGCGAGGACGCCAGTAGGGTGACTGTGTTCTTTCGTGTGTGAAAATGGACCAGCAACAGGGACGCCGCTGCAATTGATATGCCAAACAAAACCAACGGCGTGAGGTTGCGTTCTCATTTAGAGAATACTCGACCGATGAAGCAGTGACATCGGGCGGACAAATTATTGCTGCGAATGACGGAAAGGAGGAAGAGTTGAACACCAACGTTCTGGGCACAACCGCATTAAAGTCTTCGTAGGCAAGAAGAGATACGGCGATTTTATCACAATCAGCTCCGATGGCCGAAATCGCCAGACTTTGCCGCCTTTTCAAAAGCAAGAAAACGTGGCACGGAACAGAGCCGACGTTATTTTGGATCGGCGTCTGCGCATCTGGACGCGTATGCCCGTCTAATTGTTTGCTTATCGGGCGTAAGCGTATGGTGTCGTATCTCCTTTGTCTAATTTGCAGTTTTTATTTTTACTTTTTATTTGTTTCTGATGACGTTATTGTTGCAGTTCGGTATTGGGGCTTAGCTTTTCGGGCGTCACAGACAGCATCGGTTACTAGGCCAATAATGCCGTCAGTATGAAACGATGCTTTTAAGCTTTCAATCTAATCTGTCAAGTTCCTGACGCGTGGGAAAAACTGGAAAAGGTTGTGCTCGTTGATGACGGCGCTTCGTCAAAGTGTCTTAAAAGGTGCATACTATTTTGGTTCAGTCGGTTCTTATTTGCCCGTATTTCCACGAGGAATGGAAAAACAACTGCAATGAAAATAAAAATAGGACGAACAGAATGTCGACCAGGATGCTCAAAGAAAACATACCAAGCGGTCCTTGTCTGGCTGGTTACTCTGTAATTCGTAGACGCCATCTCTCAATCTCATCATCAACTGTCCCTCGCATATTGTAACCTGAAATAATCTTAGTGGCTTGGCTTTGCTGTCACTCACTACGGATTCTTCTTTTCCTCCGTCTTCTTCTTCTTCCTCGTTGTTTTGTCTTTCTTTCTAGTTTTCTCTTTTCGTCAGCTCCTGAATAACCTTAAACCGGGAACTGGTTAGACGCTGGGGCTGGCTGGTACTGTCGTTTCAGGGCACCAGCATGACTGGACACCTTGCTGCGCCCGAAATTACGAAGTAACAGGACGCATAAGCCGGTGGGTTTTGTCCGATGCTCCGTTCATTGTTGTCAGCTGCCTAACCCGTATATAACTGTGTTTGCGCCGTGGCCCGTTCCCCTTTTTGATGTTTTATTCCCGAGTATCGTCAACATCGATGCCGCGTCCTGTATTCGCCGGATAACAGCCGGTTTTGTTCTCCTTTTCTGTTGTTTGCATTCTGATTTGTTTTATTTGTTTATTTACTCCGTTTCTGACCCTCTTGTACGCCTCTATTTTCCTTTGTTATCAGTTGGTTTTTTACAATTTCCTCGACCTCGATTCGACACCTATTTCTTCGTCCTTGCCGACCTCCCTGCTTCGTCTGCCACCATGTCGCCCTCGCTCACAAACTACTACCCTTTTTTTGAACCGTCTCCTGCGGCGGCGGGAGTCACGTGTGGCCTTTTCGCCATCGGGTTCCTCGTATCGACGTATCAGACCATTCGGCTCAAATCGTGGATCTGGTTTGTGATGCTTCTCGCAATCCTCAGTGAGTCGTTCCTTCTTGTTCAAGCACTGCATTCGTAGCCCAATTGCACTTTACGCCGCCCGCTGCCTCTCTTTCCCTCGGCATACCTACCCTCCTCCTTCGTTCCTTCCCTTTCATCGAAACAGAAAGTAGGTGCACAAGTGCACATCGTTCTTTCCTGTTCGTGGTACTGACCACTTTTCGCTCTTTCTAGTGGAGACGGTTGGCTATGGTGCCCGCATTTCATCGGCCAAAAATGTCACCAGCCGCAACGTCTACATCATCCAGTTCTGTCTCATCATCCTCGCGCCGGTGTTCATGGCCGGCATCGTGTATGTCGCGTTCGGCCGCATCGTGTTCCATGTCGTGCCGCCCGCGGCCCGCACCGTGAGGCTCCTGTGGGTGCCCGCGCGCTGGCTGACCCCCATCTTCGTCGGTTTCGACATTTTCGCCCTCTTCCTCCAGCTCATCGGCGCCGTCATCATCTCCGGAACGCAGGTGACGACACCCAACGCCGCTTCGAAGCTGAAGACTGGCAAGGACGTTGCTCTGGCGGGCGTCAGCATGCAGATTGGTGCCTTTGGCCTGTTCACAATCATTGCGGCGCGCTTCCACTTTACATCGCGCCGCTTCGTCGCGGATCTCGAGCGCCGATTCCGTACCGTGCCGGGCGGCAAGTTTGTGACGTTCGAGGGCAGCGAGCGCAGGTTCAAGCCGCGCTGGCGCACGCTACTGTATGCCATCAACTTCTCGTGCGCCATGATCATAGTGCGGTCCATCTACCGCGAGATTGATTTCTCCATGGGAAAGCAGGGCTACACGCAGAAGCACGAGTGGGTCCCGTACGTGCTTGACGCCCTCCCCATGATCCTCCTTGTGATTGTCTACACCATCACTCCGCCTGGTGCCTACGTCTCCATGGGCTTCCGCCAGCTGTCCAAGACGACGGACCAGCCGCCGCTGCCTCAGGGATCGCACGACGCCGCGACCTACAGCTTGGAATCAATGCCACTGCGCCAGTAAGCCGTGTCTGGCTCGGCACGGCAGATTTCTTTCCTTACATGTTTCTGGCTTACCTATATCCACCCACAATATGTACCACGTTGCGTTTCTTGCTCTCTATCCATTTGCAAACGTTTGATTCTGCGGCCTTTGCTCTGTTGTTTTATCTATTAGTAGTATCACGATGGCTGGGACCGGTTGTTTTGTTTCCTTTGCTTATTTAAATATGCTTTTGGCGCGTGATAGAGCCTAATTAGATGTCCAACTTTCATAGAAACATAGATGCTACAACCTCTAATACCAATGGTTCTGATTTGTCTAGTATCCTCTCTCATTCTCCCTTTATCCTTATATATCTAACCAGGGATGATACCCACAATTGTTCTCTCAGAGACTCCGAGTAGGATCTGGATTACTGAGCACCTCCATAGACAACGCGACGATGATTCTGCAAAGGAATTCCATATCTTTGCCACTGCCGATAAGAAATGGGCCATATGTTGTCATCGTCAGGAATCCCGGATTCGGATATACATAGGACTTGGAGGGGTCGTGTTTACGGACGTCTGAGGTTGACTGGCGAAGGGCCTGAGCAGTGTTTCGACCAGACTGAGTAGAACCACGAGCTGAAGCGGCAGTGGGGAGTTGGAATCGCGGTGGGTCTTTGTAGACGGGACGGACGGGCGTATTCGGAGCAGTGCCCGAAAAAGGCGAATGGGAGAGGCCCGAGGGTCTGTTATCCACGCCGTAACCTCCTTGAATTATCCCTCCATTTCCTTTGTTCCGGGGTGCCATAGGCGTTGGCGACATGGGATGGTGGCCTTGCATGACAGCGCGTATATTGTGAGTATTAGGGTCAATTTGAGGACCACTAATGTAGTCTTGGTATGTTTTGTCGTACTCTGCTATGGTGATGTAGATTTCTTCGCAATCCTGAGAGATCATAAATCGACTAGGCCAGGGAATTGGCAGCGTTAGTTGATGCAAAGAGAAGGGAAACAAACGTGGTAGCATAAAGGATGTTCATTACGGAGAGCAAGACGTACCGCCTGACATTTTCGGGGCTGGCGAGGGTGCCCATCCGGTTGCCTGTTGTTTGCGAAACCCATGCGGCCATTTGGGCCGCCTCTTGCCACTCGATTTTCTTGCGCTTGAGCGTTCGTGAATATGGCTTCACTTCGACGATTGCGAATGCAGTGTCGAATTGACCCTTCTTTGACAGATACCCGTCCACACGTGCTTGGAGAATCGCGGGAGAGTCTCTTGTAGTTGGATCGCGAAGGTCGAATGGCTTGGGGTCCGGAAGCCAGTGCCCGTCCTTGAGTGACGAACAGTGTAGCCGAATCGCGCAGAGCATCGTTATGAGCCCCATGTTGACAGTAGCCTCATACTCTGTCCGGGGAGGTACTTCGCCGACAAATGGTGTACCAAAGTCTTCATTTCCGGGACCAAGCTGGGTGGCTGGCGTTCTTGGACTGGTGCGGAGATCCAGTGCCCGTGGAGTGTCTCCAAGGTGCAGTTTCTCCAAGTCCGTTATGATGTTGTCAGGCATGATTCGTGGTGCGTTTCGTCTTGGGCGTGATATCTTGGGTGACGCTTGGTGGTCCCGACTCTGGCTTCTCATCACCAGGTGGGTGAAGTAGTGGAACGTCGTGAAAAGACCGTTGGGCGGCGGCGCAGACTTATCTTTAAGGCGATTGCTGGGATGGGGATCTTCGCCTTTGACTGTGCCCACGACATTCCGCAATTCACGAAGGTCAATGCGATTGGCCTCGGTCATAGGACCTTCATGGACAAAGTCTCCAATTCTGAAGTCCTGGGCAGGCCTTCTGTTCCAGAGAACTTTGAGGTTCAAAAACTCAGCGAACTTTAGTACAGATGCGGATCCATACTTTCGGTCGAAAGGAGTGACCGTTTCAGGGTTAAGGCCCTCAGACCTCGCCGTTCTTGCCCATTCGGACTGGGTACGGGGATTCAGACTGGTGTCCATCGCGAGATGTGAGAATGGAAGTGTACGGATCGACACCGGCGGTCGAGAATGAGGAGCCCAGAGCCCGGTCGGTGCCACGAGCTGGTGAATTGAATGCGGGTGAGGTTGGAGAATCTGAAGGTGGAAAAGCGCAAATAGAGAGGAGGGGAGAAGAAGGAAGAAGAAAGGTCTTATAAGTAGCAAAGTTAAAAAAGAAGCCCTAGCAACGCGCTGAGGAGGACCGGCAATGGGACTCTGACTCTTCAGTCACCAACCTCTCACTTTCCTCTAAGGATGGAGCGTGGTGTTTATATTTTTGCACTCGGAATCCGTGGCAGGGACTGGGCGCTAAATGAACGCTCATGTGCTTATGCTTCATTTGATTCTATGCTTTCTTTGAAGTATGTGCCCCGTTAACGCTGTCTGGGGAATCATTATTCATGATGGCGACCGTTGAGTCGACCCAAGGTCGGCTGGCCAGGTGGCTTGCAGTTGGCAGCAACCATGAATGCTGGCTGCGATGGTAGGCCAGAAGAACAAGCAGCACGGTTGTATGTGCACCCAGCACACAATAGTGATGTGCGTACGGAGCAGGCAGCAGTAGCCCACAAGGCAGTGATTCCAAGTATTGGCTCACTTATGTGTATCGATGTGTATGTGAGGCCCCTACCAACGACATCTTCGTATGGAGGGCGGGCATTGGCTGAGAAAGAGCAGTTTATAAAACTGGTGCGCTCCATTTCTACCGAAGTGCGTTGCCAGCCTTGCAACTGCAAAAACAGTGTAGTCTTTGTTGGGCCTCATTTTGGGCGGCCAAAGGCCGGTCTTGGCACGGCCTGCCTGTGTAGCATGTGCCAGCAAGCAAGGGCATATCCTAAACGCGCGCGTGAGCGACGTAGACCGTACACTGGGGGAAATACGATGTATAGCTAGCGCTCATATCAAGGCTTGTCGAGGCAGAAGGGATTCAGGGGCTGCATGACGCCGTTGGACGCCTGACTGTGAGCGGCTGTAAGCGCCGTGATCGCTGCGCGTAGCAACTAACAGACTGGCCGCTGTTGAAGGTGCTTGTGCTGTCGCTGGTGTCATTGTGACGAATTGCATCTTTGCGTACGATACGGTGGCTATCGCCCGTCCCCAGGGCAAAACAAATGTTGACACCTTTTAATATGAAGTCGTGAAGCTTCTGGGAAAGTGCACGCGACTTAAATATCACGTGACTAGATTGTGCTGTCGCGAAATTAAATGGCCGCCTCAATGGGCCGCGTTGCCCGGGAAACAGCGCACCGTAGACAACAAACATCTACACTGTATCGCGACTGCGTGTTAACTGTATGGACAATCACGTCGCTTCGTTGCCACTGCCTTGTTCTGCGTCGCACCTTCCTCAACGACGGGCTTGACCTCACCTGCAGGCACTCTGTATTTATTCTGCTGCTTCTCCTCTGTTGGTCCTGCCGATTTTGATCTTTGTTTCTCCTTCGTCTTAGTTCTTTCCGCTTACTTTGTGTTCCCAATTTTAAGCATCTATTTACTGTTACTTTCTACATTCTCAACCTCTTCAACGCTCCTCCTCGGCAGAAACATCGACACATCGCATTCAATCCTCTTTTCTCGCCATCTAGCCGCACCCTTCCACCCACGATGTCGACCAATACGCAGCCCGAAGAGGCTCCCCAGTGGCAGCGCGAGACCCATAACGAGTACTTCTACAATCTCTGTGATTTGAAGTTTGCCCTTGAGGACGAAGTGGCTAAATACACCGCAACCCTGACAAACGAACAACTGTCGTCGCTATTCATTTCCGTGCTGGATGACCTCAACGTCGACGACGAAGCGCCTCTGGATTTTGGGCCATCGTTTTTTGCTCCGCTGCCACAAGGCACGTTCGACAAATTTCTCGAGACATATGGGGAACACCTGTATCCTCCGCGATATGACGACGGAACCAACATGAATTGGAATCGTCTGTGTGGGATGCCTTCGCTTTTGCACTGTGACGGAACTTGCCCGGCCGACGAGCCAAAAGATCGCTTGGATTTCACTAAACGAGAATGTGACGGCCACTTGGAAGCCCAGCGACGGGCTACGTGGTTAGAATCGATGTACCAGTATCGTGAACGCCGACCGGGCGGGCATGCCTTAGGGATAAGCGCATTGGCGAACTGGGTCGAACTGTAAGAACCGCCCGCCTGAAACGATCACGTCACTCTATTTAGTATTCTTTTTCGGCAATTTCTTGTACAATAAAAGCGTCTTGCTGACATTCCCTAGGACCGGTGATCGGTGGTGCAATAACCAGCACCATTCTCTTCGGGCCTTCACCTGCAGCAATGGTACGACGCATCACCAACACGTAACATCAAGAGATGCTCGCGTGGACCTCTCTGGCCTGGTGCCGCACGCGACAATGGTTGTCGCAGAGCCATGTGCATTTGGCGCCACAGATGTCCTGCTGGGCGATGTTTTGGCGGCTGTGGAATTGATGAGACGCCAAGTGCGTTACCACGAGCACCTTTCCCATCGAATCTTCCCGGTATGAACAGCTTCGCCCTCCGTTGTCTTGGCTAATTTCGTTGCTGACCTTTTGGAAACCAAGGTTCTTCTGCTATCTTTGCAGCATGATACTACTGCGCGCATCGTGCAGGCGCATTTTGATGGCCATCGTCTTTTTATCCGCCAGTCCCGGCTCCTGGATCTAAATGCTGACGAGCCGACACCAGATGCGTACCTTTTGCTGCGCTGGATGGCAAGCCGGCCACAAGGCAACACGGAGTATGGCAAGCCGTTTTGCACTGACGATGCACCGATGGCAATCACCACGAAGGAACCGGAAGAGCCGAGCTCAGCTGTCGCTGTCTTAGGCTGAGGGAGATGCCCCATGGAAATGACTGAGTGGCTTTTATGTACTGCGATCTATCGCATGCCCGTCACAGTTTTTCTGGCGGAAGATTGGCCATTTTGGACAATGGTGGCTTGTTGGTCAGAGATCAAAACAGCACACCTCGATGTTGTTTGTTGGGCTGTCGATTTGGTGGTGGTTTGGTTCTCGTATGATACCAAGACACATAAAGGGAGACGGCGAGATTGCCGTTTTGTTTGTTTGACTTATGTGGCTGCACGATAAAGGCGTTTGGAGCGGTTTTTATTGTCGGTTTTTTGTTTTTGTTTGGCATGGAAAATGGAGGCTTGTAACCGTTGCTTTGGACTGTTTCATAATGACTCAACATGATACCATCTCATCTGCACGCTCTTGCATCACACTTTGAAAGAAGAAACTCAAGGTCCTTTGTTATTTTCAACTTCTAGTACCTTTTATTGCCGTAAGGCTTTGCCATATTGGTATGCTTTAGAGTTGATATGCCTTTGACCCACTGCTTAGACCAAGTACGAAAAGATTGTTATTAGATTTACGTAGTTTTGCATTCGGCCAGATTCTGGACGAGACAACAGGAGGCACTTATGGCCAGATGCTCGAAGCACGTTATTATTTTCTGCTACAGGTATCTTTGACGCCCTGGAACACCATCCAATACTTAACGTATCCTCCGAGCTTTGGTAGGGAGTGATCGTGTCGCTCGCACTTTGGTAGACTGCCGTGTTTGTGAAGAGCCAATTTATCACGAGAGACGCACTCACTCCTCACTCCCTGTAGGCATAAGACTTACGACAAATCCATAGTAATGAACCGTCCGGCTACTTCCGCGATGCTTGGTCGCCTGTCACCTTGAATCGTGTGAACTCATACGATGGCGCGACTGCCGAGAGTAAGTGGTGACTGCCGCCACCTGTTTTCAGTCATCGTAACCGACGAGAGATTGACCATTGCATTGTCGGTACCAAGGTTGCGACTGACAAAAGGACCTTCTTAATTAGGGGTTGAACACGATGGAACCCGGAAGGGTAAAGCCGCTGCGTCCATGCAAATAAACGTCTTATATAAACGTAGCACTGAGAGCTGAGGCAGGAGTACCGCGCTCTGTAATTACATGTAATTACATGCTGTGCAGGCAAAGTAGCATTCTCAGCGGTGTGTCCCATCTACTTACTATCCCGAGACCTTGTGTGGCCTTGTACAGATGAGAACCAAACGCCGTCAGTGGTAGCGACGGCCCCTGGCAACATTGTTAGACAGCTGCGCGGAAAGGTGACAATTGATGGAAAAGGGGCACAAAGCTGGAGCGTAAATCGCCCTTTACAAACTGAACGACAGATACAAAAGGCGGTTCTTTGTGACAATTATTCACAAGGTGACGCACGATATCTTAGTGTCGAACCAAATAGTATCCAGGGAGAAGCGCCAAGGCGGGTCGGAAAGAGAAACTTGTCTTTGCTGGTGCCGTAGGTACCTTGAAGTCCCTGGAAAAGAAAAGTGCCGCATCCACTTGAGAAGTGTTTAATACCCCCGCCCACTTGCGCAAAACCAGATCGAAGGTGGGCATCTCATTTTGTTGCGCGTCCTGCCGCACCTTGAATGCTTGTGCAGCCCCTTTTCTTCGGATCCGGTCGGGTAGGCTATGGTAATGTCAAGCTGAAAACAAATCTTGGCCTCGATTGTTTATTGGAGCCCATGCATATGCAAGGTATGGCGTACGATGTATGACAAAGTACAACGCATCTTACATATATTTGAAAGAACGGCGTGACGACGTCCAGCACCTGCATGGTTTTGCGGGCCCAGCATTGTTCTCGTTCATCTTGTGCCGCTTGCGTCTGGCTGCAGGAAAGCGAGAGCTAGCACTGTGGCTTGCCTGTCATACTAATGCAAGCAACTGTCCAATGCGCTGGCCAATGGACACACTTGTTGTGTGTGCAGCCCTTGAGAAGTTGAAGAGGCCGCGGTATGCCTCGGTGTTTCCGTGCGTCAATTGTCGTCTGTGCTCGGGGTCATATGGCGGGCAAGTGCGATTGCGTAGACGCAGACAAGTCCCGTGAAAAAGCAATCCGTCTGTTGTCCAACAAAACGTAGTATAAGAAAGGCTATGCGCTTTGCCGTTGCATATCTCCGCGCCGAGCCTTTCGTGCCTTTGCGGTTCTTTCCTTTCCCTCATTCACAACCCTTGTTGGCTTTACCCTTATTGGCTTCGCCGTGGCCGTTTTCTGGAACAGTGGCCGCCACCATGGCAATGTTGACGACAGAAAGTGGAGGAAACCATGGGTACGTCGAAAATGAACAGTGTCTGTATGAATCAGACTAAGCGCAGCTCTTGAGCTTGTTTGTTGGTGTCGCTATCCCGTCCCGAATTAGGCACGGGCGAGCAAGTATCTTATCTCTCGACTCAGGGATGTGTGCTTGGGGGTGCCCCGGCCCAGGGTGGCCTTGTCCACCCTCGTACTGGGGACAACCTGGCGTCGTACTTCGTACTTGGTACCGTCAATGATATGCGTCGTACCTGTTACACTTGCTGTCTGTTGGTATGGCCAGCCACTCCGACATTTTAACCAGTTCCGGACACCACAGCCCGTCAGACACCAACTTGGTCCTGTCACAGAGGCTCGGACCACAGTGGCTGTCCTGGATGGTTTCGTTGGTATTGTGCGCTCTTCGTAATTATTTTGTTGTTGTCCACTTTCTTGCAGCAGTTCGAGGACGTTTTGTACCAATGAAATCAGTTACCACTTTTGCTATGCTGGAGAGCTGATGATATGCGCTGGAACCCATCTTTGATCGAAGCATCTTCCTAAGATGCCTTGGCTGGTTTGATTCATTTTGGCCCCGAGTGCTAGCGTGTGACTTGATGAAACAGGGACAAAAAAGATGCAACTTTCGTAGCCAGATTCGACAGAGGGCGGATCCTCTTAACAAAGTTCGACCCATCACAGCCGTGTCCTTTCGCCTGGCGCGGGAGGGCCCTTAGTGATTTGGTGTGGTGGAAGCGGTATTCGGGTCCGAAGTACATTCGTATGGAGGCTCCATCGTTCCGCGGACGAAAATCGGCTGAGGAGACCAGGAAAATCTCTTCGACATGGTACCTGGAATGGCAGGGGACCACAAAAGGAAACAAATCAAAAGCCTTTCCACCAATGCCGGGGCGTCGGAAGTCTGCCGGATTGGCTAGACTAGTGACTGGTTGTTTTGTCTGTGCTTTCATTGTCGAATGTCGTATGCAGCAAGGACCTGTTTGATTTGTTCATGCACCTCCATGCGCTCGCACCAAATCCATTTTTGACCTCCCAAGGTCTGTCGAATGGCCACTTGGCTGGGAGGTTCCTGTAGAAGGCGCATTTGGCGTAACTCAGCGGCCGTGTATGGATCCTTTTTCCTCTTTTCCCTCCCTTGAACACCTTCCTAAATGTGCTTGTATCATGTCGAACGTTGTACTTTGAATGCTGGTCCACCATTCGGGATATAGTCCTCGAGCTAGTAGACGCACCAGTTGCGCATCCGGGGGTGGGATGGTAATGCGATTGCAGGAAAAAACTGGGGCGTCGGACCAACATTTGAAATTGTTCATGTCTGGTTGCACCTGTTTCGTTTTTAGTACAGAGTCAACGAAGTGGATTGTGGATTCAACCGATTCAACCTCCAAGACGCTTACTTTTTTTCCTCTCGCAAGACCCCGGGACTTTAAATGCGCCCTAAGAGCATTGCACTGCGTGGGTTGACGAAAAGGAAACGATAAAAATGGGACACAGGACGGCAAAAGAAAGAGTGCGATGTACGACGGTCGGTGGAGGACACCCTGCAATCGATGACGCACTGAGCAAACTGTGATCGCCGCATTAGCTAGAAGGACGAGCGACAGCACAAAATCACAACAGCCAACGAAAACATGGGAAACCGAAACAGAAGGAAATGGACAGCATTTGCAGCCCACACGGCCTGGCCACTCACGGGAGTTCTTACAGTCCAGCCATCAGGTGCCAGAGGAGCGCCAGCGGCAAGGACGGACTGTCCTTCCTGTTCCGTCCACTTTGTCGGCCGAGGGAAAAAAAGGTCTAGGTGATGATCATTCGGGGCTTGTCCTTGCCTGGTCTGGCTCGTCCAGCTGTGCCCAGCCAGCGCCAGAGACTCGCCTCTTCGAAGTGCTGAGATCGACTGTAACGTATTCGCTGGCATTGACCCCACCCCCTGGTCGGCGCGGGACAACGGAGAAAGGCGGAAGTAACTCGAGGGTTGCTGACGGGGGCTGCTCCTGGCTGCATTTCCGTCGGGCGATGCATCGCAGGGATGTACTCGAAAAGTTGGGCGGCTGCACAGGGAAAATGCCAGGTCGACCAAATACACAGATCCATTTGGTGATGACAGAAGCGAGAGTGGAGATAGAGAGACAGGGGCGACTTGTTGTGTGCAAAGTGCGAGCCGCAATTGAGCTCGTAATTGGCAACTGCGGCCGGCGTAACATGGCCGTTTGCGCTTTCTCGCGGCAGCGACAGGCCAATCGCTACTGCCCCGAGAGCGAGGTTTCAACTTGCACCTGTGTATTTCGTACTTTCCAAAACGAGGGCGTTGCACAATCGTCGCTTCCCATCTTGGCTACGGCTCAAACATAGCTAAACTTCGCCAAACACACTCCCGAGCCTCCCCAGTCCCCGCCGTTTCTCAGTGGGGCGCCTTCTGAACTCCGTCTAGGCAGGCCAAAAAGGTGCGGCCAAAGTGACCCTAAGAGGAAGGATCTACCCTACCTATCATTGCGCCTTCGTCGCCTGCTGTAATTAGCCCGCCGTAGCCCACTCACACGTCGGCCTCCAGAGGCTGCCTCGGGCTGCTTTTCTTTGAACTTCCATTGATTCGCCATTGTGCTTTCCTTCTTTGGGTTCCCCTCCAACCCTCCAACCCTCCTTCTCTAATTTGTCGTCGTCCGTGTGCTCCTTCCATTTGCTGGTCGCGCCTGTGACCCCGTATCTTACATATATCATAAATCACCCACCAACGCCATTAGCCTCTAACAAGGCCGACATCATTTTTCCACTCCCGACCCTGCATTGTGCAGAACCACAACTTGGTATACCCGTTCTGTCGTCTTGTTTTCGCAAACCACAAACATCACCCCGTCTCGAACGCGCCTATTGCTCTTTTGAGCGTACAGCCCACTCGCTCTGCGCTCTGTCAGACGCCGTGTTCTCGCTCCCACGGCGAAGCCAAAACGCGCCAAGATCAATAAGCAACATCTAGACTTGGAACGGAACACGCTGTTTCTTGCCGGCCAAGCTTCCGCTCCGGCTCCGACACGCATATCGAGAGGACACACGCCCCGGCTTGCTTCAGACTTCCTGCCAAGGCCGGCCCACACGACAGGTGGAGTGCGCCGTATGCGTCCGTCCGGCCCCGGGGTGCGCGACTACGGCAATAACTGCCCTATGCTCGACTGCGCATGGCGAACCGAGACGGCACAGTTTGAATTACCCGTTGTTTGAACTCCCCTGGTAGCCCACCATGGTGTTTTGCGGGAAGGCTTCTTTGAGCTGTAAGAACTGCCGTATCCGCCGAATCAAGGTAAGCTGCTTGCATGTCGTTGTTTCATTTCAATTGGCTCTTTCATATGTATCTCTGCACCGACTCCGCCAATGGGTGGGAAGATATTCCGCTTGATTTGCTGTTGTACCGGAGATCTGAGAGACAATGTAGTCGTCTGGGTTACGTTGGTTGGTCCTTTGTTTCGACGTGACGTTAGGGCCGTGTTCTCCTCGCTTGAGTCACACCGTGGCTGCAGCACGGCAAGTGGCTTCTTCGTGGACTTGCAACCAGATGACTGACGCTCGTGTTTCCCTCAATCTAGTGCAATAAACTTGAGCCGGAATGCTCACAATGTATTCGAGCCGGCAAGAAATGCCCCGGTTACCGAGACCAGCTGTCTTTGATGTTCCGCGATGAGACAGTCAAGGTCCGGAAGAAGTTTGAGGAAACCGGGACATCGTCTACCACATTACCTTCGTCCGCTGCGTCTGCCACTGGATCTTCATCTCCGGAGGCGGGGGCTGATTTCATTAAATCCGAGACTGGAACGGAAGAAGACGCAACCTTGTCTGCCATTGATAAACCCGGCAAAAATGAAAGCCAGATTCCCACGGCACAGGGCAGCAAGGAGCTGACTACCATCCGGGGCTCCAACGCCGATGGATCACTTACTCTTAGTGAGGCATTGGCAGCATTCGGCGGTACTCTGGGGAACGACGGCAGCCCCAAGGCCTCCGGAAAAGGCCGCCCGCTCTCTATACCACAGAAACAACAGCGGAGGCAACAGGGGGCCACCACATCCCTGCCACCCGGCGTGCCTCCGACTCCAGCAGTGACCGTCAACCTCTCGGTCGACGCTCAGTCTGCTCTTGTGAAGACCATGCTGACGGGGCCCAACCCAACTCTCTTTGACCGCGGCTTGCAATTCTACTTGGATCACTACCTGTACGGGCATCCTGAATCACCACCAAAAACAGGAGTAATAGAAGTCGACACGCCATGGATTCTCGACCCAGCAACTCGCACGATTGCAGCTGCCGTGGGAATGGCCGGCATAGCAAACTTGAAAGGCGACGACCAGATTCAAATGTTGGCCAGAGACAATTATGGGATTGGCCTTAAAATGACGGCAATGTCGATCGACCCGCCGGGTCTCGATACACTGAATCACGTCATGCGCAGTATTGTTTTGCTGGCCATGTTTGAGGTCCGTTCGACAAAGTATCGTTGTTTGTTGCCAAGAGCACACCGCTGACTATTGTATGCGCAGATTGTTCGGGGTGCCAACCAGTCGTTTGGCAGCGCCAATATTCATATCATGGGAGCAGCTGCCCTTATGCGTCACTTCCTTCCTATCCTTCCCACATCATTGCATCCCTACCGGGGCCTGATCCAAATATCATGCTCTCTTGTACGTCGTTGCCTTTTCCTCTTGGCTGGATTTGAACCAAGAACTGACTCTTTTTTTCAGCTAATTTCCTGCCAAGCCGCTCACATTGATGTGCCGCCTGTGTTCGCCGAATATATCGCGAATACGTACCGAAAGAAACCGGTAGACGATCAGATCATGTCTAAACTGCTTCTGACGCTCATCGAGTTTATCAATTTGTCTGCCTTCATTCACCATCAAGTCCTCAGTGACAGACGCTCTGATATGGTGGACCACGTGGTCCACGCACTCCAACTGGACGCGCGCCTCATTGCATGGGAACTCAACACCACAGAAAAGAAGGGTATCTGGAAATACGAAGAGTGCGAAACGCCAAAACTGCCACCCGAGGCCGTCTACAAAGGGCGGTTCCACCGCTACTCGGATATCTCGACTGCTCGGATTTGGAGCTACTACAGGTGGGCGCGCATCCTGCTCAACGAAATGCTTCTGGAGTTTATCGAAAAATGCCCCAACGCGGTGGCAGCCGGCCTCACTAGGCTCAAGATGGACACGGGGCGTGCATTCTCGGCCAAGGCTGTAAGTGCTGTGGTCGGTGCTGACACGCGAGATACCGACACCGAGGCGACGGAAAAGCTTCGCCGGAGAGCATTGACGACGATTAAAAAGTGTGCCGAGGACATCTTTGTCAGCACGCCGGTGTACTGGCGTCACCCAAGCATCCCCCTCAAAGAATACGACCCGATCGCGACGCCGCCGATAGTGTACGGACAAAATGGCGGTACGGGCGTGGCCACACTCATGCCGACGCTGTTCCACCTCGATGTGGCGGCCCGTGCGCCGGGCTCTTCTGAAGAAGACTTTGACTGGGCTCTGGCAGTGATTGATACGGTGTGGGCGTATCTTGGCTTGCGGCAGGCGCGGACCCTGGCGGACAAGATGCGGCTCCATCGCGAGACTATGAAACGCAAGGCCATGGGGCTGAATGGAATGCTGCTGCTGACGACACATGGAGACGTGGATATTCCTGCATGATGGCAGAGGCACGACGAATATAAATAACGCGACAGGACATATATATGGGATATGGATGGGATACCACGGCGCTCAGGGTTTTGACTTTGGCTTAAGGTTAAAACACAAGTTGGAACATCTATTTTAACGGCGTTGATTATGAAAGCTATTTTGATTTTGGATCGTTCTGTTCCTTTCATCGCTCTCCCTTGGATAGCTCTGGTTTGGATGATAATGAATCATACTCTTGGACATGACAGGAAACATTGGCAGCCCCATTTTTGGATATCTATTTTGCACCATGCAAGCCCAGCCATCTATTTAGGTTTTATATACATCTATGATGTCATGTAAACAACAGCCGTCAAATCCGCGGACATTCAATATTTCGTTATGCCTGCCAGCATGCCTCGTTTATGTCTATTTTGCGCAACTGGCTTGCTCTCATTCCCGGTACACCATGCTGTCGTCCACCTGGCTGCGATAGCGCTTCTTGTTCGGCTCGTCGGCCCAGGTCTCGGCGAGACCCAGGCGTGGGTCCTCCTCGCCGTATCCGAAGCGTCGTCGAAGCTTCAGAATCTCTTCCCGCATGCGATGAGCGGTTTCTTTGCGCAGCTGCTGCGCCTCCTCGCCGTACTTGAGGTCGATGTCGTTTTCCACGGCCGTGGTGCCGTCCGGGCCGTCCGTTCTGGCGCCGCTGTGTCCTGTACTCCGCAGGCTGCGCGCCACCAGACGCTGCCACCGGTCGCGCAAGTCGGCAAACACCTCGGGGTCGAGAATGTCGCCAAAAACGACGCGGATCTTCCGGCCAATGCGCGGCAGGAACCGCGGGAACGTGCGCTCTTCGTGCATGACACGGTCCAGCCCGTCAATGAACATGGGCACGATGTCCGGGGTGGGTTCGCTCTCGAGAATGAGGCGGGCCACGCCCCACTTGAAGTAGCGCAGGCCGCGGTCGCGCTGCTGGTGGACAAGGCCCTCGGGGAAGACGTGGACCCAGGCGTGGCGATTGGAGGCAAAGGCAGAGGGTGCGGGCCAACGGTCGGCGCCGTTTGTGGAGTAGTAGAGGGAGGGCGAGAAGGACGAGGCGAATACCTGGTTGGCAGGGGACTTCGAGGACGTAGCCGGTACCGGCGGTATTGGTCCTGAGTCCGATGGTGCTGAGGAGGAGGATGCGTCTGATATTGAGGAAGGGGAGGAGGGGGAAGAGAGGCTCTCAATGCGAGAAACGAGCTTAGGGTGGTCATCCGGCAACGGCTGGGCCGAAAGTAGACGCACGGTCTGGTTCATGGTCGGCTGGAAAAGACCACCCCATGGCGAGTGGCGCAGACGGTGGGTGGGCAGAGTCTGCCCAGAGCAGAAGAAATGGCCGACAAAGCTATGGACAGTCAGCGGCAGCCATCACCATCAAAAAGAGTTGAGAGATAGAACATACCTGTTCTTGTAGCAGATGTCGTGAGAACCTAGGCTCCAACGCAGGTTACGGTGGTCTATGGCATACCGCAACGGGAGAACACCCCATATCAATGGATCGTCGAGTCTGACTGGTTAGCAAGTGTTTCCTTTCCTGACACATGTCTTCAACGGTGGAAATGTTGTCCAGGACACTTACACTGAAATATGATTACTGACTTTTTAGAGTTAGCAGAAGGGACGACACAAGGTATGAGTATAACAATATACACAAACGATGACGAACCTGTGATCAGCCCTCGCTGCCGGGACTCGACGTCCTTGCGTGCATCGAGAAGCTTCAAGAAATTGTCGAGGCCAACGACCTCGACATCATTGAGGCCGTAAAGAAACGAACGGCAAAGCATGCCGGTTGTGGCCATGACAAAGGTGGACGCGGCCCGCCAGAGCGCGCCGGGCTTCCGCGGCTGGGAATTTACGACGGACATGGTCGTGGGACGATTAAAAAAGATGAAAGAATAAAATAAGAAAAACGGACAAGAAAATGGCGGATAAAACGGCGCAAATCAGACGAAAGACGACAAAGCCACCATTGGCTGAAGACTGGTGTTCAAGGCCTCTTTGACGATCCACACGTCTCCTCCGTCCGACCGCTGCCCTCAAATGCCGAAACCTCGGCTTGTTGTGTCGTTGTCAAGTTGCAACTCAGAACAGAAGAAGACAGGTTTTGGCGGAGTTGGTGATAAGATGTCCACCGCTACAAAACTTTTTTTTAGTGAAGAGCGACAGCCTTGCGCTGCGAAACGGGAAGCCACAACCAACCACGGCGCAGAATCGGCTCACACGCGCAGCTCCCATGTTTGGGGTAGGCGCATGTGCGCTTTGCGACGGACGGCGCTAACGTTCAGAGTGTTTAAAGGACGAAACGCGGAAGGAAGCACTGGTGCTAGTGCCTGACTTGGGGCGCCGAGAGCGCCTTCCTCGACAAAGGTTGGTCTCCACTTTACGGCAGCTTGGTGGGGGAAGGAGCCAACTGCTCTCAAACGGTTGACCTCCCAAGGCGGTCTACGACTCCTACGCTGTCTTCTCACTTCTACCAGCAATCCTCATCAACAACCATACGACATCACCTCAACCACCAACCTCTGTCCACGCCATGGCTTCGACAATACCATCCATAGCCTGTCTCGGCGTCATCGGCCGCAATGTGCGTACTCAGCAGACTTCACCCAACCCCCAGCCTCACCGTAGCTAACCTCAACCCTTTGCCCTTTTCCCACCTCACAGGACAATCCCCTCCACATCTCCATCTTCCCTTCTTACGACGCAGCCACCAACAGTTTGTTGCCGGTCCGTACGCCTCTTCAGTTCTCGCTGATTCTCTGCGGCACGCTCGACATCTTTGCCCAACGGCCGTCCGGCACCGCTAGTGGTTCCGTGGCCTCAGGTGCGGCCGCCAGTGGAGCCAGCCTGAGCGCCGGAAGTGACGCCGCTGGCCTCCTGCTGCTGCACGCCCTCGACGACCGCTTGGCCGTGTACGGCTACGAGACCAACACGGGCGTCAAGCTCGTGGCCGTCGTGGACATGCGTGGAAGGCGTGGTGGCAGCGCCGTGAGTGGTGCACAGGGCAGCGGCGGTGCTGGTGGTGGCTCCGTGTCCTCGGGCAGCCGTGGTGCTCTGGGTGGCAGCGTTGTCGGTCTGCGCGAGTCCGAGCTCAAGCCCGTCTTCAAGGCAATGCAATCAGCCTATGTGCGGCTGCTGCAGAATCCCTTCTACGACCCGGACGAACACTCGCCCCCGACCGGCCGCGGCGGCAAGAAGATTGTCAGCCGGCGGTTTACCGAAGACTTGCAGCGCATCGGCGAGGCCTGGATGCCGGGCGCCACGAACCTGTAACCAGTGGCCGCATCGGCAAAGCACAATGGTAGCGTACTGCATCATTACAAAGTGGTAATCAGACATGGGCCATCATTGCCTCTTCACCTCGCTTCTTATGCCCAGCAACTGCTGGCTTCTAGCACGATAACACTAAGACATACCGAGACGCCACGAGATAACGCTTAACGAACTTGCCAAACAACCATGATGTGGGCCGGAAGAATGGCCCTCAAAATAAAAGAACGACAAAAGAACAACCGGCCTAGCCCACGAGACCGCTCAGTTCCCGTTGTCGAGGGTAAAGGATTCATACGACACCTCTTCGTGCCCTATCCATTCCTTTCGGTCGATTTTGGCGACTGTGGCCCAGCCGCGAACCAGTGCCCGCCAGTAGCATGTCTCCGCGGCCGGACTGAAGTAACCGCCGCCGACAAACAGGTCTTGCTGGTTGCGAGCGATGCCTGCCGCAACTTCTGGGTGCGCCTCCAGCCAGGCGACCGTGTCTTTGAGGTCTGACCAGTCGGGTGCCACGAAGACAATATTGGCCTCGCCTGCCGGATACGACACGGGCCAGCTCTTGTGTCCAGACGACGTTTTTGCCGTGTTGGACACAGACAGGCTTCTGCGGCTATTTTCCTTTCCAACGTTCTTCACGGCGTGGGCGAATTTATGAGCCTCTTTTCTCGATGATTCCTTTTCTTTGGCACTGTTTGGCTTTGTCGTGGCCGCCCCCAGAAGATGGCTGCTGAAGACGGGCTTGACAAGGTGCGTCGTGTGCTGCATCCACACAATCGGCGGCGTGATTGTTACGCTGTTGCACATTTGCAGAAACTGGAACCGCCCGCTGTACGCAACGCCCTCGGTATGCAGCACGTAGCGGTACCGACAGAAGTCTTCAATGGCCAGAGCGTTGGTGGCATTCTGTGCGCTGCTCTGCACGCGCCCGCCACTGCCACCGCCACCGACCCAATCGAGCGCCTCCACATCCGCCCAACTCTGGCCCTTGGTCACGGCCACCAGGTTCTGGCGCAGCCGTGGGCTGTGGACCGAGTTGAACCATGTCGTCCCGCGCCACACGGCCCGCGGGTTCTTGTGGTAGAACACGGGGTACAACTCATGCTCAAGACGATCGATGGCGGCGGCAGCGCGGCCGATGGAACCGATAAATGGCAGCTTCCAGGCCCAAAAGGAGAAATGCGGCATCAGGAAATTGCGCTCGTCACGGTCTTTGCTGCGGAAGGCCGGGTTGATGGCGCGGCTGTAGCCCCACGAGGTGCCAAAGGGCTGATCCTGGAAGTTAATGGATAAGTACGTGTCGGGCAGGGGCTCGGACGCCGGAGCCGTGATGAGTGCGCGGTGCAGCTGGTGGATGGCTGCGGTGCGGGACTGCAAACAAACAAAAAGGAGAGAGAAAAAATCAGTATCATATTTCCTGCCGAAATTTTCTTGACTTTTAATTTGGTTGTGACCTACGTTGACCATCTGCTCTGACAAGTCGGATCGCTGTTGCGCGTTGATGATGAAGATCTATTGCGAGCGTGTCAGATACTGTTTGGTTGTGGCTTATTTGTTCGCTTCCTCCAGACAGATGATATACCTTGCCGTTCTTGATCCGTCCTTGCAGAGCACCCATATCGCCCGTATTTTTTAGTCGGAAAGGCCCTTCGGCGACAATCTCGTCAATGGACCGAGTCAGTCCAGGAAACTCGGCCTGGCATTGCTTCTCGGTGAGCGACAGCGACTGGAGGGTGGCCGAGGACGGGCGGTGCGGCGTCTGCTTGTGGCGGTCTTTGTTCTGGCGATTCTGGTCTTGCTGCGACTTCTGTTCCCAGGTCACGGCATCGTGAGGCTCGCGTATGACAAAGTACAAGCAGAAGAGTACGAGACACAGACCGAGGCCGACGATCAATGGCCGTAATGGTCTGTGGCGACTGGCTCTGGCGATCATGGCGGTGCGTGGACGCCTACAAGCAACAAAGGGAGGACGTCAACAGTAAAAGGGTCGGTGACAGAATAAAGGTTCGGGGTGCAAAAGAAGTGACTGATGGTCTTGGAGAGTTACAATAAACAACTCAAAATACATCGAAGGGAATATACGGGCGTTGTATGCATATAGGACGTTACTGATATACGAACGTACAATGCATAGGACACTCCATCGGGAGAGACCATTGCCTGACTATCAGACGTCTGGTGGTATTGACCACAATAACGAGAGAAGATGGAGGGCAGTCGATTTACATGGCTGATGTGCCGTAACCCTGCTGGCTCACTCTGTTGGTCTGCAATTCCCGATCTCCAGGGCCATAAAGAGTCGCGAGTATATCAATATGCGTTTTTCCTGCCCTGTAATGGCTATTTTTTTTTCTCTCTCGGCTCGCTCTGCACGATTTCTGTGATTGAGATTGTTGTTGCTGCAAATGCAACACGACATCCAAACTTTGAAGATACACTGTTCATGTTGATGACATATTGTAGTCCTTCATCTACATCGCGAATCTCCATCTCTGCTTTTCTCTCCACTTCGACATCCACAATTCCACATATCCACATATCCACTCTTCCTCTTTCTCGGTTCTGCTTCTCGGAAAGTGGCCCTTGCCCAGCAAAAGCCAAGTCGCTTCCCTCTTTTTCTCGTTGAGACGTTTGCATGTCTCTATTTTGGTCTTCTTCGTCCGGTAAGACATCCTTTCACCGTTCTGGGGAAACGCGGCAGGACACTCTCCGCAGCGCCACTGGCCCCTCTTTATAAATTGCTCCTTGGCTAGCGAGCCACGGTGCCGTCCAAAGAACGGCCAGGACGACGACATGGCAAATGTAGACAGAATGACAGGAAAAGGGAAAGCAAATTGTGTGAATAAAAAAGCCTGACAACGCAGGCATTGGGCCTGGTCTTCTTTTCACAAAAATAGGCCTTGCTCTCTGTTTGATTTCTTTTTCCTCTGGCTTGTATTGTTTTGCTCCCTCAAAAGAGACGGGGAAGGCAGAGTCGCACTTCCGGTAAAACCGGCAAAAAATACGGAGAGAGCGGAATAGTAGGCTGCGATATATGCTATGAGACTGGATAGAAGGCAATGCTGCTGATTGCTGCCAGAATTCGTGCTGAAACAATATTGCAGCAACCAGAGAGTAATACGGTCTATTTTCCACCTGAATACCAGTCACTCTATAGATATGACGTTTTCGCTCAACGTCCCAATTCTCGACCGATATGGTGCCGGTTTACTTGATGCTATTGTATTCTTTTTCATTTATGAAATCTAAAGTGGTGATTGTAGGGGAGCCTTTAACAGGACAAGATCGCGAGAATACTGCTGTCACAAATACGGCAATTTTTCTACGACACTTTGACAAGCTACATGACATCAAGCCCAGTCACGCCCATCCTGACTGTGTAGTATGTTTGTCTGCCCTCCGTCTACTTGTAAGTGAGAAGAGGATCCACCTAGTCGAGGGCTTGGGCCTTTTGTCCATCTGCAGTTATTTGCGCCTCATTTTACTTTATCAACAATGTATTATGCAACGTTTTCTGAATAAAACTGCGCCATGAAACCGACCAACTCGGATTTCAAGAACCTCTATTGGGGGGACATTTTGGTTTTCCTAAATAATAGAAAAAGGAGATCGAAATAAGAGGGAGAAAAGAAAATACAGCTTCAATTTCAGTCTTAAATTGTACCCTCCTGTGCAAAGGTTCAAGTGGCAGTTGTCCTAACCTTCTTTTTAAGATACGGTTTCTAAAGGTAAGTTTTCTCTTTTCATAACTAGCCACTGGCATTTCATCAACCCATCCTTACCACTCTGCTTTCTAATCTTTGAATGTTTACTTGTTTTACTTGATTTCATGAGACTGTACGAAGCAATTTATTTTTAAGTCGTTTCTCTTCCAACTCAGCACAAACAGGACAACAAGCCCTGTGATAGATAACTCCTATTTATCAAAACATCTATATATACACAAGATTGAGCTTGTATAAAAGTCTGTAAAATAAGACGAAGTCGCAGGTTCGAAATTGCCTATCAAAAACCGCTGTGGTTGCTTACATAACACAACTACCGAAGCTCTCAGTCTCTGCACTGCAAATGATGTCACCGTCAACTGCAGACAACGACAGGCCGTTAGCATCCACGCTGGTTCACAGCAAAACATCTACAAGTTAGCCCAAATGCCCAACCAGTCTGGGATCAATGCTTCAGGAACGAAAGAGAGTCATGCAGCAGTGCATCTTGAATGCGTCAGTTTTTCCCCCTTCGAGCAGCTCCAAGACAATTATTTCGCTTGAACAATGCTCTGAAGCTTAACGAAGCTTTCGGTCTTTTCACCCGTCTTATAGAAACAATTCATCTGTTCCAATGACACAACAATTCATCTCGTTTGTCAAGTTTGCGTGGCTGACGAGGCCTCGATCAAGCGTGCAGAATTGTAGCCATTCACGGCCATGTTCTGCGACGCCCCCTAAACCCGCTAAAGGAAGCTCCATTCAGTGAACAATGTACTGTACCTGTATGTGGGCTCACGCGAGGTCGCCGAACAGGGAATAGCTCTGTAGCTGCTGGCTCACCGTCACTGGCAGGAAGGTGCAGGAAAGGTCGGTAGGTGTGGGTCTCCTGCCTGCGTGTGTTGTCGTGGACAGCGCAACCAAGCTCAACATAGCCCGCCTCAGCCAATCAGCGTCGGCTGTTGGGAGGAAAGAAGGCGGAGAATATGAAAGAATGGAAAGAGCAGCCGTCTGAAATAAAAATAAATACAAAATAAATACCAGAAAATACAAAGCCCCTAACATTTTGGCTTGACTGGGGCTGCATGCAAAGCGACAGCCCAAAAAAGCGAACAAGAGAATCTGCACGCTTGAGGCCGAAAGCAAGCAAGACTCCAAAAAAGAGGGAAAAGGGGATTCAGTTGTTCGCCAAACAGTCCCTTCATCGGGCTCCAACAATCAGCCACACGACTCTCCCGACGGTCGGTCCTTCCTGCCAAGCATCGCGCGCCGGATTCGACGCCGTCGCCCTTTCCTTTGCTATCGCCTTCCTGCCATCGACATCACCGTCGCTCCTTCTCGCATCGAGTGCATTTCGCATCGCCAGACTTTTTCACAACAACACACGACTTCAACCGACACGTTTTCCTCGATCCATCCTTTAGACGGCCTCGACAGCAATCAACGGGCGACAGCCTCATCGAAGCGCCGAGGTCCAGCGACACGACATCGTCGTGACCATCTCGAGACCCCCAAAGCATCCGTCATAACGAGGCAGAACGGACGCTGCTCGATGATTTGCCGACGCCCATTCAACCGATCCTAATTTTTTCTCTTTTCTCTTCGTTTTGTCCTCTCCCCTCCCCGGCGAATCAAGCGGATCGAGCGAATCGACGGCAACCATGTTCTCGCCGCACGAAGGTGGCCCGGCCACCGCCACGCGGAGCCGCCGTCGCCAGCGTCCTGTCTCGTCCGACAGCCTTGCTCAACAGCCCAAGGCGAAGCGCCAACGTCTCCCGCTCACTGAGCAGACCTTTGTCAACCCCGATGCCGTGCCCGAGATGTTTCAGGTCAAGGCTGACAAGGTTGCCATGCTGAGCGCCCGTCGCGACGGTGTTGAGAACCATGGCAACAATAACAACGTGCCGCCCGCGACAACACCTGCATCCTCGACATCTGCCGCAGCAGCAGCAGTTTCCACTCCCACAACATCCGCCTCAGCACCCAAGAAGGAGCTGAGTGTGCGGTCAAAGAAAACCAAGGCCGGCGAGCGGATCAGCAAAGGCGACGGCAGTGTTGTTTTGGTACGTTCTGAGTTGTTTGAGATGCTCGCTTCTTTTTATATATATTATGGTTCTTCTCTTCTCTTTTCATTTTCCTCCTTTTATTTTCCTTCTCATGGTTGATACTAACTCCAAACTCACAGGCCAGCAACAATGCATACACCGTCAGCAAACTGCCCGCTCTACCAGACAGACTACGGACAGATCCAGGCGGTAGGCTCAAATCCAAACCCAGCTCATTTCACAAGAAACAAACCCATGTCTAACCTCTTTGTCCAGGCCGCCAACACGGTACCATTTACTCGTCCAGCGGCTATGCCGTCTCACTCACGCATACCCACGCCATCGTTTGGCCGTATACTGCCAACAGCCCGTCCCCGGAGACCTTCACATTCACTCTGCCCTACCCGTCCCGACACATTTCTGATCCGCTGCCGCTTGGTGCCCTCGTTGCGCCGGCAGCCTCGTCCGAAGAGCCCGGCCTCGTCGTTGTTATGCCTACCACTGGTAAGGTCAGCTACTGGGAGTCCATCTCGAGCGCCGCCACTCTCGACTTTTTGCGCCAGCAGCGAAACGGTGTCGAGGACGTCATCCAAGGCCTCTCTTCGACCGAACACGTGACCGAAATTCTTAACGCAGAACCCGCCGGCTTCATCCTCCTCACGAGTACGGGGCGCCTTGCCTACATGAACGTCCGCGACGGCCACGGCCGGCCAGCCATCTCTGTGCAGTTCCTGCGCACCGCCGGCGGCGGCCCGTCGTCTGCTGGCTTCTTTGGAAGCATCCGCCATGCCCTCAAGAACCCGGCGCACCGCGAAGACGTCGTCGCCGTCCGCGCTGGCCCCCATCTCCGCGTCGGCGAGCGCTCCATCGTTGCCGCCACCTCCAAGGGCAAGTTCAGCGGCTGGAAGGTCCATCGCGGTGGCAGCCACGACGCGATCCTCGAGACCGACGCCCGCGACGACATCCTCGGCGCCATCCGCCAGTTCGATTTCTCTGCCGACGGCCCCGAGGGCGATTCTCTCGAGGTTGTTGACTTCACCTACGTGCCCAAGGGCATCGAGCGCAAATACACCGACACGGTCCGCCTCAGCAACGCCATCGAAGACGACAACGACTCAACACACCAACTTCTCGTCCTTGTCTCACTCCCCCACAAGCGCCGGAAACCGTACTACCTCGTCGAGCTCCTGCTCGCTGCCGACAACACCCAGGTCGGCATGGTGCGCCCCATCACCTCTCTCGCTGGCCCTGTCAGCCGCCAACAGCAATCCACCGAGCAGCGCCCGCGCGTCTACCTGCCCAAGCCGGCAGTTGTCGCGTACGTTGTCTTTGACCGCGCCGTCGTGATCGCGTCGCTGGTGCATCCCCCGGAGACCCCCGATTCTCAGCTTCAGGGCGAGGCTAGCTACCTGCCGCCTTCGTTTGAGGATATCGTTGACTTGCGCAACGACGGCATGTCCGAGGTTGTGGGATCGGGCGTCGAAGAGCCTGCGAGCTTGCTGCCGGAGGCCGCCGATGCCGGTTCCGGTGCTGTGGGATCTAGGGTGCACCGCTACAAGTCCAAGAACCCGGCTGCCGTTCTCATAGTGCGCGGCGTTGGTGTGGTGCGTGTCGCCACCGTCGACGTGGAGCGCTTCATCGGCGAGAAGCCACCAGAGGTCACCGCCAAGAGCAAGCTCGAGCAGGCCGTTTTCTACGGCATCAAAGACGACAACCCCTTGGTCTTTGAGGGCAAGCGCGACTCGCCCTTTTCCGACGCCGAGATTGGCGAGGCCGCCATGGAGCTCAGCCGTGACATCCTCGGCTCCAAGACAGCCTTTACGCCCAGCGTCCCTGCCTCACTGGAAGGCAACCTGCGCACGCGCGCCGGCTACCTCGACCGTCTCATGTCACACCTCAACGCTCTCCATCTCGACCTGAGCCGGCGCGTGCGCTGGCGGCTGCTCGCGGACGCCGAGAAGATGTTCACGGCCACGAACATGTGGCTGCTGCACGAGCAGTTCATGGCCGACCGTGCCGATGGCAAGACGTCGGACCGCAAGACGATCATCTCGGAGATTGTCGAGTACATTCACGAAGACGACAAGAAGAACCCCAACCGCGACGTGGGCGAGGTCGACCGCGTCCGCTACTTCTTTGTCAACGATGTCTGGCGCATGGACCTCTTTATCGCCTGGGCCTACGAGGTGATCAAGTACGTCTACCGGGACCACCTGCTGGACGACCGCGGCGTGACGCGTCTCTTGTACGAGGGCGTCGAGGTCAACTACCGCGCCCTCAACGGCGCCACCGACTACCGCCAGGACAAGCTGTCGTTTTACGGCCTGGGCAGCGAAGAGCTCGAGTCGGGCATTCTCGTAGACGGGTACGACGGCCTGCCGGAGCCCTGGACCTCGACGTACTTTATCACGAACAACGCAAAGCGCCTGGTGGACCTGTGCTGCAACTGGCTCGACCAGTTCTACCCGAACAAGGCCACGTCCGTTGCGGCACCCGACCCAGGTTTGATCGAGTCGATTCGCGAGTCGCTTCCTAACCTGACCGACCGCTACCTGCTCGCGCTCTTGGAGCACTACCGCTGGACGCAGACGCGCGACGTGGAGTCGGAGCGCGAGTATGGCGAGCGCTGTTCCAAGGCCTATGCCGAGGACCGGTATGCCAAGGTATACCGACTCAAGAACTACGGCCTGTGGGACGACGCGATCGAGGTGGCTAAGAAGCACCGGTCGATCGACGCCCTGGCCGGCATTATGGTCGAGGAGGTGCGCAGACTGCGCAACGACGCGGTCACAGTGGACGCCGGCACGCTGCGGGCCAACGAGAAGCGCGCCGAGGCACTCTCCAAAGAGCAGCGGATCGCCGAGTACTTTGACAAGTACGGCGAGCCGTTTGCGTTTGCCGTGTACGAAATCCTGCTGCGCGACGACGGCATCAAGGCTGTCCTCGACTTTCCCGGCGACAAGAAGGCCTACGCGACCCGGTTCCTACGAGCCAAGCCCGAGCTTGCCAAGATCTCGTGGATCAACGACGTGGAGCGCGAGAAGGACGTGGAGAGTGCCGCCGGCACGCTCCTGAACCTGGGTCTCGACCGTGAGCGCCAGGTCTGGAACAAGAAGATTGAGCTCAGCCTGGGCAAGCTGGCACTGCTGGCCGAGCAAGGCGCATCGGCGAACTGGGCCAACAGCCTTCTCACGCCGCCAAAATCGTTGTCGCCTGCTCCCTTTTCATCAGACAACGATGCCACCTCGCCACACAACGGCAACAACGGCAACGGCAACAGCGATGACAACATTGACCGCGTCGACCGGCAGCTCAACATGATCAAGATCCAGGATTTGCTCTACAGCTGGGTGCTGCCGTCGATTGCGACGGCGGTGGACGAGGCTGCCGAGCTGCAACTGGCCATGGAGAACCACGCAACACGCCTGCCGAAGCGGCCGAAGACGCTGCTAAACGTGTTTGAGGACGGCCTCAGCCGGCTGCTCAAGCACGAGGCACTCGACGCGTTCACGCTCATCGACCTGCTGACACTCATCGACATGCGCAGGGAGGAGACGCTGATCGAAGAGGACGTCTTTTACCTGGCGCTGCTTGTGGCCGACGCGGGCCTGGGCGGCGAGGACCGGCGGCAGGCGCAGCGGCTGATCTGGCGGCGGTGCTTCATCCGCGACGACTGGGCGCAGATCAACAACACGCAGCTGCAGGACGACGAGTCTACGGCGTCCATTCTCAGCCAGACGTCCGTGTACACCACCGTCTACGCGCTCTCCATCCAACGTGCGTCTTCCGGCCCCCTCCGCACGCTATTTTTTGAGAATCTCTATGCTAACAAGTCAGAAAAAATCAACGCGTCTGTGACATTCGCCATGGTCAAGCCATCCGAGGCCCTCGGGGTGTTTTCGGATGCTGCCGATGTCGCTACGACCGCCCGGTTCGGTCACATGGAGGATACGGCACGCGAGAAGCTGGCCGACGCCATGTGCCACGAAGACACGTTGCTGCGGCGCTACATTGACAAGAGCCGGCTCGAGGACTGGTCCCGGACGGCCAAGGAGGGCGCTGAGCGGGCCATGCAGACGGAGATGGACCGGCTGACGGAGCTGCAGGGGTCGGAGTCTGTGGGCCGGCTCAAGTGGAACCTGTTTGGCCCCCGCAGCGCCTAGTGGGTGACTGGCGGACGCAGCGCCCACGACGACGAGGACGACGAGGACGAGGACGACGCACTGAAAAACCGGCTCAGATGGTCCACGGTGCGGATCGACGAGCTGCAACTACCGTCGGGCCGCTACGGGCTGCGGAGGCGAGGGGTGGTGTAAAGAGCCGCGTGACTGGGCGGACGAATGGACAAAAAGGCATCTGGCGTTTATCTCACCCGAATTGGTTTTCATCTCTCTGCTGCTTCTCGTTTGGATGCGGGGCCTTGTTGCCATTCTTTTATTTTGTTTCATTTTCATTTGTTTCATTTGCTTTTTTTTTTGTACTTTTTGGTACTTTTTTCCGGGTTGGTGCTAATCATGCATTGGGCCTTTCTTTTGCTGTGTTCTTCTCCTGAGTTTTGTCTTTGCTCGTTTTCATTGGGAAGGGAACACCTCGGACAGGGACAGGGAACCGAAAAGAAGAGAAACAAGGTGTGAAAACAAAAACAAGACATGGGCGGTTGTTTCTTTTTCTGTATCTACTTTTATTTTGTCGCTTCCGTGTTCTCGTTTCCGTGTTGCTTGTCTGTTATTGTTTTAATTATCAATCCACTGTCTATTTTTTCTCTTTGCTCTTCGCAAAGGAATAGAGCAAAGAGTCACCACCAACATTTTCGCTTTCAGCATGAACTGGTGATGGTTCCACGTCTGGGCTCAACGCAGAGACCGTCACGTGACTATTTTCTTCACGACAGCCCATCAATAGATACTGTTGTTAACAATATAATGCTTCGTGATTCATTCTTATTGATACATCGTGCCTATCCACGTAAAATATGTACATAGTGCCCACGTAGATGTCCCAAAGTGGTTCCCAACGTCGTCAATTTGGGAATGCTGCGAATGCAGATATCAACCAACATCGTGGCTTGCTCGGATGCGCGGCTTCGAGACATCAAATGGAGCTGCACATGAGATTTGGGCTTACAAAAGTCCTGTCGTCGGGCACACTCGATCGTGTCAAACAATGGGAGTGGAGTGGAGTGAGGCTGTCTAAGCTGCTAGCAGCTGTTCATCCGCTGGTTCGATATAGGGCCGTCCCTTTGTCTCTTCCTCTGCCGTCTCGCAGCTCACTTGAACAGACGCCACAGACCCGCCCAGGCCAGGCCCAGCGAAATCCCGGCTATGCCTGCCTGGCGACTGCGCATGCCAAAAAACGAGCCGCTCTTCAGGATGGCTTGGCGCTGTTGCTGGAGCTGGGATGTGCCCGAGATGTAGCTGTACGCCGCAAGGCCGAGGAAGGCACCGCCGCCTGTGAGTGTCAGCCCGAGTCAAACTGTCCACAATACCGTGGAAAGTCACAGAACACGGAAAAGAACGTAAACCAAGAAGAAAAGGAGGGAAAACGCACCAACAACACGACACGGCAGACAGTCTTCGCCGCGGTCCTCCTTGAGCAGGTCCTGGTACTTCTCGGGCCGGTCAAGCGACGCAACAGAAGGAATATTGCTGCTGCCCATGGTTGGGTGGTCGTGATGGTCTGTGCGTTGAGAGAATCCGGTGATTTAGGGACGCTCGATCGAACATGCTGTCGCTCGAAAGACGATAAATTTTGGTTCAGTGATACTTAGTACTGGAAAGCGGCAGGCGCCGAAGTTGCTGCCAAACTGCGCTGAAGTCTAGCGTCTCGCTTTCAGCTGTATTATGTAATTTTCGAAGGCCTAAACTGGCCATCCGCTACCGATCCACAGGCCGCTGATTTCCAGATTTGGCGGGGCATGCGACCGACTCGTGCCCGCCGTCCCAAGCTGCGACATCGCGTCACCACCACCGACAGTCGCTCTTTCTTGCACCGAATTTCTGGCCTCCCACTCCTTCCTCTTTCCTCCTTCCTCCTTCCACAGTCCATGGCCCTCGCTCTTTCCGGCAACCACAACCCACCATGGACGGGGTAATCGAGGCATTGCACATCTTCGATGAGCACAAGTAAGACGATGGCCTTTTACCTCACGACCCTCCCAATCTCCCCACACAACCCTGCTAATCGCTAATCTCTCTCTCTCCGTCCACGAAACAGTGCCCCCATATTGTCGCACACCTATACGGGGCGGCCGCTCTCCGCGGCACAGCTCCTCCCGCTGTATCTCGACCAGCAGCGCCAGCAGCAGCAACAACAAACGTCTGCTTCTTTCTCGTCGTCGTCCTCGTCGCTCTCTTCCCCGTCTGCGTCTGCGGCCGCCAGTCCTGCGGCGCTGCGCAAGCAGCCCGCCAGTCTCGTCTACATCTCCGACACGAATCCGCCAACGCTCGTCTTCTCCATCGTCCACGCCGGCCTGCTCCTTTTGCTGACGACATCGTCGGAGCTGGAGCCGCTGCTGGCCCTCGAGTTTCTGCACCGCGTCGCCGACGCCCTCGAGGAGTTTCTGGGCAGCCCGCTGTTGGCCAGCAAAATCGAGGCGAGCTACGAGGTCGTCGCCCAGCTGCTGACGGAGATGTGCGATGCCGGCACCGTGGGCACCACCGAGCCCGATGCGCTGCACGACCTGGTCGAGGTCGAGGGCCTCGTCGGCAAGCTGCTCGGCAGCATCACGCTGCCCAGCAAGGCCGCCGCTGCCCTCTCGTCTGCCGCCGCCCAGGCCACGTCGTCCTCGCTGTCCTCTGCCTCCTCGCCCAACCCCCTCCTCTCCTCCTCCATGTCCTCCATATCGTCGTCCTCCATCAAGGGGCCACAAAACGGCGGCAGCGCCGCAGCGGCCGGTGGCGGGCCGGCCTTGCCCTGGCGCCGCGCCAACGTCCGCCACACATCCAACGAGATGTACGCCGACGTTGTCGAGTCGCTGTCAGTCACGCTGGCGCCCTCGGGCCGCCCCCTGGCTGCCTTTGCCCAGGGCTCCATTGCCTTTACCGCCAAGGTCTCTGGCTTGCCGGACATATTGCTGACGCTGACGGGGCCCTCGGGCAAGCACAACCTCGGCCGCATCCTGGAGCTGCCCGTCTTCCACCCGTGCGTGCGACTCGCGCGCTGGAAAGAGCGGCCCGGCGAGCTCAGTTTCGTGCCGCCCGACGGCCGGTTTTTGCTGGCCGCCTACGAGGTTGACCTCATGCCCTTTGACGCGGCCAACGGCGACGCATTTTCTGCCACCGCTGCCAACAGCGGCCTGCGCATGCCCGTCAATGTCGAGATCAAGACGAACCTGGGCCCTGTCGGCGCCGACTTTGCCGTCCGCGCCACCATCAACCGCACATTTGCCTTTGGCCGCCCGAACGGCCCTTCCAGTAGCGGTGGCGGCGGTGGTGGCGGCGGAGGTGGAGGAGGCGTTCGTAGTCTCGGTGGCCCGCATCCGGGCTCACCGGGCACCCCGCTGTTGGAGGATGTGCGCATCACCATCCCTCTCCCGTCGGACGTGCGGAACCTGCTCGAGATCCGGCCCACGCGCGGCGATGCCGTTTACAACCCGGGCGAGCGCGTTCTCGAGTGGCACATCCCGGCCAAGGACGTTGCCAGCGGTATGACGTCCTTTGGCCTGCAGTGCACGGTGGTCGGCCAGCAACGGCCCGGGCATCTCGACCTGGACGGCGACGACAGCGAAAACAGCGACGACGACAATGCTGGCGGTGGCGGTGGCAGCGGACAGCAGAGCAGGCCAAACAACGACTACGGTTTTGCCGCATACACGGACGACGAGCCCTATCAAGACGACGCCCCGAAGCAAGACCGCGCAGAAACCCAGGGAGCACCCCTTCGGCGAAAAGAAAAGAAGAAGAAGAAGAAAGACAAGGGTACGGGCACTGGCACAACAAAAACAAAATCCGCAAAGACAAAAAAGGCCCCCAAAACGCCAAATACCGTACCCAGTTCGTTGGAAGCCGCGCCTCCCATCGAGACGGCGGCCGAAGCGGCGGCCAGCCGCAAAATCGCCCAGAACAAGATCTTGATGCCCAGTTCGGCCTCGGTGAGCTTCTCCGTCAAGGGCTGGTTGGCGAGCGGCGTTCGTGTCGAGAGTATTGTCCTCGATACCAAGCGCAGCCGCGGCCTCGGCGACGGTGTGCGGCCCTTCAAGGGCGTCAAGTACGTGACCGTCAGCAAGGGCGGCATTGAGCTGCGGTGTTAGTTATGTGAGACGCAGGGCGAGGCCAATGCATACGTCAATAGAAACCACACAGCCGCATATATGAATGAAAATATGAAAATGGCACATGATGAATAGTAAATATGATTGGTATCCAAGAACGTCCAGATCGTATTGCCGTTCAAATAGCGTCTACTACATTGCCTTTCAATTCTCAAGAGCCATCAGATCCGCTGACCAGACGTTGCTGCCCACATCCATGTCCAGCTGTCGGTCGAGCAGGAACCAGTCCACCATATTCTATGGTTGTGTTAGTAGGGACGGTCAATCAGGGAAATAAATTAAAATAAATAAAATAAACAACCTACCCAGTCGACATTCATTGGATCGTTGAGCACTGCGTCAAATGGTCCCGGGTCGGCCCACTCGTAAGCATAGTTGAGGTGCGGCGGTGGCGGCGGGGGATTTGACGGCGATGCATGGTGCGTTTGGGAGGCTTGAGGTTGCTGTTGCTGCTGTTGCGGCACCTCATATGTTTGTGCTTGGGACCTTGCCTGGGACTGCGTCCCAATTGACGCGCTTTCTGCCGTCTGAGATGCCGGCGTGGTCTCTTCGTTCGGTGTTGAGCTCGCATCGCTCGATCGTACTGTGTCCGACTGGCTCCCGCTCCCGTCGATGGCTGCTGTCTTGTTTCTTTCGGCGCGCTCGGCCCGTTGCGCCCGTTGCTTTTTGAGTTCCTCTTCGTAGTCCTTGTGCCGCTGCTCACGGGCCTCCATGTCCCAGCGACCCCATCCAGGGCTATCCGAATCTGGCCATGGACGGGTCTTGTTGCCGGCTGCGTCGTAATCTCTCTCGCCAGCGTCGCAGTCGCCCAGTTTAGTTGATAGTTTGGTGACGATAGCGCCCAGAACCCGTGCTGCATGTGCGGCATCGCGTGACGTCAACCGCCTCTCGTGCCACAGTGCGTATGCCGTACGCAACGCCTCCATCTTGGCGCCCCGATCTTGGGCGCGCTGTTCGAGCGACGATCCGCAGCTACCAAGGAATGGCGCAAACACGAGCGATGGCGGCAGGTCTAGGTTCTTACTACTTGCGGGAGTAGCGTGCGCGGTGTGTGCGGCGGTAGAATCTCGTGAGCTTGGTGTCCCATCCTCGCCCGCCACGCTGTTGTCGTTGCTTCTTGTACTGCCGTGGCCATGGCGGCTGCCCTCAATCAGATCCAGACAGAGAATCGTTGCTGCCAACAGAAAATCATGCAGCGCTAGCGAGCTGAGCATATTCCGGTCTGAAGCCAACCGACCCGCACCACGGTTGGCTCCGGGCGATCCGGGCGAGGGCTGGACCTCTGTCTGCGCAAGTGTGGCCGCCGTCGACTCCGGTCGGGTCTCGTATTCAAACTCGGTATGTAGGTCTAGGATGCGCAGCGCTGAGACGAGACACGCATGTCGCTGCATCTCCGTCTCGTGGGCCGTAAAGCCCCTGTTGTCGACGCCGCCGTCGGCCATGCGGTCAGAACTGAGCGCTTCGCGGTACAAAATGCACACAGCTTTGTGGTGCATGAGCTCGACACCTAGCCGGTGCATGATGTTGTGGCTGGCGTCGTTAAAAGGACAGTCGCGGATGTGTCTGGGCATGCGGAGGCGTACAGGCACCGTGGAGTAGTTCCAGCGCAGCTCCTGGGTGATTCTCGTCACGGAGTCTCGGTAGGACGACGCCTCGTCGATCTTGGCTTTGGCGTTGCGCCAGACCGCGACCTGCATCACTTTTCGCAGCAGCCGGATAAGCTTGAGCTTGGTGATGAAGAAGAGGGCTGTCGTATAGTCCGATGGCGGCCGCGACGGCGGCAGTTCTGCCGAATTTTCATCAAAGTCATCGTCATTGAGGTTGCGTGGCGGATCCGTAGCGATCTCGTCTTCGTGAACCACAGTGGGCATGCTGAACTGAATGCTGAAGAGCATGTCAAAGGACTCGACAAAGAACCAGACGCGGCGCCGCATCTCCTTTTCGAACGGTGTAAGTTGCCTCCCGCCTCCGCCAGGCGCATCCACCTGGTGGTAGCCCATTCGCTGCGCCAGTCTGACCGCCACACCGAATGTTGCCCACTGTGCGGCGTCGGAGTCGCGTTTTTGCATCAATCTGACATGCGCGTTCAGAACGAGGGCCTCGACCGCGAGTGGCCGGCCAGAGAGGTAGTCGCCTGCGAGGAGACAGCGCGTAGAGAGCTTCCGCAGCTCGGTAGCCAGGATGAGATCTTCGTTGCTGAAGTCGGGCGGGTCTGCCTTCTTGGAGGATTTCTGCCCTGCTGCTGTGCCAGTCCCACTACTGGCACCCTGGCCGTCTCCCTGCTGGTCCGCATGCGAAGCACCCGGCTCCCGGTCGGCCATCCGAGCCATCTGGCGACCACCATCTATCATGGCCCCCATGCACAAGACCGAGGCCAGCATGCTGATCCACAGTAGCGGTGACATTGGGTTGGCTGCAGCAGGGCTGCCCGTCCGCCAGAAGCGCAAGTAACTCCGTTGGAAATGGCCTGTGTGGAGGAATGGCCCCGTCATGTAGTTGGACTGAAAATAGACAGCCAGGAGGCGGTCGCAGTCAGATCGGGGCGGTAGGCATGCAATAGCATCAGCCAGGTGCTTTGGGAGTGGTGGATTCAGTGCCAGGCGTGACGTCGCCGGAGGATTGGATTGGTCGGACGCAGCCAAACCAGGTGCTGCAGCGATGGCAGCAAATATTCCGTCTGGCTCCGCCAGCTGAAACGAACTATACGCCGGCAGGTTGTTTTGTAACTCGACGACGGAGACGCTCTTGGCCAGTGGTAAGGCCGTTTCGGCGGGCTCAGGAACCGCTGAGCGTCTGGAAACGGCCGGCAGGGATGCGAGAGAGGCGGGAAGGAGGGCCGTCTTGGGATCGGTCACGCCGCCGTACATTGTCGGCTTGCTGATGAAGCTGTTGGGTGGGTTTGGCTGTTGATTTGGTATTTGGTTGGTCTCCGTATGGCTTGGGCTAGCCCCTTCCTCACGGGCTTCCTCAATATCGTCATCCATGTCGTGGTCGACACTGCTGTCTGGTTCCCGTTCGTCTTCGTTTTCGGGCGCGTCTCCCAATGCCGCCACGCCGAGGTAGTTTTGGATGTCCCGGATGCTGTCAAGAATGGCGGTCCAGTTAGTAGGCCCGGAAAAAGGAGTCTCCCCAAGCATCATCGCTACAGGCCCCACGGCAGAAGACGGGCCATTGGGGCCAATGGGCATGATCCATTCGAAAGGGGGACCACTCTTGTCGCCTTGCTCTGAGGCTTGCCTTCCACCCGTCCCTGCCGGATTTGGGCCCCCAAAGGCTGGTGTCGGTGTTTTGGCCGTCGCCCCCTGGTTTCTTGATGATGGCGCCCGAGTCACCAGGCCGTTCACCATCTCTTCGAGACGTAGTAGCCGCAACTGAGCTTCCTGGCGCATGCCCAATGCCGAACCCGTCGGGGCACTTCCGCTGGTACGGGCAGTTGATGATGCTGACGAGGCAGGTCGCCGTCCGTGACCGCTGCTGTGACCAGAGCCACTGCTGGAGATACCGCTTCCGACGCTCGGAATCCCACCCACGCTCACTCCCGAGGACGACGCCGCAGATGAGGAGCCTGCATTCACACCCGTGACACCGCCCTCATTTCCGTACCGGCAGAGGGATCCATCGCCGCGCCGGACGCAGGTGCCGCAGGGTAGCAGCCGGTCGCACTTTTGCTTGCGGCTGCGGCAGAGCTGGCAGGACACGACAGGGCGCGACTTGGCCCGGGGCTGCGACCGGCGAATGGGCGGGTTGTTGCTGTTGCTTGGGTGACGTGGGAGCTGGCTGACGTCATTGCTGCTGTTGTTCGCTGCAGAAGTGGTGCTACTGCTGGCCACCTTATCATCGCCTAAACGCACGCGAAACACAGACGTGTAATTGGCGATGTTCTTGTTGGTCATGTCGCCGAGGTCATTGAGACATGAGTGGAGGAATAGGGGTATGTGCAAGACAACAAAGCCGTGGCAATTGCCTTTTGAAAATGTAGAAACAGCAATCAATGGTTTCTTTTCTGCAAGGTAAGTGCAATGGACCTGACGAGATGACGGAGTCGTCGAAATGAAAAAGAAAGGAAGGTGCAATAGTCCGACCGCTGCGGAGGTGCCAAGCTCACATATTTCCTATTTTGGAAATTAGTGGGCCATGTCTGCCAAATACGAAGTACGACGTTCCTTCGTACATCACCGGACTTTGCGAGGCAACTCCTACCGTATCTAGTAATTTGGGAAGCAACACCTCCGAGCCTTCCTGAAAGGGCCATAGCTTACAACGTCAATGCCACGAGGCAAGGGCAAACGACGCACACTGTCTACTGTTTACTCAGCAAACTAGTTTTCAACACTTGCGACTCTATCGACGTTGATCATAGGGCTGAAAACACTGTTCGACCCGTTCGACCCGATCGACATACAAGAAAAGGAATACGGGCGTCAACAATGACAGTATGTCTCGTTTGTAGTATATGTAGCAACCAGTCCCTGTATATCCAACACCCGTTTTGTCGCTATTATACATTTAAGCCTGAACTATCCAAATACAAGAACATAAAATAAGAAATAGAATCCCAAAAATATAGACGCAAAGAGTCCCTTATGTAGTCTCGTTATTTCACAGAAACAGAACGAGAACCCCAAAAGCCCCATCCACCAACGGGTAGGTCGATGTGGCCGACACTTGATACTACTCCAGACCCCCTTTTTTGTTTGCTTTCTTTTCTTTTCTTTTTGGTTTTACAAAGAGTAGCATAGCCACATGCGCGAAGCTACATGTCGCGGGGTATCATGCCAAAGTCTCAGAGGGGCAAAAAAAAACACATGAGGAAACGAAGCCCAGTCAAGAAAATAGGAAATAAAAGATACAAAATGAAATGCGCCTGGGGAAAAGAGCAAGATATTAAATGGAATAGATGGCGGATAGGAGCTGATAGCAATCAGGCTTGCACTTGTGACGTGCTCCGCTTGACAGCAGCAGGGGTGCCATGGCTGACAGTAAATCCAGGAAGGGACTATTGCAAAATTAGTACATGAGTAACCAAACAATGGCATGAAAAAAGAGGACAGCCGGCGAAAAGTGATTAAAAACATACCGACGTCACGACGGAGCCTGCGCCGACGACCGCACCCTTTCCAATGTGCACACCGGCGAGGATCGTGACATTGCCGCCAATAAAAACGTCGTCGGCAATGGTGATGGCTCGACCCTGGAGAGCACTGTGCACACCGTCGCGCTCCATCGGGTCGGTGGACGGAGCCGATGTGAAGGACACATTGGGACCAATTGTCACGCGGTTGCCAATGTTGATTGGCATCGCATCGGAGAAGTGGCAGTTGCGGCCAATGTGGACGGCGTTGCCAATGGTGATGTTGTACCCGTAGTCGGCGTGGAACGGGGCATCCACGACGACCTGGCCGCCAACAGGACCCGTGGCGGCCTGCTGATCGGCTCCTCGCGGTTGAATGATCTCTTTGAACAGCCGCGTGCGCTCGCTCTGTGAGACACCGATATTGGGGTTTGTCGAGTTGTTGAACTTCCAGCAAGCCGCCGCACAGCGTTCCCGGAGATCAACCAACTCATTGTCAAACTGGTAGAAAGGCCGGCCTGCGTGCATCTCATCCTTCTCGCGTCTCGGGCCCGGCACGGTGCTGAAGAAGGGAACATTGCGTCTTGACGCGGCCCGTGCCTCTTCAGTGTCTTTGCAATCGTCCGCCTCCTCGCCGCCTTCTTTCTGGTGCGGCTGACGAGGTGCCAGCGGCTGGGACGAGTACGGGCGGTGGTGCAAGAAGCGGGCCTGTCTCTCGATTGGCACGGGGTCCTGGTGCAACGGTGCATGGCGAGGCTGGTGGCGCTGCATAGGCGGCTGCGATCGATGATCCGGAAGCGGCTGGTTCTGGTGCTGCGTGGGGTGCGCGTGTTGCGGGTGAAATTGCGGTGCGGACTGCAGGTGCTGGCCCTGGTGAACCGGCTGGTGCGGGTTCTGCGCAGAGTGCTGAGGAGGGCGTTCGTGCTCGCGGTCGAGTTCATTCTCGCGCGGCGGAGGTGGACGAGACACATCGGTTTGCGACAGCTGGCGGTGGTGGAGATGCTGGGATGGCGGTTGAGACTGCTGCGGCGGCGGCGGCTGCTGCTGCTGCTGCTGCTGTTGTTGCTGTGGTGGCTGCTGTTGCTGTGATTGCAGTTGATTCTGTTGCGGCGATGGCTGCCGATAAGGAGGACTACCTGACCTGTGAATGTTGATCTGAGGTAGTGGCGTCAGGAGCTGCGGTGTCTCCGGGTCGGTTGTCCGGCTGAGGTCGTGTAGCGGCGGCACCCGCTGGTATTCCTTGGGCGTACGATCCGGGAAGGGGGCCGTTGTGGCCGCACTGACGGGCGTCGGGAACACATTTGCCGGCGCAGAAAATGCAGACAGTGCGGAAAGCTTATTGTGGCCGTCCGAGCTGGTGAGCGCACTGGGCAGGGTGGACGCAGTGGGCCGGTCGTCGTCTGTCACAATAGGGCGTCCTTGTGGCGGCTGGATACGAAGCGCCTGGCCGCGGTACAGAGGAAGCGATTCGCGTCGTTGCTGGTGGAATGTGCCGCCTTGCAGACCGCTGCCAGGACCAGGCATGCCGTAGGCACCGGGTGGCACATACGTTGGGTCCTTGGACTCGATCTGCACTGTTGGCTTGGTCAGGTCTGGCTTGCCCCAGTGGCCCTTCTGCGGTGGGTAGCCAGCACAAATAAAACCACCACGGACACAGTTGCTGCCTATATTTGACGTGGTTAGTACATTGCGTTGGTGGCGAGGCTGAAGCAAGACGCATGGTCTCATATGGCGTATTAAAAACATACATTCAGGCTTGGTCTCGTCGCACTTCTTCTTGCGCTTGCGACAGGTGAGACAACCGGTCTTGGTCCGGTTGCTAAAGTTGCGCTTCCGACGCTTCGGGTCCGTTTGCTGCAGAGGCGGACCGATCTTCTGGTTGCTTGGCGAAAAAGGAGCGCCGTAAACGGCTGGCCGCTCTTCATCGTCCGGGCTGTTGACGCCATATTCGCTCTGTGGAGAGGCACTGGCATGCGGCACCGATTTGTCCAGCTGGCGTGCATCATTGACGGAATGGTCTTCCGCGGGAGAGTGGACCGATCCGGAGCGTCGGTGCTGATGCTGCTGGTAAGCGGCACTTTCGTTCGACGGGCCAGCGGCTTGACGGTCATCGCGAGAGGTGCGAGAGAACCACATGTCGGCATGGTGTTGCTCGCGCTGCTGCTGTTCGCGCTGTTGTTGTTGCTGTTGCTGTTGCTGTTGTTGTTGTTGTTGCTGCTGCTGTTGCTGTTGCTCACGCTCTTCGTCGGCATACGGTCTGGAGGTGTACTCGCGGCTGCGAGAGATGTCGTATGAATCACGGGGTTCTGCCGACGTGCGAGGCGGCTCAGATTCGCCGTCCTTGGACGCACGCGATGCCGCTGATGCTGCCGCAATTGCTGCCGCGGCGGTCTCCGTGGCGGTCAAGATTCGTGGCAGATCTGAATCGCCGCGCTGGTGCTGGAGCGGAGGCGGGCGGGTTCGTTGCGTATCTTGGCGATACGATGTTTCCTCCACAGACGGCGATCGTTTGCGCTTCTGCGTCGGCTCCTCGGGATTCTCCAGATTTGGGTAGGTGGAGGCTGGTGAGCGGTGTGGTGAGCGATCCAGGGGAGATGTGCCCCAGATATCACGTTCGCGCCGGGTGGGCGCGGACACGTCGGGCATCGTCCGGGGCTCAGCGGTCTTGGGGCTGATACGGTCCAGGTTGTACTCCCGTTCGTCGTGCGCTGCTTGAATGGATGGCGGCAGGCGCACCTCGATTGTGTCGTCCATGGGGCTTGGCGGTGAGTTGACACCTTCGTGATTTGTTAAATCAGTCATCCTCCTCCACGATGCCACACGGCTTTTCGCGGCTGCTGACATGCGCATATCAGCGCGACGGTCTCCTAGATTCTCGCGGAGAGTGGGAACAGGGTTGCAATCCTGCTCTTGCTGCGTCTCGACGGAGACCAGGACGGGATATCAAGAGGCCCACGAGAAGACAAAATGACCAGAGGGCGAGATGGCGAAAGTAGTTTGTCGTTTCTGTAGTATTCGGACCAGACAATGGCAGCGCTGAAGCTACGCCCAGGAATGCAACGAACCAGCGACTGCAGACGGGCAAAGCGGGCGAGACGAGGCGCAATGAGCTGATCTTTCCAAATCCAAGCCGCGCGTCGATATAAGTGGGCGGCGACGAAATAACAGAAGCCAGATGAAGCGATGGTGAGACGAGGAGGGAGAATCAAGAAGATGTGCGAGTCGACAAATAAGTAGCAAGGAGAGGAGAAGTGAAGGAGAAAAGAAAGTAAACAGGAGGCGAGGTCAGTCCTATTCAAGTATATGAAAGAAAAGGATGCAGAGGAGAAGAGCGAGGAGCATTCGTCCTTATGAGTCGAAGGGTCTCGCGAAAGGTTTAGTGCGGTCAGGGGTAGGGCCAGATGCACTTGACGGAAAGGCGAGAGCGGCAAACACGGAGAAGCGCCGGGGTAGCGATGTCAATACAAAGTTTGCGCGGCCGGAGGAGAAGAAGGTTGAAAGATGGTGATGAGAGAGAGTGAGTGAGAGGAACAGAGAAAGCGGCGGACGCAGGGAGATGTGAGTGGAGACCTGGCCAGGCCAGCTGTAGAAAAGGCAAGGCAGGAGGAGTTGGAGACGATTGTCAAAACGGGAAGCGACGAGGGGTGCGAAGGTGACAAGGAAGGAAGGAGAGGAGCAGGAGGAGAAACGAAGAAGACGCCAAACGACACGGTCGAGGAAGGAGGGAGAAAACAGATTCTAACGGAAGGAACGATGTGAGATGACAGGAAGGCGCATAGGACAAAGTACGAGTCAGATACGGGGACGGATTCGCAAGTCGTTTAGGAAGGAAGGGGCCAGCAAGCGCTGGCGGTTTGCGTCTCAATACTTTGTCAAAAAAAGAAGGTCCAAACGTCGACGCAGAGACGAAGAGATGAAAAGAGGGAAAGAGGAAACGGCGACAAATCAACAAGAAAAACAAGAGGCAGAAAGCACACGGAGAAGCTGAGAAGCTCAAGAAAGATTAAAAAATCGACCAAGCGGCCGTCTGGCCATGGGCGGACGTGAAAATGGGGGGAGGGGGGTGTGTGTACTGTGTAGGAGAGGCAGAGCGCAAGGCCGAAGCAATGAGCTGAACCAACAACGAAAGAAGGCGTGCCGACGCCGTGCATCTGAGCGTTGCGTCTCGCGCGCTCCACTGGTCGAATTGGGGAAGGGGAGGGGGCGTGGCAGCCGCTCCTTCCATTCGTCGTGTTGCGCTTCGAAGTCTTCGATTCTTCCCTTTCCATTTGCTGGCCTTCCAGTGGTCTGGCCCTCCGTTCCTCCTCTATTGTGCGCTATTGGGCCATGTTATTCGGCGGTCAGGGGTGGGATGCGAGGAAAGTAGAGGCGGAAAGAGAGGGGGTGCGAGTTTCGGGGGGAGGGGTGTGCGGATCAATTGGGTGTTGGGATGGGCGGCACTGGGCAAGCGACGAAGGTGGCCAGCCAAGCCAACGCGCGGGCCCAAAGCTATTTTTGCTAGTGCTCAGAATGTGGGTGGTTCCTTCCCCCAAACCCCAGGCGGCAGGCGGCAGTGAGGGCGATTGCCCTGTGCAAAAAGTCATTTCGACATTTCACAAGCTGTCGCTTTTTCCATTTCATTTGTGTCGCTTTTCTCTTGTTCCAATTTCAGGTGCTCATATCCGCATTGTATGACTTGTATGAGCGTCTATGTCATGGCCATGCAGTCCCCGGCTCGCTGCTTGCTGCTTGCTGCTTTCTGCTTGCTGCTTTCTGCTTTCTCCCTTCCGCTCTTCCCAGGTTTTTGCTTTGCTACTGGTCTGTTGGTGGTCTGGTCTATCCACCAATGTGAGATTTGTTTTACCTTGCCGTGAGCGCTGTGAATGCCATTGCACTCGTGTGGAATAATACAGCAGTGTGTCTGACTTACACATTGGTCTCTGCGTGGCTCTGGACGTGAGATAATATACTTGCATGCCCATATTTTGGCGTAATTACTACTCAGCAGACATCCTTGCAGCAAATATAGCAGGCCATACGTCGCCGCGGATAAAACAGAAGCGACCTCTCGAGGAGAGCGGCGATAACCTATTGCCCCGTAGTAAGATACATTCAGAGTGAGTCGCAAAGCTGTACGGAGAGGAGAGTGTGGCCATCGCTTTCTCTCACAGTTCCGTGCTCGTTCCTCACCTGGCCCCTGGGTCGGGCCATCTGGCCAGCCAAAAATAAGTTTACACACGATGTGCACAGTGGGGCGACGGCGACTGCAACAAGACGAAAGACAGAGACGAGACAGCAGGGGTTGGGCGAACCAAAAGAAGCGGAGCAGGACGACAGGAGACCGAAGCCAGTGGTCGAATAGGAGAGGGGCCAGACTTGGGCGGGCGCTTGAGTTTTGGCGCGCGATTAATAGTGCGCCAGTGGAAGGGGGCGGGGGGCGTGTGGCCGGCGTGACGAGGTGGCTAGCTTGGGATATGCCTCGGGCAACGGAGGTCTTGTTTGCAAGACCTTGATTGGGGCGCAGATTGGCAGATTGGAGATTGGGAGATTAGCAGAAAAAAAGATGGAAGATTCAGACGAGGGCCCGAGGAAAGGGTAAAAACGGCCCCCAACTTTTTGATATTCCACTGGCAGGAGCGAGTTTGGGATGCGCTTGCCATGATGCAACCAAGATTCTGAATGTTTCCTCCTGCATAGTCTCGCCTGTGAGTTGATGTCAAGTCCTCGGATATCCCTTGGATCAGCATCTTATTCCGTTACTATTATTATACGATTGTCCCGTAGCCTCAAGTGTGGCTCCTGCCCTGGCCAGGTCTGGACTTGCTGGGCTCTGGACTCGGCACCGTCAACCCCATGTGTCTCGCATCTCGGCCAGCCCAGTCGACCTTCCGAGTCCCTTCCGTTTCTGGGTCTCACAATGGAGGAAGGACCGTTTGACGCCAGGAGCTTCGTGGCATGTTGAGAGGCGAGGCTGAAAGGTCAAACAGCCGAACAGCAACGAACGTCGCCTGCCACGCATCTCCATGCGAAGCAGCAGCCTATCTGAACCGCACCTTCCTCGTAGGGCAACAAGAGAACAAGGCCCGCTCCGCGAAAGAGGTCTTCCCGTCAAAAATCGTCGCTGTCCATGCGCCACGTAAACGGCAGGCACGATGCACGGCATGCTGGCCCCAGCTCAGATAGACGGTATGCAGTGGGGACAGCATGACATCCCGCGACCCCACGAAGAGCAAAGGCATGCACGCCTGTCGGGGCTAGGAAACAGCGTCTCGGGAACGTCGTTGCTCAGCTGCCCGCCGTGATGTAGCACTACAACCTTGTCAGAAAATCAGCTGCTCAGATCATGGCGACTACCGGATCCATTCTCCTCTGCGGTATATCGTCTTTCTGCAACTGTTTGGGCATCGGCTTCATCTTCATACCTTCTTCCTGTGCGCGGCGCCATGCCGTGTGCCTTTCAAGGGCTCATTGTTTTCATAGCGTGTTTGCTTGCTGGGTTGCTCATGCTAGGTATACGTTTGTTAGTTAGTGTGCACTAACCCTTACGCACACTCCCGTCGCCTGTCGCTGCCGGCCGGGACGCGTCGCACCTAACCACACTAGGTAGACAGCACTAGCTCCAACAGCTGGGTGAGGCCCTAACTGTCGCTAGTGCAAAGCGTGCCTCAGTGCGCCCCAGCGGGGCCACACTGTGTGCCTGGGGAAGCGAGGCTCCGTCGGTGCGTCGTTTTGAGCCGTTCATAGTAAGGAAGGGTCGATAGTTCACGATGCGGAGTCAAGACGAAGTGGTTTTCAAAACGAAATACGAAAGGGGGGGCTTCAGCTATATCCCAAAGACTGGAACAGGAAAGATGTTTTATGCAAAGATCATAAGTGTTCACAGTAATTCGTACGCTCGTCATGAACACCGAGCAGTAGGGGACATACAACATCGTTCTCACAGGCAGCCTAGTCCGCACGGCCAAATGCGGCTAATGATGTTAATGGTTACGGAAGATGTCGTTTGGATCCGTTGCCTTCTCCGACGCAATTAATACTTGCAAATTGAGCGCCCTTCGGCTGAGACCATGGCCGTTCTCGCTCCGTCAAGGCACGACTCGTTGTGCACCGCATGTTCCCTCGTCCCCCGAGTTCTTGCCGTTTGGGCATTTGCTTGTTGCTTTCTATTCCTAGCCGGCTTGCGATTTCTGTCTCCGGTGCAGCATGAATGGCCCTCCCAGTTTCTTGCATTTTGCAGCTGCCTGTGTCCAAGGAAACACAAAGGAGCAGGTACGAGTGCCTCGCAATGACTCTGCAAACTATCGCACAATATGCTTAACGAGGCCGCATCTTTTGTCGACCATATTCAGTATTTTCAGCGACTGCAGAGTATGTCTACTCTATGGGCTGATCTCGTATCCAAGCCTTGCACTCCATCTCATACGATGCATTGTGCCATTCGGCGGTCGCAACATGGGCGAGTCCCAGCATCTGTGTGACAATAAACAGGCGAGTAGCCCTTTTCCTAATTCGCACATCCTCCGTTCGTCCACTCTAAGTAGACATTGCACTCGAAAAATACAGAAAGCCAAGTGTTTGTTGTCAAGAGTGCACCATAAAGTGATCCAGTTCCCGTGCGCCTGCCGTGTGATACTCTGTCTGGCCTTTCAAGACCCACCATCCCACCTTCCCCCGTCTTGCGAGTCTAGCCTCACGCCCCCTTCGAGCCGCTCTTTCTTTCCCTGCCTGTCTGTAGGGCCTGATCACGCCCTTCCCACACCCCCCGTCTGCGCTTGCGTCGTCAAAGCATGCACTGGGGGGAAGGAAACCCACTCATTTCCCCGGCAAGAGCGGGTATGAATGGTCAGGGAGCGAACGAAATGCGCCCAAGCAACGAAACCAGACAAAGAACCAAAATCTTGCCACACCACACCATCCGCGCTGAAAAGCGTGCGACGTGTCTTACATGCCACTCTGCGGTTCCTCCTCTGCCGCATGCCGCATGTACCCAATACTCGACTTCCAGGCGGTAGCTTACCCCAGGCCCTGCTGGACGTTTTACGAGTACGAGGTACCACATACTGGCGCGGAACGAAAGCCTTACTGCGACCCCGTTAATTTGATGGAGAACAGAAAAGAACTTACGCCCAAAGCGGCAGTTTCCCGGTCACCGATCAATAGCACAGAAAAAAGAGTCCCATCCCGTACGTCGTATTACGGCGTAATTTGTGAGTTTCGGGTACCAAGGGAAGGAACGGCATCCACCGCGCGCGGATTCCAACTCTTTGTAGAAACGCGCACGAGGCAGGAACGATAGGCAGAACAATAGGCAGGAACGCCCGTCCGCCGCTTCGACTCGCAAGAATTCAAAATGTTCCGCGGACGTTGCACGATTTGAGACACAGGTTTGCGACCGCAAGAAACAGGTTGCCAGGGTATTTCCAGGGCACACGCAGGCGTACCATTACACGCCATGGCACACCACCGCCAGCGCGCTCGCCTGTGATTGGAAGTGAAGCGCTGCAGAAGCTGCAGAAGCTGCAGAAGCTGCAAAAGTCCAACGGGAACACGCGGATGTGTCGCCCTGCATTCGCCCAGCGTCGCTAGCGTCGACTACCACTCGACCGCGGCGTGCTCCGAGTGCTCCAACTGCTCCAATGGCTCCAATGGCTCCAACAGCAGTGTCCCCTTTCTGCTTGGTCCTCTTTGTCGCGCCAGCCAACCACAGCTCGTAAACGCTCCAAACGCTGGCACGCTACTTCCTCCGGAGCCATATCTTGAACATGTGTTCTGCACCTGCCTCTGATAGCTCCGGATGGCCCTGTTGCAGTCTTTCGACGCAATACTCACTTGTGTAATCACTCCACTGTACGCATAGGAAAGGGAAAGAACGAAGCTCGATGGGAGCTCGCTAGAGGATCTTGGACGGCTCGAAGGAACAGATGGGTGGATTACTGGGCTAAGAAAACAAAGAAGGAGCGATCAATCATCGGGGCAACTACCAAAAAGGAAAGAAGAAAATCTCGAAAAGGTATGAAAAAATGGAAAGAGCGAGAAAGAAACTAGCCCACCGGCACCATGAAGAGACGAATAAAAGCAGCGTGGCTGCAGGGTACAAAGGGGGCATAATGAACATGATGAGTATGATAAGCGAGATGGGTCCACGCTACGATGGATGCCCGTATTGCCTCTTATTCTTTTGGCTTTCATCGTGACTTCGCTCAAAGGCGGTTTGGCGCGGGTAGTTCTTGCCCATTTTCTTCTATTTCCCGCCCACCACTATTTCCCTTTTGAGCAATTGCCCTACGACGGCGCCTTCTCGTTTTCTGCTACCGACCGCCCGAGGAAAACATTCTATTTTTCGGCCCCTTTTCTGAACTGCGGCTTTCCGACGGTTGGATCAGCATGGAACGAAACAAAGCAAAATGAAATGAGACAAGAAGAAAAGTACTCGTGCGCACGCTTTTTACGACGGACTTACGGCTGCGACATCCCATAGGACTGTCCACTCGTCATCCTGGCCTGGACACTGTAAGAAGAACTTTGATCCCCAGACACGACAAGCCAGCCAGATCGAATGTTGGATCCATCCAGCGTGCTTCAAGCCTCGCACTGCCAGCGTGTGATGTATGAAGCAACAAAAGTTCTGGAACCCTGGTCTCGCGCCTGGACTCGCCAGGCCTCAGCGGCTTTCCCCACCCGCGTCTACCGGTAACTCAACAGAAACAGAGAAGACCGCAAACGCCAACACACAGGTGCAAGCTCCGGTGCAAGCCAGAGGCATGGGATGTAGCAGATTGGCCCAGTCACCCCGTCATACAGGCCGGCCATTGCTTGGATTTTCCCATGACGGCCCCCATTGCATGCAATTGCAACGCAGTACGCCGAACCTGACCAGCGTCTCCAGAGCTCTGACAACGGACGACTTTGAACGACACAGCTAACAAAGATTTCTCACAAAGGACGACACATCTTTGCCTTGATCTCACGGCCAGGGCAGATTCTCACAGTGCAAGCTCGTGGAAATCAAAACGGGCCTAATCGTTACGATCCTGGGGGCCCTTTTAGGACTTGTTATCAACTTTCAAGCCTAAACCCGTCCAGGCAAGTTTCCCAAAGCTCGGCGTACCAGTTCAAGACGCAAACCTCATAAAAAAGGACCCAGTACCTGCAATAAATGCCCCAGGGCAGGTAACGACGCTTCGCGGCAGTGCAGGGCGACGCGAAAAAATACGAGCTTGAGCTTGTGTGAGGTGACAAAAGCGCACCGCATTCGCGCCTAGTCCCCCGAACGAGCGTCACTTCTCTGTATCCTCACGAACGACCCTCTCGCAAACCCTCATCTGCGGCAGTCTTACAAGCATGATGAGCAGCTACAAGGGTCTCTCCTGTCCATTCTTTTACCCCGTATCAAACGATAAGAAAAAAAGAAACAAATCCTCTCGTTTCACCTGATATGAAGGAACAGCCCGGAGAAGCACACTACGGCACAATCCCCGTTTAGAATTCAGGACCACAACTTCTGTGTAAGCCCAAAGTTGAGAGGCTACCAGCGAATGTGCACATCCCTTTGCTCTCCAGCGTATCCCTATACTGAGAATGACAACTGGAGCCCACCAACGGCACTCCGCACTCTTGGAGTCGACCATCTCTGTCCAGGGCCAGGAACTCGGGCAGGCATCTTTTCGTCTAAGCGTCTGTCTTGCAGCTGCTTGTGCCGTATTACAGAAGCTGACAAACTACTTTGGACTAGCACCAAAGTCGACACGGCGGAGACTCACGGCAGGCAACAACATACGACGTTCGACTTACTGCGTTAACTATTATTTCACGAGGTACAACTGTATTAGGGGTAGACGCAAGTGGACCGGGGGGGAGAGCCCCAAAGGGCCGCGGCGAGCCACCCAAGGAACACCATGGCGTTTGGTCACAACGCTGCTTGATCCATCACGCTACAACCATGCTGTCGAGTAGCGCGGCGGGTAATGTTTCCGAATTAGGGAACGAGCTCAGAAGCTGCTTCACAACACGGTAAGCTTCCCGTATATTCGTACTCTGTATGCGAACGGTCCGTATGAGCAAGTAGTCGCCATACTGTGCATCAGTTTCGTTTGACAGACAGACCACTGATGCAACAAAGTCTAAAGTAGGTTGGCTCTTCGGGCAACAATAAACAACCGGACGGCCGATCGACGAAGCGGTTGGCGCTTTCTGGTCCCTTTTGCCTAAGAAGCCAGGCTTTCTTTCCCGCCCCCAATCAACAGAACGATGTTAGTCGACCGCGAACGCCAGGGTCAGGCTGAACCAGGACTAGCCAACAAAAGCTGTTCTCATGTCCACTTTTGTCAGGCAACAATACTGCAGGATAAACCCGTTCCCCTAGGCCAGGCCTTCCAATTGCCAGCTAGTCTCGGCCTTGTCTTCTTCTTGCTCCTGCTCATACCCGTGGCCGAGCCGCGACCGTGCTCTCTCGCATACGCCCTCGAAACAAGCCCGCTACCGTCTTGCAGGAATGGCGAAACAACCAGGTCAAAGAGAAGTGCAAGCCTTTGAAAAAAAGAAGAAAAAACAGCCACGAAACAAAAGTAGCCGGAAAATTGTCTGCACGTGGGAAAGCGAGTACTACGCAAAAAACAACAAGTCGAAACATGGCCACTGACTGTGCGTTGTCGACGAACTATATTTAGAAGCCGAAGGGCCCAACCGCCGTTTCCAACAGGGGCCCAATTGACGACCAGTGTCTTCAACCACCCTTCGCGGCCTACGAGCCGTGCTCCGTCAAGCCTCGCCAACCAACAGACCAACATTGCTGGGAATATGGCAACAGGCAAAACGCCTCACAGAACATGGCCATGCACACAGCATGCTCAGAATGCAATTTACAAACCAAAATGTGTCCAAAGAGCTGGATGCATAACCAGAAACAATGGCCGAGCGCGGATGGCGGAAAAGGGCACTGGCCCTGGCCGGCCTTTTATCGGTTCCTGGCAATCTTTTGTTTTCAACGCGCTTGTCTCGGAACTAAAGAGTTCGAAGAGTCAAGTCAACACCCTCCAAAAGGCATCGGCTCCGACGTCTCGTGGCAGCCAACGGAAACAGGCAAGAATGACGCTCTCCAATGGCAAACACAGCACAAGTGCGTTATCAAAGTGTATCGTCCAATTGCACCTGCAGGTTGACATTTTCACGCCGTAATATTCTGCAGGGGCGGTGAGAGGAATGGATGACATCCCATTGCCTGGGCTTGTTGCTTGTTTCTGTCGACAGTCCGCGTAACAAGAACATAATCGGCGTCCAAAAGACGGCGAACAAAGAAGAAAATGCATCAGAACATGGACGAGAAGAACAAACGAATGGGAAAACGGTTTGCAAAATGGGCGTACAGCCCCGGCTGCAGGAACGTAACAAGTTCCATGCATCAGCGCAAGCGCCACAGCGGAGCAGCAGTGATCGTCATCTTGCTCCAACACACTCCTTTGAAGCATATCCCTCACCAACAGACCAAACAGCCCAATACGAGAATGGTAACATTGCTGCAAAGTGGACGATTAACGATGGCTGCCATATGCTTTCGCCCTCGAGCGTTCGTTTCTCTCCAGAACCGGTGTGCGTTGAAGGGGTCCCTGGTGAACACGACGTGCTTGTAAGCCTGCTCCGCAGTGAGAAATCGTTTCAATGCAAGCACGACGTACGACTTGCGGAGTATTACGTTGATGGCCGCCTCGTCCTGACTGCTTACATGCACACTCTCAAACAGAACGGAGATGACCAAGGGGATCGACCGTGTGGTATTTCTAATTTTCTAATTCTGAGAAGAGAAAATCCGGACCAACAAAACCGGGTCTCGACGACAAGAATAGAAACAAGAGTAACTACAGCAGTAAGCGAAGCGGGAGAAACGAGATTGCAATGGGCATACAACATAAACGAAAAAAGAACATCGACAGAAGCATGCACCCGCGAACAAACAGGTCCAATAACGCCTACCAACAGCACCACCGACGAGGTGCAATACGGCTTTCTTTCCTATCTGTGTAATTGGCCAACACATTTACAACTGGGTGAAAAGCTCATTTTGAACCGGCAGTTTTTGCAACATCACACCCCCTTTTTGTCGGCTTTATGAACTGCCAAAAGTAGGGCGCGGCGCTTGTCGAACACGGCGCAAACGCTCACACCCACTCCATACCTGCCCGGCCTTTTCGTTCCATGGCGAGATTGGGACGAGATTGAGACGAGATTGGGATACAGCCATCTGCACAACATCTTTTAATTACAGAGTATGTCTACTGGTCAGCCGGGGAAAATGAGAACATGACGAGCGACGCCATGAAAAAATTTAGCACGACACGCAATAAGAATGTCGGGCCCGGCTGAAATCCAGCAGCTATGGTTTTTGCCAAACTTCATCTATCTGGCCCCTGGCAGTTAGCTGCAGGCCACGATGAGATTCCATGGTGAGAGTATTTTTAGATACGCTTCGCATGCTTAGTCACGGTGCTGCATTATTCTCGGTTCCGTCTATTGTTGCTTCTTGCCTTGTGTCCTGCCACTTGTTTCTCGTTTCCGTACATCGCTGTTCGCATTCTGTCTTCTATCTTGACCTGCATGATGCTTCTGCTTTACGAGATTGATACTGGTCACCATTGTCGCTGTCTTCGCGAACGACCTGGCTACCTGCTACTTCTGGCTCGTCCTTGGCCAGTCTCTGGTCACTTGGTCTGCTCCACTCGAAGCGATGTCGAGATATTGTTTTGGGGGCCGTTTTTCCCAACTGCCTGGTTAACTGAATCTTGTCCGCATTTTGTCTTTGCGCATTGCGCACATATGGAACCCCATACTGTCCTTGCTTGACTCGGTTCCATGCGCATACAATTTTTGCTGTTTATCTTGTTTTTGTTTTTTTCTCGTCATGCGGGCGGATAATCTACGATGCACGGGGACCCGAGATGAGGCCCAAAATGCGACCGTCTTTCATTTCGTTTATTGTCGTTTATTGTCGTTTCTTCCATGTCGTTCGCTCCCGTCTGCTGTCCAAAGAATTCAACCCCCAGCGTTGACACAAGACGTGGTGCATTGCAGTCCCGCCTTTGTGCAGGGCCAGTGAGGCTTTTCACCTATTGCGGCTGCGATGACCTGTCAGCCAATGCCCCTTCTCACCGCCTTCCACAAAGTCTCTTTTTGTGTTTTTTGCGACCCCATCCATAACGGCTGAAACCGCGTCGTCAGGGCGAGTGGGTTGTCAACTCTGGACGATGTCACCATGTGGACCACAGAGTTCGGCAACTCGTCGAGACACTAGCCCAAACAATGCCAGAAGAAACGCAAGTCCTTCTCAGCGGAGGACAATTTATCGCTGTCTCTAGGTATGCATATGAGCTGCATCTCGGCTTCCAGAGGGATGTGCTGTTTCTTGCCATTTCTTTTGTCGTTGTTTTGGGAGTTTTGAAGTTGTGACTTAGACGAACGGCCCACTACTGCCAGCATTCACGAATCAGAGACCACCATTGCCTCCAGCACGAAATAGCCGCTCGTTCAACAGCTCTAAGCGCCCATCCATCAAACACGGACCAACAGAACCAACGAACCAACCTGGTGTAAAGGGTAAAAATAACAAGGTATGATGTGTGGAGTATGACACTGGCCAACGCAACACAAGCAGCAAGTTGCATGGACAAAAGTATCGATCTCGACTCCATCCATTTTGACGAGCTCGCTCATTTTGAGTCGAGCTTTTCTCACTTTTTTATAATTTCGTTTCTATTTTTGGGTTTGGAACCTGCCATGGCCTCATTCGTCCGTTTACCACGCTCTCGTCGAATGGGTCCATCCCCGCATTCCATGCTTCACTTTTCTTTTTGCTTCATGTGAAACTCACAATGGCCTGAACGAAAACCCCAGGCTTTGTCACTCGCCTGCCCGAGTCGACAGCTGCTCTTCAGCTCCTGTCAAGGCAAGGGAGAGAAAGGGGCTTCTGGGGTGTTGTCTTGTGGTATGTGTAAAGGGTAGCAGCGAGTAGCTCACGTCCAGGGCCAGCAGGCGCCAAGGCTACGCGGTAGGATCATGATCATTGATCATCTATTTTTGGCGTCGCGAATGGCCCCCAACGTCAACATTAACACCTCTCTTCGTCCCAGTACGCCCCTGTTCTGACGTTATCGTCCACCGAGAGCCCCTGTCACCTTCTCTGGGGGGTCGAGGACGTGGGGTGAGGCGCCGACGGCAAGCCCTACGAACAAACAAAACACATGTCGGCCCACCTGTCGCAGCCAAACAGCTCACGGCACCTGTTTGCGCTCAAGGCTGTCCAGTTGTCCATGTTCGCAGTCCACGAATCACAATGGAAAGAAACGACGACACTTTGCAACCTTCGCAGCGCCAGCAGACTGGCCAAAGGGGAACGCCAATGCGGCTAGCCGCCGTGCACCCACACAGCAACCTTCACACAAAGCACATGGAGCACATGGAGCACATTGATGTCGTGGGTCTTTTTGCTTTGTATTCTGCACACCCCTCCCGGCGCTCTGGAAATGGAGCACGCATGCAGACTCCAACATAGGGCTTGCGGCGACAGAGATCACCGTCATTCATCACATATGCAGGTACCAGTCGCCTTTCAGCGTCACGCTGCCGCGGCCGTGTCTCTACTCAGGGCACAACAAGGATATCCTACCACCGCCGGCAGACTAGCTCACTGTGGAAGGGCTAGCCGCCGTGCCCAAGGCAGTTGAAAGCTATTTTTATCATCTTGTCTGCCGAAGTATCGGCGGTCCATCCTGGTTCACGAACATGATGCTTCTTTGCGATTCTGGAATGCCACTCTGTCTTCGACTCTCATCTATCGCCACGTCTATCTACACACCCCTGTGGAACGAATCGACAACAACGACGAAACAGTCGGGTTGCGATGCGCCGGCCCATGACGTACCCTCGGACCCATCACCCGCGGCCAGGTGTCTTCGGCCTTGCCCCTACCATCTGCAATTGGCCCTTGGCCTTGTCTCGCATCACTCCGTTCTACATTGTGGAGTAAAAGTGCAGAAGCAGAACCTCTCTTATTCGGAGCCATGGCACGTGTATCTGCAGCCAAATCATACATCGGCTGTGACATCTCATGTGATATCTAATGTGATAACCCCCAACTTGCTGTCCATCTCTCTATATATATCTTTAAGCGCGGGTGGCACGGCAGTTCTCGATCCGGCAAGCTTAATGCAACGACTGCCCTAGCCTGAGTGTGCAGGTCTATGATACGGGTCAACCGCCTGTACATTGCCGCCTGCTGCCTGTCCATGTCCTTTACTGTCCGTTCTGTTCTTTGTAGGCCCTGCTCACAATTTGTAGAGAATCGATATCTAGGAACTGGGCATGGACAGCGATTCGTATAACAAGGCTAGAAAGAAACAAAAAAACGACATGGCGCAAACCACAGTTACCGAGAAAGATGTCCATGTTCGGTGTTGAGACCCGCGCAGGAACAGGAATAGAAACAGTTGTGAATAGATGCATGCTATACCGAAAATGGCGCCAAAGAAATGGAGATGGGGTTCATTTTCCGCTGTACCTTCCACCTGACTTGCCTTACATCGTGCCTTCCTCATTCGTCAGGTATTTGTTGGAGAAAAACCTTATTCTATTTTTGCAATCACACAGGGCAGGCGCGCTCCAACCGGGCGGTTCCTGCCTGCAACCCGGCGTCACCTAACGTCACCCCCTTCACCTCATTTTATTTCTCCATTCATTACGACGTTCGTCGACGACGGATTGGCTCTTGTTGGCCGAGGCTGTTTATTGTCACCTTCGACAACGTACATCCGCTTACCGCCGGGAAGGGTTGAAAGAGATGACGTTCTTGTCTTTCCTAGTTTGGGTGTCGGCTGTCCCCTGCAAGACCGCTCCTGCCATTTTCTGGTCTTGCCGTCGGTGGCCCTGGTCGCTTAGGGAGGGCGGATCTCCCAAGGGTACTCCCGCTGCTTAATATAGCATCAACTGGAGACGACGTGAGACGACGTGGAAGGGAAAGCACGGAGATCTTCGTCGTTTCTTTCACGCCCCCTCCCTCCTTCATGACACGCGCACTTGGGCCATCACGTTGGCCATCTCGAACCCTTCAACCTTAATGTTTCTATTTTAAACAAAAAATGCGACTGTCATTCTTGCATATGGCCCTGCATTTGACCATTTAAAAAGAAACAAAAGAGAAATGAAGACAGTGCCGGTGCGAAGATAGCGCCGGTGCATCCTACGGAGATTGGAGTTTCGTTTTGATCACAGGAAGAACCGAACGCAGAAATCTAGGGTGTCGATCTGGCATTCGGGTCGTGACCACTGGGCCGCGAGCCAAAATCTATTGTTAGAAGCGATGTGGAGAAGTTCGAGGCAAGCTTGCTTTTGGATTTTGTTTCGTCGACAGCGACGAGGCTCTGAGGCAGCCTTTCTTGATCCCGGGCCATGGGCCCGTACGTCCGACGTCGCCCGTTCTGGTTGACCTTGGACTCACAACATCCATTGGCCACGATGGCGTCGACAGTGATGCTGCTGTTGTTTTATTTTGGTAGCGTGCCGGCTTGAATTTTACCTTGCACAGTCTGGGCACTCGTTTACATGCCCCTTCACGTTTGGGGCAGATGGTGTTGTTTACTTTTGACATCTCAAGCCCTAAAAATGTCGTTGGTCTTGCATTACAGTATGGATACTAGAAGAGTGTACAGTAAAGAGTAGTAGTCCGAGAAAAAGAAAACAAGGAAGCAACGGCGAGGTCACTTCTTCTGCCGCTTCGAGCTCTTGTCGCTCGCCACGCTGAGCACACTCGCACTCCGCTTGTGTGCCGAGCTAGCATTGTTGCTGCTGCTCCCAGGCCGCGAGCCCGACCGTGTCGTCCGGGCCTCGTGCACATCGCCACTGCCGTCTTCCTCTTTGGTCGGGACAAGCTCGTCCTTTGTCCTTGTGACCGTAGTCTTCTTGTCACTCTCGTTGTCGCCCTTTTGCTCAGATGTCGCCGCTGCTTCGTCGGCCACCTTGGCGTCGGGCTTGTCGGCCTCTTCTGCGTTCTTGTCGGCCTCACCCTCCTTCGTGTCCTTGCCGTCCTTTTTGTCCGCACCGGCACCCTCCTCGGTCTTGTTCTCGGCCTTCTTGTCGGCGTCGGCTGCGCCTTTGGTCGCCCCGTCCGTCTGTCCCGGAACAATGCCCCTCGCCCGATCGCGCTCGGCCTTCTTCTGCTCCTCAATCTTGATCTCGCCGTCCAGCTTGTCGCTCACCTTGCGCAGGTCCACCAGCTGAACCACCGAGTTGACCAGGTGCTCGAACTGGGCCGTGACGGACGCCGTCGGCATAAACAGCCGAGCAGGCATCTCGAGCTCGTTCAGAATGTTGCTGATGCGGAGCTGCTGTTGGCCGCTCTTGTGCGTAAACAGTTTGTTAATCTTTTCGTACCGGAACGTCGGGCCCGAACCCAGCCGGTCGTGGTACGTCACGCCGTACACGTCCTGTTCCTGCTCCGTGAGCTTGCGCCGCTCCATCTGTGGCTGGCCCTTCTTGTTGTTCTTGCCGCTGGCGGTCGGTGTCGCCGCCACAGGCGTCGCGGGCGCCGTCGCAGTCGCGGCTGCTGCAGACGACGCAGCCGCTGCCGTCGGCGTGGCGGCTGCGTCGGTGGCATTCGCCTTGTCGTCCTTGGGGTTGGCCGATTCGCGGCGGTTCGCGCCGCCGGCACCCGACGCGGCGATGCTATCGCGTCGGCTGCCAGCGTCGGCGCCAGCAGCACCCGCAGCACCACCACTGGCACCCGCCGCGCCCGCTGCGCCCGCCGCTTCGCCGGCCGCCAAGCTCTTGCGCTTCTTGGACTTTTCGTTGCTGTACATGAGGCTCTGCAGAAGTGTCTGCAGACCGGCACTCGTCTTGAAGCTGCTAATGTCCTGGTCGGCAATCGGGAACTCGAGCCGGTGGTACAGGTCGCGCCGCTCGTCGTTGGTGCGCTCCGTGCGATCCATAATGCGGCGCACCTCGAACAGCAGCGCCTCTTCCTCGCGCACTTCCTCGCGCGACCGCATCAGCGCGTTGGTCACAAATGCCTTGCGCTGGCGTTCTTTTTCCGGGTTGAAGTTGGCCATGATGCCGTGTAGGTTATACTCGGCCTGTGTCATGTACTGTGCCGGCTTCTGGACAGCCATCATCTTGGCTGCAATCTCGTAGTACCGCGCTTTCAGGTCCTCCATCGTCCGGGACGCACCGTCCGCCGGCTGCGACGCTGGCACCACAGCCGTCGCGTCGGCGGCCGAGGCAGGAGGGGAGGATGCTGCGGCGCCGTCCGCAGGCCGGTAGTCGTAGCGATCCCAAATCAGCGGCCAGCGGAGATCAAAGTCCTTGACCAACTCCATCAGGTAGTCCGTCTCCTCCTTGGTCCAGTCTGGGTGTTGCAGGTTGGCCGCGTACTGGTCGTCGCTGTATTGCGGCACGACCACGCGGACGTTGAACTTGGCAAATGCCGAGTCGTCCATGGGCTGCTCTGGCTCGCCTGGCTGACCCTCCTGTACCTTCGGGTCGTCCGTCTCCATAGCGTCAGCACCGGCCGCCTCGCCGGCCTGCACTGCCGCCCGTGCATCGCCCCTGCTGCCCGCAGGTACCTTTCGCCGCCAGTGCCGCAGCACAAGGCTTTTGTCGTCGCGTGCCGAGTTGGTAAAGGCCCGCAGCTCCCAGCGCGCCGCCGGCTTACGGTTAGCGAGCCGCCGCTTCTTGATGTTGGAGAGCTGCGGCACAATCGAGATGGGGCTCTCGCCGCCGAGACTCTGTACCTCGCGCGCCAGGCCTTTGAGGTTCCGTGATGCGCCGGCACCCAGTGCGTGGCCGCCCGTCCGCTGCTTCTTTGTCGGTCGCGAACCGGCCCCGCTGCTGCCGTCCTGCGGCAGGTTCAGCACATCGCGTGCGTCGAGTGATGTCGCCATTGTGCGACGCGAATGTGAGCTTGTGCGAGTGGGTGTCGTCGGGAAACGTTCTGATGATTCCCGTTTCGTCCTTTTCCACCGTAGAGAATGTTTGGCGAGTAAAATCGATAGCAGTATTCGACGGTCCACGTTACGCGTCGTTTGCGCTCATGTCGGATCGTCCGTCGTCAGGGCGCCGATGGCGTGGAGGGTGGTGGGTGATGGCAGAAGATGGAGCAATTGTGCTGGCGTCGACGTGGATTTTCGACTTTTTTACATGTCAACGAGACGTCGTCGCTAAAGCGCGTTTTGCGACGGTACTTGGCCTGTGTCTGCACGTGACTAGATGACTAATTAACTCCAAGGTCAAGCTAACCATGAACACCTTCTTCCTGTTTTTCTCAGGAGTGCAGGTGCCACCCAATAAGTCGCGCGTAATTGGCAGTCGCGCTCCTAAAGTTGACACGTGATCACGCTACAGGGGAGCAAAAGCCCCTTTATTCGACGTGGCAGCTTGGGCCTTCCCCTAAAGGAAGGAGGACACCTGGAAAGGAGAGAGCGACTTGAGAGCTTCTGGCCCCAAAAAACACGAGGCCGTAACGCAGCAGCAAAATCGACGACTTCCACGACGCTCTGCATCTGCACAAGGGACACGCATCATCCTTTCCCCTGCACTGCGACCTGCGACGATATTCGAGTGTACCGTTGGCTTTTGACACGCTTCTGCCACCCTTCTCACGACGACACGACATCGACGACCTTCTTTCTCTGCTCCCTTTACGCCCACGCGACATTTCTCGATTCTCAACCTCGCGCTTCTTCAGCCCTTCCTACACATTGACAATGAAGTCTTTTCTGCCGTTATTGAGCCTGGCCGGTGCTGCCAGCGCGCTGCACCTGTACATTGATGCCTCGAAGCCCAAGTGCTTCTTCGAGGAGCTACCCAAGGACACGCTCGTCGTTGGCCACTACAGCGCCGAGGAGTGGGACGACCGCATCCAGACCTGGTCGAAGCACGATGGCATCAGCATTTACATTTCCGTCGATGTGAGTACTCCAGTTGCCGGCTGGGACGGTTTCATAAACGACCTCGTGCGTCATAGCTAACGTGCACGTTTTCCAGGAAACGTTTGATAACGACCACCGCGTGGTGTCGCAGCGCGGTTCCTCCAGCGGCAAGTTCACCTTTACGTCCGCCGAGGCCGGCGAGCACAAGATCTGCTTCACGCCCACGTCCAACAGCGGGCGCCCCGGTTGGCAGTCGGCGACGGGCCACGAGGGCCACAAGGGCCACGTCGGCATCAAGCTGGAGCTCGACCTGGCGATTGGCGAGTCAAGCAAGCTCGAGAGCACCGACAAGAACAAGCTTGAGGACCTCGAGAGCCGTGTGCGGGACCTCAACAACCGCCTGAGCGATATCCGCCGTGAGCAGGTCTTCCAGCGCGAACGCGAGGCCGACTTCCGCGACCAGTCCGAGTCCACCAATGCCCGCGTCGTCCGCTGGATCTTTATCCAGCTCATCGTCCTCGGTGTCACCTGTGCCTGGCAGCTGTCGCACCTGCGGTCCTTCTTCATCAAGCAGAAGCTGACATAGATGGGAGGATATTCGTTTGTGTGCGTCGTCCCATCTGCAGAGGCTGTTAGCTGGCATGGTCAACACACGACTGGCCAGAAAAAAAGAGGACGGATGCATCGATTCGCCCCCTGTTCTTACATCATCTACACATAAAACTACAAAAAGAAAATGAAACAGAAAAAGGACGCTGGCTGTGTGACAGATAGAAGCGGTGGACAGCACAAATATGGGGAGGGAAATGACATAAAAATAAAGACTGGGACTCTGGGACTGTGCCGGGCAAGGCTGGGATGAACGACTTTTTTTAACACGCGAACTGCTTCTCACTCACTGTTCGGGTTGTCGTTTTTGTGGGGTTCTTTCTTCTTGTTTCTTCTTCTCCCTTGTCTGGTTTCAAACGTCTCTTTAATCATTATTATACATTTTTCATGTGGTAATCGACGCACCGAGCATGGCGTTTTCCGTTATTTTTTACACAGTGGGTGTCTGTACGCATCCATTTTGTGTGATCCATTTCACTGACGGCAATATGGAGCATATCAACAAGATAACAAGTCGACGACACACACAACAGTGAGACAATGGGGTCTATGTAATTTTGTTCTTTTTCGTTATGGCTATCGGCAACCGTTTCGCTTTCCCAAATGTGCAAAAGAGAGAAGAGTTGGAACACACAGCGTGAAAACAAACGCAAAAATCGCAAACTCCTCGTTTTTGGTCCACCACGACTAATTAAATATACGACTGTAAGAGATGGCAAGGAATGAAACAACATGAGAAAAGCCAGGCCCAATGCAAATATCTCTTTTACAGAAAAAGGAAAGTGAGAGCGAGTGTATGTATGAGAGTGTGTGACAGAAAAGGTACGCCACAAAAGGTAAGACACAAGAGCTAAAACGAAATAACAATGATCGCAAGTACGCAAAAGGAAAAGAAAACAGGAAAGGTGGCAACAGACAATGGACAATAATGACAGAGGGAGGGGACATAGAGTAGAAAACGAAAACGAACATGTGAGGAGAAGACAAGATTAAAATACCCTGGCGCCGTGCTACGCGATCGACACGACAACGGAAAGACGGAAACGAACAAGGAAAAGGACGGTAAAAAATAGAAAAGAAACTGATCCTGAGCTCGTCATTATGATAAATAAACAAATCAAACGGCCGTTGTGCACTGCAATGTGCGATGCACTGCCCCTTTGGCCATCTTGCTCTCCTTCCGTTTTTTTTTTCAGCGTTCTGCTCCGCGAATCCGGCGTGTTTGGCAATGTCAGTTCGTCTATGGTGTTGGTCGCCAGAAGGGATTCGTCCGGTCCATTGCCGGATTACGGGTTCGCAGAGTCTCGCTTCGTTGCTGATCAAGCACACTCTTTGCTTTATTTGTTGCCGGTCATAGCCAACGGGGTGCCCTGGCGGCCGGAAACAAAGAACAATCGAGAGGACGGCGTTTGCTCTTGGACGCCGCAAAGGCGACAAATAGACAAAGGGACGATTAGGAGAATCGGCAGATAAGAGTTGGCAAGAACAAAAAGGTAGCGGGGCTTCTCGTGAGCGCAAGTATGGGAAGAAAAAGACGCAGTCTAGGGCTTCAAGATCCGGCAATCACTGGCTGGCAGGGATGGCTATGCAAAGATCACAAGATCGTCGTGGGCAGATCTGTCTATCGCTAGGAAGGAGACGGGAGAAAACCTCCCGTCTAGCAGCAGCAGAAGGACTTCATAAACTTGGAGAAGCCCGACGGCTGGGGCTCGGCACGAGCAGCAGCGGCCTGCTGTTGCTGTGCCTGCAGGCCACCATGCTGGCTATGCATGGGGCGAGGCAGGTTCTGGGAGCTGTTTTGGAACTGCGCCTGCGTCGAACCCGTCGGTGTCGCCATATCCCGAAGACCCCCGGCTCCGCTGCCCCTCCCGCCCAGGGCGGCGACGGGGGCGTTTTGCCGATCTTTCCTGGGGTTCTGCTTGATCGGCGAAGGAGGCGGGGGCTGGGCGGCGTTTAAACGGTCGGCGGTCAGACGGGCACGAGGGTCGCCGGCGTGCGGGGTGCCGGTGCCACCGCGGGAGTTGGCGTGCAGTTCCATGTTGGAGGGGCCGGGACGCTGGTTGGGGTTGTGCAGGCGGTCCCAGTCGGTCTTCTTGGACGACTCCTTGCCAACCTTGAGCCAGTCGTACTCGCCGTCCTCGACGCCGCCCGTCTCCTTGAGGGCCTGGGTGAATAGGTCGCGCAAGTAGTCGTAGTCGGGGGTGTCCTCGAAGCCGAGGTTGCGGACGTAGGTGAGGTACTTTTCGAACTGGATGGGGAAGCCTTCGCAGAGCTCCTTGATGATGGTGGTCTGCTTCTTCTCGCCAATCTTCTCGTACTTTTGCTTGTTGGTCGCAGCTTTCAGGCCTTGCCATGGCAGGCCACCACGCAAAAAGTACATAAAGACGTGGCCAAGGGCTTCGAGGTCGTCACGGCGGGACTGTTCACGGCCCAAGTGGGTGTTGATGCTCATGTAGCGGGCGGTGCCGGACAGAGACTTGCGCTCGCGGTAGGGGATGTGCTGCTTCGTCTTGGGATCGCGGTACTGTTTGGCCATGCCGAAGTCGACGACGTGGATAACATTGGCGGCCTTTGTGCCGGGGCGGCCAATTAGGAAGTTGTCGGGCTTGATGTCACGGTAGATGAGGTTCTTTTCGTGAATTGTTTGGACGCGGGACAGCTAGGTATGTATTAGAGAGGCAACGTACCAAAGGCAGCAGTATGCAGGAAAGCATGTGAATCGGAGCAGGAAAACATGTAGACATACCATTTGCTTGGCGACCATGACCACCGTCTTGATGCTGAACCGCCGGTTGCAGTGGTCAAACAGGTCCTCTAGTGAAGGACCAAGCAGGTCGATGACCAGAATATTGTGCAGGCCTTCCTGGCCAAAGTAGTACACGTTCGGGATGCCGGCTGGAGAGAGAGAACGAAAAGACGCATGGTGAGACAATGGACGGAAAAAAAATCGGTACGGCCCGTGGGGGGGAGGGACGAGAAAACACGACAAAATACTACTTACGGCAACCGACGAGGATCTTGTACGTCCGGTACTCGTCTCGTAGCTGGGGAGCATCGCTCTTCCGGGGTTCCTGGACATGTTAGCGGGCGGTCGGGGCTGTTGGTTGTGGTTTGTTGGACGTCACATGGCAAACAAAGAGGCGGACGTACAAACTTGATGGCGACCTGCTGGTTGTTCAGCAGGTTTGTGCCCTCGAAAATGACACCAAACGAGCCCTCGCCAATCTTCTTGCCGACACGGTAGTGCACACCGACGACATTGGACGAGGATGAAGCCATGGTGATCGAGGAGGAGGAGGATGAGGATACGGGACGAAAGCGACTGTCGCTGTCAACAGCTCGCGTGGGAAAGAGAGTCGGAAAAGAGAGCTGGATAAGAATGGATGGGTGGTCGACCTGGCGAGAGGCGACGACAAAGGCCCCCGGTGGATTGGGTGCCTGGGATGGAAAGGGATTGCCAGTGAATGAATGCTGTCGTTTTCTGGATCTCAGGATGGTGGAAAAATCGGTGGCTGACAACGTCGAGTCGAAAGTGAGTCGAAAGTCGGTCGATTTCGGTACGAGGGAAAGAGGAGGAAAGAGCAGCTGCGAAGCTGCGTCGGAGGCAGCAGCCAGTAATGCTTTGGGCACAAACGGAAGGAGCCGACAACGGGAGAACGAGAGGAGAGGTAAAGAACAAACGAGGGAAAGAGAAAAAAAGAGAAAGTGAGATCGAGAACCGACAATCGAGACACGAGGGAAACGGAAGGAGACGAAAGGCCGAAAGGAAACGAGAGAAAAAAAGAAAGAAGGGGGGTGTGGATTGTGCTACGGGGCCGAAGAAGACACAGGGCGAAGGAAATTGGAGGGAAATGAGCGAGGCAGGCGGTAGGAGAGGGAAAGGGACAAAAGGGGGAGGTGCAACCCGAGTTGGCAGCAGGGACCGGTCCCAGGGCTGCCACAGAACGGGCAAGGGACGGTTTGAGCAAAATGCGGCAGTAACGCTGGGCGATGGGGAGCGACAGTTTTGTCGTACTCGAAGCCACCGGGGCCTAGCCACTGGGTCCTAGCCACTGGGGCCTAGTCAACTAAAAGGTGGACGCCTGGGTACGTCGTATTAGTGGAGGCTTTCCTAGTAGTTGAGAATGGGCGGTGGGTGGTGGTCGAAGCACGGCCTTTTCTCTGGTCCTAATCACCCAAGGTGGATAAGGACGCAAGCGGAGCGACAGCGTTAGCTGGGGACACGGGCACCGGGCTGCAGGACAGAGAGCGCCAAAAGGAGGAGACACTACGACATACAGCACCAAAAGCGCCCCCCGGAAAGCGCAGTAGCGCCTAGCGAATAGGCGGTCAGGAGCAGTCGATCCGCATTCCCTAAGCGGTTGCCCCGAGGTCAACCGCTGCGAGCATGCCAAACATGAGCAGGGAAGGAGCGAATTGGGAAGAGGGACAAGCATGATCTCCTGCGACAGAACAACTTGGAAAGAAGGGAAGGTAAGATGGGGCAAGAGCGAACGTCAAGCAGGTAGAGGCAGCCAAGTCAACGATCAAGTCACGCAAGTCAACCTGCTCAATCTGGGAACAGAGGGAGGGCGAGCACAGTCGCGGTCAGGGTGGAACGAAGCCAATTCGAGCCTTGTTCCTTTGGGATGTTGTCGGCCTGTGCGCTGCAGCAGATCGAGTTTGGCATCTACTGTGTAATTACTAAAGGCATTCTGCATGACGCGCCGCAAGCCAAGTCCAGGTCAACGGAGAAAGAACGAAAAAGACCGGGCAGCATCTGGCACTGCGGGATACGTGAAGGGAAGCGACGAGCGGGCAAGGATCAGGGCATCCGACCCACGATAAAAGCGATAAAATGGTTGTGACGAGGTCGGCAACGTCGTCATGCCTCGCCAGTCGTCAGACACCAGAATGGCAGAAGGACGATAATACAGGGCCTCTCTGCTACCTGGAAACCTGTTTTCGACGATGGCGGTCGAACTGTTCATTTGTTCATTTGTTCATTTGCCCCTGTTGTTTACGTTGTCGCAGCCGCGTCTTAATTTACAGGCTATGGGTACGCATTTGTCCAGCGTGTGCGCATATCCGCATTTACGCATTGAAGTGCATGTGCTCTTGGGGCAGTTTACAGACGATGCATGTTGTAATTGCGGTGCAAATCAACAGGCTTCCAGTTCTGTATTCCTTTACAGTCCTCCTGTACAGAAGTACTGCCTCTATTCCGTACTCGTGCCTTCCATTTTGTATTTTTCGAGCTCGACATGTCGAGCGGTTTTGACGACAATTGGGAAAGAGCGCCGAGTGGAGCCTTTTGCTTTTGTTCCCGTTGGTTTTCCCAGTTCGTCTTTGAAGGCATATAAAAAGCGGGCCTGCCGTTGAGGTGGCTGGGTGAAAGGAGAGTAACAGAGATTGAAGGCAAGAGGACAAGATGGAGTGAATCGAAAAGTCGAAATGGCAACAGAAGCAAAAGAGGCAATAGGTCTTGCTCGTACGATAGTAAGCCAGCAGAGAGGCGAGTCACGCGTACAAAGTGAGTACGACAGTACCCTGACCAGTCTCGGGCCCAGAACGCTGTCTGTGAAAAGCAGCGAGGAAGGAAGAGGTGTGCCAGCCAGTCAAGACAGCCAGTCAAGGGCTCCGCCGCACCTCCCTCATTCGTTTTCGTGGCACGACATTCAATGCACCCGCAACTTCCTCACAGCCAGCAAAGAAAGAGCCAAACGCCGCTTCCCTGCCCAGCCAAAGAAAGGGGACAAAAAGAGGGGACGAGAGGGACGGGGCCTTTGCAGTGAGTGGGTCTTGTAGGCGAATCAAAGAGTGTTTCCAAACAGCGGCAAAAGCAACATGAGAGAGCTCATCAAGAAGTACGGAATGCTCCGTATGCTGTACTCTGTGTCTAATTGACTAAGAGTAAGTGTTTTTCCAAGAAATACCGTTCAAAGTGGACTTCGATCCTGTCGTCTACTGTTTCGTCCAAAAGACTGCGAAGAGCATCGATTCAAACCCTGTCTCGTCTCAACGCGTATGCCATCCGGTACGTACTGAGCCCTTGTACAACATAAATGGAGACGGAGTTTAGTCATAGGACGCCCACGCAGGTCCTATTTGTCGTGTTTGTTGTTTCGTGTTCCTTCGGATAGGACCCCAATTGAAAGTAATATATACGGATACAGTCGTCGACATGAAAGACGTGGTCACGTGTTGTAGAGTAAAGTGGAAGGTCGATGGAAGGAGCAAGCCCAGTAGAGCGAGGGCAGTGCGTGGAAGGCGCTACCAAAGGGTTCAAGGGTCCAACTGAAAACGGGTCCACCTTTGTCTTTGGTCCCTTTTCTTCTCAAGCCTTTTTTCCTCATTTTCCTTTCTTTTTCTGTCTTCGACAATGTGACTTGTTCGCACGGCCTTTGTTCCTGTCTTTTATTGTTCGGATTTTACCGTTCGTTTCCATTGCTGCCTCACGCGGGCACGCTGCGATCTCGGTCGCCCAAAAAAGTTGCCTCTCGAGGCTGTGCCGGGCGCTGTGTCTTGCCTGTTGAGTCTTTTCTTTGTCTTTCAACGGCTTGGTTCGCCTTCCTTAGTCGGAGTAGTGCCCGTCTTACAGCGTGAACGGTTGCACTATACCAGCGATAGCGGACTCGTAACAGACTGGCGTCAGGAGGAGGCGAAAAAAAAAATGGCAACCGGCCAAGAAGAGAAGCCACACGAGACCGATCCAGACCTGGCTAGACCCGTGATTTCAAGACAACTGGTTTGCGACTTGTATAAAGCGAGTTTAAGGGATGCAGGAACCGTTTACAACATACATTGAACTGGAATGTGCGGCGTAATGACTGTGCAGTTGTGACACAGTACAACAATACCTGGGGAAATTCTTACTGAACACCATGTAACTGATGGCGCTTCATTCACCTTTGGAGCGGTATTCTAGAGAGGAAGACAACGGCCACAAAAAAGCGATTCGGTAGCGGAAAAAGACGTTTGGTGCGTAGAAGGTGGAAGCAAAAAAGGACGTTTGAGCCTCGCCGTACAACGAACGACGGTACTTTAGCCTCGCTTGGAAATCGACGAGGCTGTGTGAAATTAGGACATACATCATTCGAGGAAGGGCGGATTTGTGGCCACAATTTGCCGCGCTGGAAAGTACATTGGAGAGTAAGGCGGGCAGAGAGAAAAAGGGCAAAGAGCTGCAAGAGCAAAGGAGGATTTGTGGCGGAGCCAGGGACGGCATTGAAGAACAAGACCAAAACGGTTGGGAAAGCCTGACCTGCATGGAAATCGGCCGGATTGGTTAACGAGAACAAAAAACAGGGACGAAAAGGTTGTACGGCTTAATTGGATGACGGGATAAACTTGTTCGTCTTTATACGTCGTAAACGTGGTTACCTGGTAAATGCGGAAACCAGCGGCGGTGCATGGAATCAATGCTGCGCATTCTGTTTGTATGGGCCTGAGCATTGGAGAGCGAACCTTGACAGAACGTGGACAGGGTCAACGAGCCGTGTTGTGGTTGATCGTGGTTTGCATCGTACCCATCTACGCGCATCATACGCTCTGTGTGTGATGCATGGATGAAAACAAGCAGCCAGTGTGAATGGAGGTGATGGGTGTAGAATGTTGAAGCTTGGTTACATAGAGGTTTGTCTTGAAAAGAAATGGTAGGAATTTTACACTGTATAAATAAAATCTGGAAACAGCAATTCAGCAATAATATAAAAGTAGACAATATATATATGAAGAATATGTATGACGAAAAAATACGAAAATGAATAAAACAAAGCAATTAATTTAATTTTGCCTAGATTTCGGCATGATTACATTAACTATTTCATAATTGTTTACATCCAACATACTTCCAACATACCATATCCAGTATGAGATACGCTTGCGACTTCTCCATCAACACAGAGACGTCGATTGGGAGCTCTGGTGATCGTTCAGCTGCAGCATCAGAGGTAACGTCCATTGCTCGAGCTGGTCCATTTGATTTAGGCTGTCGAGTCGATTCGGCGTCTGCAAGAACCCGGGCGACGGAACAAGGTCCGAAAAGGCAGCGAGTGCTGCATCGCCGTCCCCCGACGTGGCAGTGCCGGCATCAACCATGGCCCGTGCCGGCCAGTCCTGAACGTTGCCAAGGACATTGCTGGCGATGTTGACACCGGCATGGACGCCACCAGCACCACCACCGCCACCAGCACCACTGCCGCTGCTGCTGTCGCTGCTGTGGACGCTCTGCTGCAGGACTTCGCCAGCGACGTCCCGCAGTAGACGCAGTGCATTGTGCGCGAGGGCCCAGGTGCGGCCGAGCGTCTTGAGGACGCCAATGGCGAGGAGGATGCTGTCGCGAAAGGGCCAGCGCAGGGCGGGGCGGGACGCACAGGCGGCGAGCTGGACGGTGGCGCCGAGGAGCAGGCCGCAGACGAAAAAGGGGGTGTGTTCCTGGACGACAGGGGCGCAGAGGGCAGCCAGACCCGACAGCCTTGTGGACGCGCGGGTGGCGCGGGCGGCGTGGGCGGCGGCACCGGGCCCGGGACCCAGCCCATCCGCCTGTCCACAAGAGATGCGCGCGGCAGCCGGCAGGGTGACGACGAGGTCGCTGCGAGGGCAGTGCAGGACGAGGGTGGCGTAGTGGACGAGCATGTGGGCCTGGAAGAGCATTTCGTCAATCACGCTGCCATCACGGCCGACGCCGAGACGGACGACGTCGGTTTTGGATGGGTGCAGGTGGTGTTGCCAGCCGGCGAGGGCGCTGTCGACGGACGAGAAGGAGTCTTGCGCCTGGGTCTGGGTCTGCGTCTGGGTCTGCGTCCGGGTCCGGGTCTCGGTCTGGTTGTGGAATTGGGCCTGGCTTGTTCGCGTGACGGCCAGAACACGGCCAAGGAGACGGACGGCGTCGATGCGGTAGGCAAATGAGGAGAAACGACCGCGGTGCATGGTGTCGACGTCCTTGCTGCCACCGTCACTGTCATTGTCACCGTCGCTGTCGAAGCTGGAAAACAGGCGCGCGTCAAAGTCATCGAGTGAAAGAGGGGGCGGAAGACGCTCTCCGTCGGCTGCTCGCGCATAGACATCCTCTTCACAGGGCAAAAGCACATTCGCGCCAATGCCGCCCGACCGGAAGACGCTCCTGTGGTGCAGCGCCGTCAGGTAGCCGTCGACAATGTACAGCTCCCACCAGGTGCGTCTCCACGACTCGTGCTGGACGGTCCGTGACGACGACGCAAACGGCCGCCGGTGCATGCCGCGATCCACGGCCAGCTGCAGAGCACGCGCCACGGCCCGGTCGGACGCGGCGAGCTCGTGCCGTGCATGCAGAGCAATGGCCATCATTGTCAGGGCCTGCACCATGGCGACGATGCGGTGTGTATTTACTTCTGCCGCGGAGTCAGCCATCGAGTCGGCCAGGGCCAGGATCTGGGTGGCACGGTCGCGCAAGACTTCGGTGCCTTGGCATGGGCTTGCGCCTGCGCTTCTGCCCTCTTTTGTCGACGCATAGTGGCTGCCGACAAACTGGACGGCCAGCTGGAGGTAGCGTGGATATTGTTGTGCATGGTAGAGTGGACGAGGCACGAGAAAGGGGTGGGCGCGGTGGAAGTAGGCGTAGTAGAGGTCCACCAGGTGGTCGTCGCTCCCATTCTCGGACGCGTAGTGGACGGCAGGAGTGAAGACGTCGCTTATGTTATCCGTTTGGAGACTGTTGTGGTCAAGCTCCAAGACGTTGCTCGTGTCAGCATGCAACGGCCCCGGAAATACCAGCTGGCTGTCCGCCGTCGCTGCGGCTGTTGTGGCTGTCGTTGCCGTTGTTGCAGCCATGGTCACGGCTACCGCGTCGTGGCCGTCCTCGCGCCGCCGTTTCCGCCCACGACGAGACGGCGCATAATAACACGGCCGTCGGGCCGATACACAGCGTCGACAGGCGGGCTGTCCGGCATCGCAGCGGAGATGCTGCCGCCGGCACTCGAGGCAGGCCAACGACGATGTGCGCAGCGGCCGTGCGAGAGCGAGAGCGAGAGCGAGAGGCGGCGATGCGTTGGATGGTGACGCATGGGACGATGGAATGTGACTCAATACGTCCATCTTGTGTTGTTGCACGACAGACAACAAGTCTAAGTGACAATGTGCGTCCACAACAGCATCGTGAAACGTACGGCATCGTTTCGCTCTCGACGCTACAGTGGAGTCCCGAATTAGTCCCCGCCAAGGATGGATCGCCTGGCGTGCTTGCACCCTAAATGACACCATTCAGATAACATGGAGAAGTGGGGCCAAAGCAGTTCAGTCGGGCTTCCTGTTGTGCTCATGACGAGACTCCTCTGTTTGAATGTTTTCTTTGTGTCGTTTCTCTGTCTTCGTTTTTAAAACAATTTCACGTCAAGTAGCTGATGCGGGGATGCTCTCATGCCTTCGAGCTGCATATCGTTGCTCATGTTATGTCGAAAGGCTTTCCATATATGGCCTTCAATTTTTATGTTCATTGATCGCGTTCATTATGTGTCCAAATACTCGTACGTAGCTCACCCCGACCTCGACACAATCTTGACGTCAAACTTTTTGGGCTTGACAAACCACGCATTGTGCAGGTCCCAGTCCTCGTCTGTCGTCAGCTGCACATCGAACCGCCGTAGAAAACTCGGCACGAGTTTGTACATCTCGAGGAGGGCAATGTGCTTGCCGAGACATGTCCTTGAGCCGCCGCCAAAGTGAAACAGCGTGTTGGCCATGTCTTTGATGCGCGCCTCCTCTTCTGCTTCTGCGGCCGGGTCGGCATCCTTGTCCACCATCCACCGCTCCGGCCGAAACACGTCGGCATCGTCGCCAAAGACGTCCTGCCGCGCATGGATGACCCACGGATTGCAGCCGACGACGGTGCCGCCTGGGACGAACTGGCCAGCTATCTCAATGCCCTGCGGCGGCGTCAGGCGCTCTAGGACGAGGCCAATGGCCGGGTGCATGCGGAACGTCTCCTGGATACAGGCGTGGAGGTACGGCATCTGCTGGGCCTCGGCGTACGTGACAATGTCGGCGTCCGCAATGACGGCGTGGTCGATTTCCGCCACCAGCCGGGTGTAGCACCGCGGGTTCTTGAGCAAATGGTAAAAGACAGCCGAGAGACTGGCCGCCGTCGTGTCCGACCCTGCGAGCGCAATCGACGTCGTCATTGTCAGCAGCCGGCCGTCGTCGAAAAAGGCCGGGTCCGCCTTTTGCGCGCGGCAGAACATGGTCAACAGATCCATGCTGTCCTTGTCGACCACTGCCGTGTCGTCGTCGCCACTGCCACTGCCACTGCCGCCGCTCTGCGCCCGCGTCACCTTCTCTTCCATCTCGGCAAACCGCTCGGCCATGCGCGCGCGCGAGAACTTGGCCGTGGCCGACGAGTTGTCGATGAAGCCGTACTTGCTCAGCAGCGTGCGCACCGGGTTCTTGACAAACAGCCGGTCCAGCCAGGGCATCTGGCCCACGGGCGCCTGGTAGTCGAAGATGCCCGCCAGCCACGCAATGATGCCGTCGACGTCCTCGCAGCGGTCGACAAAGCCCACGCGTCGGCTGTAGGTGATTTCCGTAATGACGTCAAAGGCAAAGTACTGCAGCCACTGCACAAAGTTGCACACCACCTCGTGGCCCGTGTCGCTGCCACGGCCGGCGTACAGCCGCTCGGTCTGCTTCAGAAACACGCGGACCGTCTCGTTGACGCGTGGCTCGTACTGCCGGATGGCCGTCATGGAGAAGGCGCTGGTGACGGTCCGCCGCAGGCGCATGTGGTAGTCCTGGTCCTGCGTGCCAAAGAGCGACTGCAGCACCACGCCGCGCGACAGCTGCATCTGCACCGGGTAGAAGGCGCTCTTGGTCAGCTTGTTGCTGATGCCGTAAATGTCCCGCACGGCGTCGGGGTGGCTGAACGACAGCGCATTGGGTCCGACGCGCACGACGTCGCCGTGCTTTGCGTGCAGCGCGCGCAGATCGTCCTGCGGCTTGCCGCGCCAGACACTCAGGAAGCGCCAGAGGTCGGACACGGCGCCCAGCCGGGGGCCCGGGTACTTGTGGAAGCCGTGGTGAAAGTAGTTTGTGGCGAGAATGACGAAGACGGCGGCCACCGTAGCCAGCAAGACAAATGGCCAGCGAGACACCAAGGCTGGAAGGGGAGGAAAGGCCGTTACAAACTGTGAAGCCATCGTGTGGAAGTTGGTTCAAAATGAACAGAAATGGAGACGAACGTATGAATCCGAGACGAAACTTAGAGATCAACAAGGGCCTACCGTCCAACGGCCAAGAGTCGCGAGCACTTCACACTTCATATCACCGCACTGTAGATCGACCGACACAAGAGACGAAGCTTGGCCAAGCCGCCCTTCCTATCTCCAAAAGCCAAGGGGAGCAGTGCACGTGGAGGACCACACCTCCATGTCGAGACGCAATGGACGCGACAATGGCGCAATTGCTAGGGTCCATGATGTCGGGTCCAAGATGCAGGCGTTTCGTCACTTGTATCTTTTTTCGTCTCGTTTTAGGACGACGCTACGGGCTCTAACCATCGGGACATCGGGCTTGGCAATGTGGAGTCGTCGAGGTTGAAGCCCGTAGCGGCGTTTGGGCAGCCTTGTGTAAGTCAAGTCGTGTGTCGAATGTGTCGAATGTGTCGAGGATGTCGATTGTTATTGTTGATTGTCAAGTCTGGGACGAAAAACGAGGAGGGTAACGTTCAGGGGCAGGCGACCTTCGCTCCTGCTGTCCTTGTACAAGAGCTGTCGTGCGCTCTTGCCTTGATTGTACAAGAGCACGCCTTCCGTCTTAGCTCGTTCTCTCGCACGTTGGCTCCTTCCGTTAATTGACTCTGTACTTCTTGCTGTCCATTTAGAGGGACACGCAATCCAGAGACAGAATGCACGATCCGCTCGAATCGCAGCCATCCTCACAACAAGAACACCCTCAAGCATCTCAACCACCACAGCCACCACAACCACGATGCCGCCGTGTGGCCGTGATTGGTGCCGGGCCGGCCGGAGCGATTGCCACCGACGCCCTCGTCAAGGAGCAGGCGTTTGATGTTGTCCGCGTCTTTGAGCGGAAGACGCAGCTCGGTGGAACATGGGTGTACGATCCAGCCAGTTTGGCGACGACAAGGCCTGCCATTCCGTCGGTGCGAGCCTTGCTCAACGGCACAGCCGACCGTCCCATCGATGTTCCGACCGCTTTGAGTTTGACTGCCGCCGGATCTCCTGTCGAGACGGAGCACAGCGACGCCGTCAATGCCCCGTCTCGCCGGTACGCCGAAACGGGCGTGCACGACGGCCTGCACAGCAACCTGCCGCCCCAGACCATGTCGTTTACGCAGGAGCCGATCCCGGCGGTGGTGTCCGAGTATGCACGCGCGCAGTACGGAGCCCATGCACCGTTCCGCCACCGCGAGGTGATCCGGCGCTGGGTGGAGGGCATCTTTGCGGCGGGCGACCACCGGCCGCTTGTGTCTCTGGGGACGTACGTGGAGCGTGCGGAGAAGCGAGGAGCCGAGTGGGTGTTGACGCTGCGTGCGGAGACGGTGCCGAGCAACAAACACAGCACCAGCAAGACGAAGCCGGTCGAAACGGTCAACACGTGGTGGCACGAGACGTTTGACGCCGTGGTGGTCGCGTCCGGCCACTATTCGCTGCCGTATCTGCCTCCGATCGCGGGCCTGGCCGAGTACGACGAAGCCTTTCCGGGGCGCATTCAGCACAGCAAGCATTTCCGGAACGCCGACGACTTCGCACACAAGCGCGTGATTGTGGTCGGTGGATCGGTGTCGGCGTTTGACGCGCTGCACGCGATCCGGCGCGTGGCCCAGCATCCGGTGGTGGCGTCGCTGCGGCAGCCGCTGGCGGCGTTTGGCTGGCCGGCGTTTACACACCCGCACGTGGACATACGGCCGCCCATTGTGCAGTTCCACGCGGACACGGGCCGCATCGACTTTGCCGACGGTTCGTCTGTGCAGGAGGTGGACGTCGTGCTCTTTGCGACGGGCTACGACTTTTCGTTTCCGTTCTTGGCGGAGGCCGGGGGCGCCGCCGTCGATGTTGACGTTGCCGTCAAAAACAGGCGCATCCAGGGCCTCTACCAGCACGTCTTTTGCCGGGCCGACCCTCGTCTGGCGTTTGTCGGCATGGTCGCCGGCGGGCTGACGTTTCGCGTGTTTGAGTGGCAGGCGGTGGCAGCGGCGCGTGTGTTCGCCGGTCGGGCGGTGCTGCCTTCGCACGAGGAGATGCGCCAGTGGGAAGCCGACACCGTTGCGGCGCGTGGTGACGGCGTGCGCTTCTTCAACATTGCACCGGACTTTGTCGACTACTTTGACGGTCTGCGCCGTTTGGCCGGCGACCCAGCACCAGGCACAACGGGTCGCGTCCTGCCGCCGTTCCAGCAGCAGTGGGCGGACGCATTCAACGACGTGGTCGCGCTGCGACTCGCCTGGTGGGAGAGGGAACGGCAAAAGGCGGAGGCAGCGAGGGCAACGACGGCAACGACGGTAACGAAGGCGGTAGGGAGGGGGAAAACGGAAAGGAGGCGAGGGCCACAACGAGTTTTGGAAAGCCGGCTTCATTTGTGAGGGCGGGAGGGCATGCCATAATTCAGTCATCTTATTCAAATCAAAACAAAACCGGATGAATCAAATGAAAATCAAAACAGTCTACGAATACCAATACGACGTTACCAAAGGCGGTCACAAAGTCATCCAATACAGTTCATCTATAGATATATTTAGTACGCTTATTTATTCTGTGCCGCCAGACCCTACGACCTCCTGCAACGCCTTGTAGACCACGTCGTCCACCGTCAATGTGCCTGTCTTTCGCGCCTCGGCTCTCTGTGCTGCTGACCGTTCAAAAGGCAGTCGCAGTGGCTGTCCGCCGGCTTCCGCAGGGCCGCTGGCGTGCACCGTCTGGACATACTGGGCGACCTGGCGGCGGTACTCGTCCAGCGGCTGGAACTGCGCCGGATCAATGACAATGACGGTGAAGCCAAACTGCTCGAGGACGGGCGGAAACGCAGGTGCCCCGGCCAGGACGCCAAACAGCTGGACGGCGGCCGCCAGCCCGGAGCCCTTGTAGCCGCCCCAGGGAGCAATGGCGCCGCCGCGGAAGACGGCTGCTGGATCGGTGGTTGGCCGGCCGTCGGCGTCAAAGGCAGTGCCGACGGGCAGCGGCGTGCCAAGACGCTGGGCAAGGACGACGTCGGCGTGCAGCAGCTGGGAGGTGGCTATGTCGACGATGATGGGCGTTGGAGTCGTCGTCCTGCTGGCTGCGTCCGCGGCAAACGCACCCGGAAATCCGATGCAGAGCGGATTCGTACCGTGGACACCCGTGGTGCCCCCATGCGCTGCAACCCAGGGCGTCGAGCTGGCCGTCACGAGCGCCACCAGATTCTCGGCGGCGGCCATCTCGGCATAGTACGACAGCATGCCCGTGGTCCACGTGTTGTTGGCCGTGACGATGGCGATGCCGTGCTGCTTGGCTTTGGCAATGGCCAGCTCCGTCGCGCGCTGGCCAACGAGGTAGCCAAACGCGTCCTGGCCGTCGATGTGGGCGAGGACGGCCGTGTCCTTGGTCACCTTGCACGCCTCGACGATGACGGGGTGAGACCCATTCGCGTCCTTTGTCGTTGGGCGGCCGTGCAGCCGCTCGCGCACGGCCAGGATGCGCGCAAGCCCGGCGCTGGCGTAGCCTCGCAGCTCGCTGTCGATGAGATGTGCCGCGATGGTGTCAGCGGCGGCCGAACTGTAGCCCGTGTGGACGAGCACGGCGTGTGCGAGGCCTGTGGCTTCGTCGATAGTGAGCTGCATCGTGAGGACTGAACTAATTTACGACAAGTTACTGCTGTGCAGAGCATTACGGAGGGTCCAAAAGCACCCCAGACTGAATCTATTGACCTTCGTCATATTCATTTCTTTTCCAGCCTTGGTCATGTTGCTTCTTTTCCCAATGTCACCTCCACTTACATCCGTTACGCTGATCCCGATCGGGCTTTAAAAAACGTGTCGCCGCGGTTCTGCACTAAAATCGGCTTCTTTAGTGGCGTCGAACCTGGCGTCGATTGCAACATTCAGACGCTACGCTGCTTGTGGGACGTGCCTGGCCGTTGTCGTTTTTCTGTCTTGGCGACGGCTCTGTCTAGTCCCGGTGGCGTGCTCGACAAACAATAGTGACAGGGATCAGCCACGAGTCGGATGGCCATCGTGTGGACGGTGACCGGCACTGCTTCTTATGTCTGCATGTTTTTTTTGTGGTATTTATTCAAGTGGTTGTACGGTGTCGGCGTGCTGTGCGCGTATATATCGATTTTCATGGTGAACTGTTTTTATTTTTATTTTATTTTTATTCTTGTTTTTTCATTTTACCGCCCAAAGACCGAGACGGCTGTCAAGAAAAGCCACGACTCTCAACGGGACACCAAATTATCAGTCCTCACCTGACAGCATGTCGTTCCATCCAGACGAAAAGCTGGGCGATTCTGCCATTTCAGCAACCGCAACGCCACCAAACGAATTTGCCGATGTCGATGGTGTCGACGATGTCGACGATGTTGGGTCTGACGCAGACCGCAAGGCCGACCGCCGCCTTGTCCGAAAGCTCGATGTACGTTGACGCAGAGAAATGATGCACTAAACGGAGTCACGTTTTCTAGGAAATGCTAACCAGAGAATAGCTGCACATTATGACGTACGGCCCCGAATGCTGTTTGTTTATGTACATGTCACGAAGGACACAGCTAACACACACAGACTCGCCATGCTGATATACATTTTCAGTGTCCTTGACCGGTGAGCACGTCCCGTTCTTTTGTGTAAATACGTGAAGCCTGCCCAAACCAGTCGTATTAACAATTCCAAGGGTCAACATCGGCAATGCTGCGTGCGTCTTCTTTCTCTCTCCCACTCTGCCCCATACTCGCCCCCACTGACAGCAGTCCAGCCTGTACGGGCTCAAGACCGACCTCGGCCTCGTCGGCAACCAGTACCAGATCCTCGTGTCGATTCTGTTTGCGACCTACATCAGCGTCGAGATCCCGGCTAACTGGATGGTCAAGCGCATCGGCCCGTCCCGCTGGCTTGGCTTTATCACGGCCGGCTGGGGCCTTGTGGCGACGTTTTCCGGGTTCGCGCAGACCTTTGGCGGCTTCTTGGCCTGCCGGCTGCTGCTGGGCGCGCTCGAGGGCGGCCTCTGGCCCGGCCTGGTCGTCTACCTGACGACCTTTTACACGCGCCGCGAGATTGCCCTGCGCATCGCCGTCCTCTTTGCCTGCTCGGCGCTCGCCGGCGCCGGCGGCGGCCTGCTGGCGTTTGGCATCGGCTTCCTCGAGGGCCACAGCGGCTACAACGGCTGGCGCTGGATCATGATCTTGGAGGGCCTGCCCTGCATCGTGCTGGGCGTCGCCACCTGGTTTGGCCTCGCTGACGAGCCGGCCACCGCATACTACCTGACGCCCGCCGAACGCGCACGCCTGGTGCGTCGTCTCGACAGACAGCCCGGCATGACGCAGGCCGCCAAGCAGTTTCACTGGAACGACGCGCTCGAGGCGTTTGCCGACTGGACCGTCTGGGCCTTTTGCTTTGCCCAGTTTGGGGCGGACGTGATGCTTTACGGTGAGTGCTCTTTTTATGTTGTTGTTGTTGTTGTCCTTCTGTCTCTCTCTCTCTAACTGCCCCGCAGCCTTCTCAGCCTACCTTCCCACCATCATCAAGGGCATCAATGCCGACTTCTCGACGCCTGTCGTCCAGGTCCTCACCATCCCCTGCTACCTCGTCGGCGCCGCCGCCTACCTCGTTGTCGGCCAAGTCTCCGACCGCATCCAGCACCGCGCCCTCTTTGTCCTTGTCGCCGGCATCGTCACCGTCTGCGGCTACGGCATGCTCATCTCGGATGGCGGCGTTGCCGTGCACTACGCCGGCTGCTTTCTCGTCGCCGCCGGCCTCTACATCGTCGTCGGCCTGCCGCTCGCCTGGCTGCCCACCAACGTCCCCCGCTACGGCAAACGCACCACCACCATTGCCATGCAGGCCTGCATCGGCAACAGCGCCGGCATCATGTCCGGCTACGTCTACCCGGCCGCCGAGGGCCCGCGTTACGTCAAAGGCCACGCCATCTCGCTGGCCATGGGCGCCTTTGCCGTCGTCACCTACGGCCTCGTCTGGGCCTATTATGTCTACGAAAACAAGCAGCGCACAGCCGGCAAGCGGGATGCGCGTATTTCGGGCCTGACCGATGACCAGGTCCGCGAACTGGGCGACAAGAGCCCTCGTTTTATCTTTGCCACCTAGAGTGAAGGGGAGTTGATGTGACAGAGGTGTGGAAATAACGAGGTAGAAGACGTTAGAAAGCGAAATCTATAAATTATAATGTTTGATATTTTTCGTGTGAACCAAGGTTGTAAGAGTAACTCAAAAGGATGATGAATACGATTGATGTCTATCTTGGGAATATGTGACGATACATACGAATAAATGAAAAGACATCATATAGTAATAGTAAGCAAGCAAGGCAAGTGAATAAAAATAACCCAGTTGATATGAACTTCTCGAATACAAACTCGGGGAACGTATAAAGCCTTAATTCATTTCTGTGCTCGTGGCCAGCATTGCAAAAATAAAAACAATATTCCAATTGTAAGTCGGCTGCACCGTGCAAAACAGTATGAAATGGAATATACGCACCGTAGATATCGATACCAAAACTGGCCCCACTTTTCCATCCAGCAGCCTCAGAAAAGTTAGTTTGGAGACGAACGACTTTCTGAAAGTACATCCTCATCAGCTTCACGACCGACACAACGATACCCCAACGGACTCGAAGACCGACTGGTCTTGTTTGACCTCCACACGAATCTGCACGCAACTGTACATCCTGCAAATAATACACACTCCGCATCACACATGCCCATCACCATTCTGCCGCCTCTTCAGGCGGCGTCTCGCCGGTTTCAGTCGACTGCAACAAGGCGAGTGGGCGGCTGGTCAGCCACGGCAGGCGCACGGCACAATGACGACGACGACGAAGACGACGACGAAAACGACGAAAATGACGACGACAATGACAGCGATGGCGCCGCACCCGACAACACGGGCGGCTACGAGATCGTGACGCCTGGCGAAGTCATCACAGACGACCCGCAGTGGATGCGCGGCCACGGCACGTACGCCGACGCCCGCGGCGCATCGGGCGGCATTGTGTCCTCGCTCGCGGGCACCGTCGTCCGCACCAACCGCCTGCTGTCCGTGCGGCCGCTGCGCGCGCGCTATGCGCCCGAGGTCGGCGATCTCGTCGTGGGCCGCATCGTCGAGGTCCAGGCCAAGCGCTGGCGCGTCGACGTCGGCGCCGCGCAGCTGGCGGCCCTGCCGCTGTCGGCCATCAACCTGCCCGGCGGCGTCCTGCGCAAGCGCACCGAGACCGACGAGCTACAGATCCGCTCCTTCTTTGCCGAAGGCGACCTGCTCGTCGCCGAGGTGCAGCAGATTTTCGGCGACGGCGTGGCCGTGCTGCACACGCGCTCGCTGCGCTACGGCAAGCTGCGCAACGGCGTGTTCTTTGCGGTGGCGGGCGGCGGCGCGGGCGCGGGCGCGGGCGTCGTGCGGGCGCGGCGGCAGGTCTGGACAGTCAGCGGTGACGACGAGGATGACGATGGCGGTGGTGACGACAACAATGCGCACGGCGAGGACGCCGCCATGCACGGCACCAACGACACGTCGGGCAGCCACCGCCATGCTGCTGCGTACGGCACGGGCGCCGGCAAGATCGATGTCATCCTGGGCGTCAACGGCTACGTCTTCGTCGGCGCCCACGTCGAGCCACAGTCGGCGTCGTCTGCTGCTGCTGCTGCTGCGGCGGCGGCGGCGTCTGGTGCATCGCCAGGACCTTCTGCCGCCGCCGCCGCCGTCGGCATCAACAACATTGAGGAGGCGGTCAGCGCCGCCATCTACTCGAGCCAGAACGACCCCGTCAGCCGCGAGACCATGCGCGAGATTGCCCGCCTGCGGAGCGTCGTTGGTCTGCTGGTCGAGCACCGCCTGCCCATCGACGAGGCCTCGGTCATGAAGGCCTACCGCGAGGCCCTCGACGTCGCCCGCCACTCGTCGGACCGCGGCGAGGACGACGTGTACCTGGGCGGCGAGCGTGGCGACAAGATTGCGGCAGAGCTGGGAGGGCGGTAAGCAGACGGTCGCTGGCGGTTAAAAGCATTTTTGGTTTCGTTCGGTTTGCTTCGGTTGGATTCTGGTTTGATTCGGTCCCATTTGGTCTCATAAGCCTCACTCGGTGTCATGGTTCATGTGTGTCGTATTTGCTGCAAAATAGGGCAGTTCTTGGCCGGCGTTTGACCTCTGCTTTCTTTTCATGAAATATCATATCGGCCTTTTCATTGACTTCTCATTGGCTTCTCGTTGACTTTCATTGACTTCCATTGACTTCCATTGACTTTCATTGACTTTCATTGGCTTCTCACGGACCGGCCTCTGTGACTGCCCATCGTTTACCCGCCCGTAATCCATGCTCAGTAAAACCGGGACATGTTCGTGTATGCCATCATCGGCGGCTCCCGTGACCGGGCCCGCGAGCGCACTCGGTTGATCACGGGTGCTTGATACGGCGGCTGCCGGTTGTTCTGTGGGTCTACCGTGCCCTCGCGCTGCTTCCACCTGTGGCCTTTGAAGTGCGTCGTCTCGGCGCTCCAGTGGCACTTGAAGCAGAAGTCGTAGTCCGCACAGTCCAGACACTGGTAGCAGGCACCGATCGTCGGCTCCAACATACACCCGTCGCACGTGATGCCCCAGTTCGAGTACCCGCGCGCCAGCGGTCTCCCGTAGATTTGCGGCTCCACAATCGCCTCGGCCACCAGCGCCACATCTCCCCCCGTGCCCGCCGCCGCACGGACGAGTCTCGTGGCCTTCCGCTCCGCAATCTTCCGCGCGTGGTCCTTGAGCGCCTCCTCCAGCAACAGCAGTGTGTCGGCCGAGTCGTGGTACTGCGCAATGTTGAGCGGGGTCCAGCCGTCCCGTGTCTCCATGCTCGGGTCCGACCCGCACGCCAGCAGAAGGCCGACAGCGTCGGCGCCACCCTCCGGCCGGCACGCCCAGTGCAGGGGTGTCCAGCCGTCGTTGTCCAGAATGTCAATCTCGTCCTTGAGCTGCAGGCGTGGGTGCTCCAAAAAGTACCGCAGCGTGTCCACGTCGCCCGAGCTCGCCGCGAAATGCAGCAGCCGCCGGCCCTGCTTGTCCGGGTCGAGCGCCCTGCCAAACGGCATCAGAGCCGCCCGGCTGCCGTCAGCACTGAGCTCCTCGACCACGCTCAGAATCTTTTCAAACGCATCCAGCGCCCGCGACTGCACTGCCACTTGCAGCGCATTCCGGCCTTGGACGTCCCGCGCCAGTGCCGCAGACTTGTTTTTCTCAAGCAGCAGGTCGACCGTCCCCGTCGACGACGACGACACCGCCGCGCTCAGTGCGTTGGGATACGACCCGCCGCTGCGCAGCGGGTCGGCTTGGCGTTCCAGTAGTTTGCGCACTACCTCGCTGCAGCCCCCGGCCGCCGCCGCCGTGAGCGCCGTGTTGAGCTGCCCGCTCTCCTCGTTGACGTCCACGCCGTAGCCGAGAATCAGATCCACCATGCTCATGTTGCCCGTCCCGGCCGCAACCTGCAACGGTGCCGCAAACTTCTTTGCTTTTGAACTGGCCGCCTTTCCGGCGGCTGTTTTACCCTCGCTGTTCTTTGCGTCGCGGAGAAGGCTCTCCAGCAACAACCTGACAATGTTTTCGTTGTTCCGTTCTATGGCGCACGACAGGGCCGATTCTGCCCGGTAGTCTCGCAGCTCAATGTCCGCGCCGAGCTCCACCATCTTCGCCACAACCTCCTCGTTGCCTCGTCGGACCGCATGGATCAACGCCGACCGCTGTAAGGAGCTTGGTGCGGCGTTCAGGATCTGGACCATGTCGCCCTTCATGTCGTTTTCTTTCGAGTACTTTTCGAGCTCGTTCAGCACGTCCAGCGCGAATGACATCAGGCCGCGCGTAATGGCCGTGTGCAGGATTGATGCGCCCGAAGAGTCCACGTGGAAGAGAACGGCCGGGTTGGCATCCAGCAGCTTGCGCGCCACCTCCAGGCTCTTTGTCTCGACGGCATGGTGCAGCGCGCTGCGGCCCCACCGGTCCAGCAAGTCGGTGTTGGCCCCGAAGGCCAGCAGCAGTCCCACGGCCTGGTCCACCCCGTTCTTGGCGGCGTGCATGAGCACCGTCTTGCCATCATGGTTTACTGCGTCCACATCGAAGCCCTCATCCAGCAGCCAAATCAGCACTTCGCACGTCTTGTAGGCCGCGTGAAGGACAGTGTCGCCGTTCGTCGTGACCGCATGCAACCGGCTCGTGTCATTTCCCAGCAAGAATTTTGTCATCTCCACGCTGTTCCAGCCGGCCGCTAGATGCAGCGGCAGCCACCCATCGATATCGGCCTTGTCAGTGCTGATACCGGCAGCAATCAGCATCTCGGCGGCGATCTTGGCCGTACGCGCGGAGCTTTGTGCAGCACTGTGCAGTGCGTTCATGTCTCGGTCGCCCGTCATTGTGACATCGATGCCGTCGTGCGCCAGCAATACTTCCAAGATGTTGATGTGGCCCCTCTGTGCTGCCCAGTGCAGTGCTGTGTGTTTGGAGCCATCAAGGGCGTTGACCGAGGCGCGGTGCTGCAGCAGCAGCTGAACCACGCGCACCTCCTGCTCGCAATTCCGCGACATGGCTGCCGACGCCAAGATGCCGCGTGTCGCCGGCCCAACCCACGATACATCGGCCTTGTTCTCCAGAAGAATTTGCACGGTATCAGCGTGTCCGGACAGAACCGCAAGGGCCAAAGGCGTCAAGTTGGTCCCGTCGGTCACGTTCGGATCTGCCTTGTGCAGCAGGAGGCAGCGGACAATTTCATCAAGGCCATTCCCAGCGGCACAATGCAGCGCCATCCGGTCGATCCGGTCGCTACCGTTCGTAAAGACCACTTCTGCGTTGGGGTCGTCGAGCGTGAAGCAGAATTTAATAAACTCCAGCTGGCCAAACTCTGCCGCGCGGATGAACGGAAGGACGAGATCTTGTCTTTGTTCTGTAGGCCGGGATGACTTCAGGATGACCATCGCGAGAGAGTCCGCACCAGCTTGCGGTTCTGCACGGATGGCAGAACACAAAAGGTCGCTGCTTGTACGCCGATAGGACTGGGGCACGGCCGCCACGGCGGGATGTTGCAAAATATGCTTGGCAGTCTCGATATGGCCGTCACTGCAGGCAGCAATCATGGCATCTTCCATCACGGACCAAGGAACAACACACGTTTTTCTTGAGCCGTCTGCTTCGCATGAGGCCGTACTCTCGCCGTTGCTGTCGCCGTCGATCTGAACGGCAGTCTCGTCAAGCAAGATGGCAACGATGTCTGTATATCCCCGCTGCGCGGCGACAAGAATGGGGTTTATATCTTCAATGACATCGCCGGGGTTTATGTCTTCATTGATGTCATCGGAAGTGGCGCTCTGTGAGTCATTCGATACGTCATTGTATGCCACGGCCATTGCATTGTGAATAACTGCGCCTGCTTCCTGCACAAGAAACTTGGTGCAGTTCACATTGCCATGGCGCACCGCCTGGCACAGTGGACTCGTTTGCCCTGTCGGTAAGTCGACCTTTGCTCCGTACGTCTGCACCAGAAGCTGTAGTAGCTCAAGATAGCCGAAAGTGGCGGCATGGCATGCGAGAAGGTGTAAAAGTTCCGCTGGAACGCGTCTTGAACGGACGTTCGCGGGCCCTTCCAACCAGCCCAAAATCGGGTTATAGACGGCAGTGCAATGGTGCACTACTGCAATCTCCAGGGCGGCGTTGACAGCATCGTCCGCCTCGTATCCGTCCGACAGCTTAGTCGATGCGAGGAGGACTTCCACAACCTTGGAGTTGTTGTATCGGGCGGCCATGGTGACGGCGCTACCAATCTCCCGTACGCTCGTCGTGCCTTCAAGAATGTCAGTCACAACAGTGGGGATTCCGACTTGTGCTGCGAGCACGAGAGGGCCGGTCATGTCAAGGGATTTTGTGCTCTTGAACCTCGCCCAGTACGAGTCGTGCTCCTGCTTTCGCAGGACACCCATGAACGCGGTGTTCTCTGCCAAGCTCGAAATTTTTGCGGTGTCCACTTGTGCATCCTCAAGATGCTGTTGCCAAAATTCAGCCGCATACGCTGTCAGGCGTAGTACTGTCTGCGGCACGGAATCTTTCTCCTTGGTCACAATGCAGTTGATCAGGACGTCGGTAATCTCGCTGTCGCCAGGGATTTCAAGCTTGGGCCAGTCGTCTCCCAGGTGATCCTTTTCCTTTGAGAGGGAGTCGTGGAAGTAATCGCGGATGGTTTTGTTTGGAAAACATATCCTTTTCGCGGTGGCGCAGATGAGGGTGCCATAAATCGCTTTGAGAGCACGAGCCATGTCCGGAATGGAACGGTTGCTGCTCGAGAGCTGTATGCCAGCCCAAAGCTCGTCTTGCGTCAGGGGTCGTTTTGAGCAAAGAACCCAACCGATGGCAACTTTCGCCCATGATGGAGAGAAGCGGAAAGCGTCATTGACGTTGCTTTCAAGTGTTTCCCAAACAAAGTCCCTGGTAATGGTGTCTGGTATGACGAGATCAAGCTTCGCAAGGTTCTTCTCGATAACGGCGCGAAGGCCGTATATTTCTTCGGCGTTGTATCCACACTGATCCAGGATCAGAGACTTATACTGTTCTCGATGCGCCTTGGAGGGCCACGTCGTCGCAAGAACCTCAGAGAACTTCCTTAGGGGTTCTTTGCCAAAAACAGTGACGGGATCAACGACTTTCGCTTCGGCCCAAGGCGTGCCATCGACTGCTCCTGCGGCCAGTGTACGTCGATCGTAGAGTAAGACTAGCTTTATGACCGTTGTCTTGTTGCTTTCCTCGAGTCCGTCGGAACTGTCTATACCTTGAAGGGAGTGAAGACATTTTGCCGAGACTTCCCATTCCGGGTCGTTTAAGGGGAGGTTTTCGATCAGCACATAGGTCACTGCATTTTTGCCTGCCGCGTCTGACATTGGAAACCCGTTGGGCGTTGGAAGCGCGTTGGAGAGCAGCCTCCCAAACACCTTTGCAGCGTTTAGTGTGGTCCATGCACCAGTCGCTTTCAAGACTTTTGCGAGGTCCTTCACGCGACTGTAGAGGTGCGGTTTGTGGGAAAGCAGCTGATAGACAAGGGAACCCCACAGGCTGCTGGGTTGTCGTATCTTAACGCTGAAGTGGGAAGTAGAAAAGTAAAGGACAGGCCGCCCATTGGATCGCATGCATTGATAGAGGGCTTTGGCATCCAAAACACCCTCCCCGACGCCAAGAAGAGTGCCGTGTTTGGCGAAGTGCTCGTCGAGATACGCCAGAGCTGCTGGCTTCGCATGGTTCTTGGCTTGCTTCCACTGACTAAGCTCTAGAAAACGGTGCAGGTCGTCATCATGAGACTGAAACAGCTCGTAGGGCGGAAACTTGGTGGCCAAGAAATTGAGTGTGCCACGATACATTCCGTTCGTTTCTGTCAAGATGCGTGAGTTGGTTGATCCTATGGCTGTACAACCCAGTTGGTTTTGCTCAGTTGGTCGTGCCACTCACCGGCGCGAATAGCACTCGCTATGTCGAGGAATACAGGATCGTCGTCACTGGTAAACGTGCACAGGTCTTCATGATTTCTCTGGCGGGGGAGTATGGTCTCGTGAACGACGCCCATGGTTGCCGAGTACGGAGGCAGAACCTGGCACGACACATGTTAGAGTTGGTGCCTATTTCCACTTTCTCGTCGCCCAGGCTATTCTTGAGAGAACATCCATACCGGCTGGTCTTTTGATTCTGCATCCACATGTTGGTAAACGTTGATGAATCGATATTCTGTTGCCACTGCGAGGAAGCTACTGGAAACGTCCTCGAGGAAATGCGAAAGACGCCCGAGGCGTGTGGATAGGTTAGGGACCATGCGTAACTTTGCCGGCGATGCAAGAATAATACTGAGCAGCAAGTCCTCCCACGACCCTTCGTCAAGTGCGCGGTGTGGTGTTCCAAAAAAGATCTAACGAAAAAAAGGTGAGATGAATAGTAACGTGTCAGCGAGATTTCTCCTTGGAACAAGGATCAAAGAGCAAGAAGGAGAATGAGCACGCACAATTCTTTTCGTTTGCTGTGCAACGTACTGGAAGCGCTCATTTTCTTGTGCTATGAGGAGAGCCTTCATAGGGGCGAACAGATTAGTATGGAATTAAATGCACAAAAAAGGGAAGTCAGAGGCGACAGAGACGACGGAGACGAGAAAGGAGGCGGAGAAGTTGACGCAGAGAGGCTCACCTTCTTGACCACGACGCCGCCGAGGTCGTGAGCCACAAACACGATTGGTGCCGACTGTTGATTTTCGGGAGGCTGATCGGTTAGCAAGCTACATAGATTTCTGTACGGACATACAAGGCCAAAGCTGTCGTACTTGCGGCGACCTACCTTCGGGGGACCTGTTGCTCTGTCCACCATGCTCAGGAGCCGGTTGGCCGCGCTCGTGAGGCCTTCTTCCGAGAGGAAACCACCGATGCTACCAGGGAAAAGATTGTACCGGAACACCTCGACGGCCACACCTTTTGTGTGCTTTCCCAGGAGTTCGGACAGCCAGTGACACGCAATGCGGGTCTCTGGAGAATACGCCGTCCATTCCCAGCGAGGGTTGCTGGCCAGGCCAGAGACGGCAATGAGTCTTTGGTAATGTCAGTTCGCGTGCCGTGCACAATACCGGTGGGAGAAGCGGCTGCGATACTCACCTGCATCTCGGTTCTCGCCGAGCAACGCTGGTATTGAGGCTGCCGAACTGGCCGAACTGCTCTGCCCTGTTCGGCGCCTCCGTTGCCAAATCCCAGTTCATCGCCGGCGGTCGTACAACGCGGTCGGGTCGAAGCAAAAATAACACAACACGCAATCGATTCGAGGGACGCGACAGACAGCAAAGACTGGGCGTCGCGTCTGTCCGCTTTCGCGTCTCTAGATATGGATGCTGATCTGAGCTTTCGTCGTGGTTTGCTTTCGCGATTCTTGGGTCTTTGGTGAAATGTTGATCGGGTCTTCGTAGCGTTGCAAAACACAGGGAAACGAGGGACGAGGGGTGCGACAAAACGCTGCCCCATCAAAACTGCAGCCTCAGCCCGCCATTTTGTCTTCCCTGTCAATGGTCACACTGCATCCTTTGGTCGTGTTCGAGGTGTGGGTGGGCGGCGCGCCCATGCAGATGCTGGACAATCAGCCGCTTGGTTGGTGGGCGCAGGCCGTATCAGGCAGACGATGTTGCAGCGCCTGAGCGCTAACACACCACTCACTGCAACCCATCACCCCATTCTCCGTCATGGAGGAGGCTCGGAGGTGGCTGGCAAGGCAAGGCTTGTCAAGCCAGAGTGGAGGACGGGGGGGTGAGAGTTTGTGGGAGTGTTGACGATGAAGGGACCACTGGGGTCTTTCTGCAGAGCCGCGACTTCCTGTCTTATCCCATGTACGAAGTAGTGCCGGGTTCCTTCCGCATGGCGACAACACTCAACTCGCAGCTTCCACTTTCTGCATCCCCTCAGACAAACGGACATTTGCTGCGTTGCCCTTTCCCCATTTTTTTTGCACCTTCCTCATGCTTTTGGTTCCTTGTGCTCTTTCCTGATTAACAATCCACCTGGCTCGTCCTGTTTACGGAGTATTAGTGAGAACAGCATCGCTCTTTCCTTCAATTTTGCTTGGTGACTTTCCCTCCTCAAGCCCCCACGTTCCTAAGAGGGCAGTCTCATTTTCTTGTCCCTCTTCTTTGTCTTCTATTTCCTCTTTCTGTCTCTCTGTTTTACGGAGTGCTGCCAGCTATACGCGACATCGATTGCTTTTCTGTCGCCCACGATGGTTTCGTCGCGCAAGGTGTCGGCGCCCCCCGTCGGCGCCTCCGCTGCCGGTGCCTCCACTACCGGTGCCTCTACTGCCGGTGCCTCCACTACCGGTGCCTCTACTGCCAATGCCTCCACTGCCGGTTCCTCTACTGCCGGTTCCTCTACTGCAGCCGGCAAGCTGCACAAGAAAAACACAGTCGAGATGGCAATGGCAGTACTCGAAAACTTGGATCTTGGCACAGGAGCTGCACGGCTACCAGATACCGCCAAGTATCTCGGCTTCGATGCCGTTTCTAACAAGATGCTGAAGATCCGGGCTCACACTCTGCATATGGGCCTGGCCAACCGGTTCAACAGCGAGGTCTGTGCTCCGGATCGAAAGAAGGTGCTGAAAGAGCTTTTGGAGGGTAAAGACCCGGAGACGGGGCGGCCGTGGAATACATCACTGCTCTTGGCTGAAGGCTCACAAGGCCTCATCGTCCACACCTTGCTGAATCCCAGCCAGTTTCTGGAAGACCCGTCCAAGTACAATTTCTGCCGTCTTCGCGCTTTCATTTCTCTCCTTTTGGAAATCGAGCCCTCAATCCTGGTGTCTTTTGACAAGAGTCGACGAACTCCGCTGCACTGTCTCATCTTCTCGGCCACAACGGAAGAGGACGAGGCGGTTTCGTCGACACTGCCTAACTTGACAAAAGAGGCCATCATCACATTCATGTGCACGAAGAATGGTTTCGACAGCCAGTTTCCCCGGCTGGCTAAGTCAAAATCGGGTAGAGGGGACAGAGCAACTAGCGAATGGCGGCACGTCGACAGACGTCAACGAGCCGTGCCGATAGCATCGTACCAGGACGACAGTGACGTGGAGAGTGTTGATGAACCTGTGGAAATGGCATGTTCTGTCTTTGGCGGAAGCTGCGCTGGTTACGACGAAAACGACCTGCTTTGCTGCATTTGCGATTGCGGCATTGCCATGGAGGATGCCCTGACATCGCTCCAAGAGCTCTCCAACATGGATAGTGGGCTTCTTCAATTCCATGCCGTCCACGCAGCTATTGAAGAGGACATTGCATTCCCTCCTGCTGTTGTCGATGCGTTAAGCCCCTGCTTTGATATTGTGGACAGTTTCGGGCGGACTTGCTTGCACATCGCCCTCAGCATGCCCTTTACAGACACCAAGATACAATGGGCCAAAAGCCTTGCTCGCATGTGCCCCCGGCTTCTGGCCGAGTCATGCGACGTCTATGTTACTGACAGCAAAAAGAAAAAGGCCACGCCACTTCAATTTTTGGCGGAGCAGCGGTTTTTGGATCCGATGCCACGACAGAGACCAATCAAAGCTCAGAGCTACCGGTTTGGCCAGGACAATGCGTTGGCCATTCTCGACATTCCAGCGCTGACGACGACCATGGATACGAAGCTCGCCGCCCTAGAAGACGATCTCAAACTGCACTGCCTGGCTGCGTTTGAAGACTCTGAGATTTGTCGCAGTTTCATGTATACGGAAAGTAACGGTTCGTCGTTTCCTATGCCTGCTGTCATCATTGGCTTACGGCCCTTTCCGAAAACAAAAAAAAAAAGTTTATTTTGCGCCGTCTCTAACTTGGGTGATAAACAGAAAAGGAGATTGACTTTCCATTAAAGGACATGGTGATTTCTAAAACGACACTTGATAGCCTCTGCCAGCACTTTCAACCTGACCGGCAGCTTAAGAGTGTTTCGATCGAGAATGTACTGATCGAGTGGGATCAATCAAGCAAACCGTACCTGGATGCCCAAGCCTGGGGCTGTGCTGGCAATTCGGACCTGTACCTGGCCTTCAACTGGTTGAAGCAGGCCAAAAGTGTCAGGAAGGTCTTCCAAGTATCCGTGAATGACTTTGACGACCAGTCGACTGGTTGTGTTTGGAGGCGGCACAGTGACAAGGCCATTGTTGAGTGCCTAAAGGGTCTCGACGTTGAAACGTGGGACTGGAAGCGTTTCGACATCCCGTGCTCAGCCATTCAGGAGGCTGCTGGGGACACAGTAAGGACGCTGTACCTTTACAGCAGCGGCCTAGACGCAGTCTTGGAAAGCTGGGCTTCGCTGAGTGGCCTGCCGCGATTGCCGAAACTTGAGTATATCTATCTATGCGCTGGGCAAGGCCTGGAGTCACAGGAACACGCCAAAAATTCTGCCTCGAACTTCAAATCCACCATTGAGAAGAACTACAAGGCAGTGAACGGAAGAAGTCTCGAGGCTGTCGAGTTTGCCATGCTACAGACCCCAGAACAACGCGCCCTGGACGACAGGAACAACTCCGTCAGTGCAAGCGAGCACGAAGCGTATGTGCGACCTGCCCTCGTCAACGGTTGGAAAGCGTGTTTAACAGTCTTTGTGTCTCAGGAACGAGTGGCTTCACAGCATGGACCAGTTCTCTGCATTTATGGACCAAATTGGAAAGGTATGTTTTGTTCTGGAGTCAGTACGCAGCACGGCCTCCTTGTCCTGACAGGTGCATAAACTGACTTATAAAGGGCGCATCCAAAACGCCAATCAAAGTGGCTCTCATCGACGACGGCGTCAAATCAAACTACCGTGCCCTCGACGACAATATTCTTTGTGGCCAGTCGTGGCCAACCCCGAAAACCATTCCACAGAAAACCAAAGTTCCGCTTGTTGTTACGTCTCCAAAGTACAACAGTTCACAGACGGGACACGGAACAATTATGGCGTGGTACATTCGTCGTATGTGTCCCAACGTCAAGCTCTGTGTCGCAAAGCTCGATCCTGTTGTCCCGGCAGTGCCAACCGTCGATGACAAAGTCACTTTTACTGTCGAGTCTGTTATAAAGGTACGTTGCATAAGCCGCACTTTTGTCTTTTCTCTTGCAAGGACATATTCCGGATGGAAATTCTAACAAAATAGGCAATTTGGTGGGCCATTACAAAGAAGGTCGACGTTATATCTATGAGTTGGGCTATCGATGACAACATGCCAACCGAAATAAAAAATTCTCTGAGCCGGGCCATCCGCCATGCAATCGATTCAAACATTTTGATTTTCTGCGCCAACCCTGACAAAGGTGCCGAGTACCCAAACAACCTCACGTACCCATATCATCTCGAGAAAGAGCGCATCTTCTGCATCGGTGCCGCTGGACGCAACGGCAAGCGGTGGGACTGGATTGATGCCAGGGACAAGTCGTGCGACTATCTGCTACCCGGTGTCGACCTCGAAATCCACATGGAGGCAAAGGAATCTGCTAAACCAATCGTGATCCAACCGAGCCCTTTGATATCCGCGGAAGCCCCCCTCATCGAACGCCCTCTGCGCGAGCGAAGCAAACAGAGTGGAAGTTCGCTAGCTTGCGCACTGGCTTCCGGTCTGGCCGCGATGATCCTGCACAGCTGCCGAGTGAGCGGAGCCACATACAACGAAATTGATTATTTGAGGACATTTGATGGAATGAAGAGTGCTCTCAACAGCTTGTACCCCGACGGAGGTGCCGCGGCATTGGCTGCGGGCGAGGGTCAATGGCTACCGGCCTCGTCCTTACCATCAGGACGAAACTATGCGCACATCAGCTCGACAGACAAGAAACTGAAAGTGTTGGAGGAGACAGTGGCAAAGTTTCTGGAAAAGATGCCAGGCGATTATGTCCCCACGGTACCGCCAAGCGGCCGACTAACAAGAACGTCAACAATGAACGGCACTGGCTAGAACCTGGTGCCATCACAGACGGCGAATTAAATGTACAGATTACGGCAGCAAAGAGGTCTGAAAAATTACAAGCACTTTGTTTTGGTTGACAAATTCACTGCTCCTCGTTGTTTGGCTGAAAATCAGTCCATTGTGTCAATTTTTTTACAAATGGGACACGCATATCGAATAAACCCCCACACAAAACAGCCTTTGGAAAGGTCCAGGCCATTTGGTGCCAATATTGCATTTTCGAAAACACATCAGCTTTGTGGTTGCAATGCAACGCTGCTGCTCAAAAGCAAGGCAGCCATTAACATGTATTGGATGTGCTGCGCCTCGCCAGCTGAATGCACCTTTGTGTAGCATTCTGCCGACGGGATTGACACCCCCGGTACGAAAACACGCGCTGCGGAGTAATACGACGTACTACAAGCAGAAAGCCAAGACACTGGCCAAATGCGGACCGACCCCCTCCTCACCAGTTCCGACGCAATCTCGTGGCAGCTGTTTATTTTCACCAGGCGTCAACAGACGCTGGGGTTTGAGCTGCACCAACGATGGCCACGGCACATTCGTTGAAGAACTGCTGCAGCTTTATCTGAATGGACGAGGCTTTTTAAAAGATGGCCGGCCCGATGTCTCCTCAATAGCTGACAACATTGGCGGCGAAATAGACAAACAAGCACAATATTGCTCTCACACTCGACAACGCAATATCAGAACACACGATCCACAATGGAAACGACCGGACGAAAGGACGATGTGGTCGTCTTCAAGATGGTCGACGCTTTCAACGGCACCGACCCTAGCACTGCGACCACTGAGCTCAAGACCAACTTTCAGCTAAAGGGCACATCTCTCGGCGGCGAGACGCCCAATGCAGGCGGCATTGTTGTGGATGAAGATGTTGGCGTTGACTCGCTAACAGTTCAGTGCTTTGTCGAGGCGGTCGTGCACGGTACATTGACAAACGACCAGTTCTCCGAGCCGGCGTCGCTGTTTATCTTCCAGTTTGCGTTTTGTCCGCGCAGCCGCAGCCGTCGCTTTCGCGAAATTGCCATTACGCTGACATTCACGGCGGGCACGGAGCTGACGATCCAGCCTGAGAACCGTTGGAAGACTGGCACCACAACAATCGACCGCCAGCGCAGCCACACCATCAGCCCGTCGTTGCAAGGCGCCGTGGGCCCGGCCACGGGCACGTTGTCATATCAGTGGCAGCAGACGGACTCACGCAAGATCGATGACCATGTGTGGATTGAAGGTTTGGTCAAGGCGCTAAGCGAGCGGCCCGACGGCAAGCGCGTCCCGGACAGTGCCGTGTGGGAGCTCCACGAAAACCACCAGACCAAAAGCGGCGTGCCAAGCTTCTTCCGAACGGCTATACTTTTGAAGCGGGCGAGCGCGCAGCGCAACGAGCCCTTCCAGGCGTTTCTGTCTATCACGGGTGACGTGCACACACACGTTAGCGATTGGGCCAAGATCCGCGGCATCAAGGGGGACGACAGGGGTGGCAGCAGTCATCAGCCAGCGCGCCGGCTGCGCAAGGGCGCACCCGAAGTCGATCCGGAAGACACAGACACCATTCCGATGACGGCCGCCAAAATCCCGCTCTTCTTCAATCCTACGCTTCCCGACCGGAACCCGCTGGGACTGGACAGGACGAAGCTGCAAAGCATCGATCTGAGCCAGTTCAAAGGACTCGTACACGTACGCAACTGGGCCGAGAGCGCGGAAGAATCCCAACAGTCGCAAAACGGAGCCGTTGGGGCGCCAGCAGCGCCAGCCGCGCAGCCTCAAGCGCAACCTCCGGTGCAGCCTCCGGTGCAGCCTCCAGCACAACTTCCGGTACAACTTCCAACTCAACTTCCGACTCAACTTCCGACTCAACTTCCGACTCAACTTCCGACTCAACTTCCGGTACAACCTCCCGCACAACCTCCGGCTCAACTCCCAACTCAACTCCCAACTCAACTCCCAACTCAACTCCCAACTCAACTCCCAACTCAACTCCCAACTCAACTCCCAACTCAGCTTCCGACTCAGTTTCCGACTCAACTTCCGGAACAACCTCCAGCACAACCTCTTGCGCCGACCAACAACACTGCACGTGAAACCGCCCCAGTTGTCACAGAACCTCCCACACCAATTCCTACAACACAACCGGCCATTGCTGCGCCACTTCCTCCCGTCACTCCCATCCGGTCCCCGCCGCAGGTCTCGGACCTATCAACTGTCGGACAGCTAGACGCTAGGCTGGCCGGGCTTACAGCGGAACTGGCGCTCGTGGACGAAGAGGCGCAGTACATACGCCGCATGATTGAGCTGGTGGCCGAGAAGCGGCGTCTTGTCAAGGAGACGCACGCTTTGCATGCACTGCGCAACGGCGCTCTCAGCACTGATTGAACGAGGAATTGCTCCGGCGTTGTGACGGATTTGTTTTTGCGTGCCCCGGGTCCTTTGTTTGATATCCCATATAGTCGCCCCGTGTTGGACGCAATTTTGGCTACTTTGTTTGCAGTTCCTCTAGTTGGCTGATTGTCATGTCTGATGTTTCGCGATTTGATTGTTAGTATAAATTAAGAGTACCTTCCCCTGTCTGCGGTTTGCAGCGTCAATTTTAGAATACCCATCGTCTTAGCCCAGAATCCCATGTCCAAGTTGTATCTCGGGCCATTGCCTCTGCAGAACATAATGAAAGTAAAGAGTTCGAAAACAAATAAAGAATGGAAGACAGGATGTAACAAAATGCGTAAATGTCTGATGTGAGAGCTGGAACCATGAAATGAACGTTCCTTCTGTTTCGAGGTCGGTCCGAAGCCGACGGAAAGGCCTCAATCAGGCGTGGCCGTTGGTCACCGGCGTCGCGCTAGGCTCTAAGGGACCGAATATATGTCAACAAACCCTGCTGATCACGATGCGCCAGGGCGGCAAGAAGCACCACAACACAGCTGCACCACCGGAGTAACGCACCTTGGGCGTTGCGGCTGCCGAGGCCAAGCACAAGGCGCAACCAGTATCCCAGACCCTTGTTGACGTTGCCGTTGCGGTCAAAGTTGGGCTTGGCCGCCAAGAAGTCCACCATGCGGCGGTTGCTCCAGTCGTACGGCATGTAGCGCACGCGCAGTAGGCCCTCCATCCAGGACGGGGTCTCGGCGACGCTGCGGCGGTGTGTGAACACGTCAAAAGAGGCGCGGCCGCGGTAGGCGCCGGTGCCGGAGTGGCCAACACCGCCAAAGCTCACGGTGTTGGGCGAGCCGTGCATGAAGGAGTCGTTGATGGACGCGCCGCCCGAGGTGACCTCGCGCAGGACTGATCGGTCATGTTAGTCAGACGGTACACAAAAACTGAAATCGTATGCGTACATATCCACATAGCATATCCATAGAAATACCCATATACAGGCGTACCTTTTTCGTTCTCAGCCTTGCTGCCAAAAGTGTACAGAGACAGCGGTGTGGGATCGACTTGGTTGGCAATGTGAATGGCGCTGGGCAGCGAGTCCACGGGCAGGATGCTGAAGATGGGGCCGAAGCTCTCTTGCTGAATCATGGGGTCCTCGACCGAGTCGACGAGGACGCACGTAGGCTCCATGAAGAGCGTCTTCTGGTCCATCTCGCCGCCCAGGACAATCTTGCCCTTGGTGTCGTCGAGCATCTTCTTGATGCGCGCAAAGTGGCGCTCGTTGGCGATGTGGGCCAGCTCGCTGTTGCGCGCCCCGTTGGGGAACGTCTTCTTGTGCGCGTCTTTCAAGCCCTGGATGAAGGTGTCGACGACGTTGCGCTGCACCAGAATGTAGTTGGCCGACATGCAGACCTGGCCGGCGCCCAGCGTCTTGCCCCACAGCAGACGGCGTGCCGCCAGGGCCAGGTCGGCGTTGGCCGTCACAAAGGCCGGGTTGCGGCCACCCAGCTCGAGCGTCACGGGCGTCAGCGTCTGCGCCGCCTTGGCGGCGACAATGCGGGCCACCTGGCGGCCGCCCGTGTAGAAGATCTTGCCCCAGCCGCGCTCCTCGCCGTCAATCTGGCCCAGCTCGCCGGGGTCGCGGAAGTCGAGCAGCGCGGTCGTCTCGGGCACGGCACCGTTGACGACCGAGTAGGCCTCCGGGTCCAGAGCCGACTCAATCAGCTCCTTGAGGACCATGGCGACGTTGGGTGCGACCTCGGACGGCTTGACCACGGCGGTGCAGCCGGCCGCAATGGCGCCGACCAGCGGGCACAGAAGCAGGTTGACCGGGTAGTTGTAGGCACCAATGATCAGGACAGCGCCCAGCGGCTCCTTGCGGGTGCGCAGGCCGGCCGCGTAAAAGGTGAGGCCGATGTCGGGCGAGCCCAGCTTCTCGTCGGCGGCCAGCTTGTCGAGCTGCGACAGCAAGAAGAGACAGTCGTTCGTGACAAAGTCAATCTCGGTCATCCTAGACTCGTACGCAGACTTGTTGAGGTCGCGGCGCAGGGCCTCGATGAGCTTGGGCGTGTAGTCGACGGTGGCCCAGTAGAGCTTCCGCAGCTGCGTTTTGCGGTACGCGAGGTCCTTGGTGCGATTGGTGCGGAAGGCCGCGACAGCCGTGTTGCACTTGGCCGACACGCTCTTGAGATCCGTGGCCGCAAAGGGCGGGATCTCGATGCTCTTGGTCGCCATGGCTGAAAGCAGTGGTGAGATCTGTGCAGCCCGTGGTCGCTTAAGAATAGATGCCGTTTTGGGGGCGGTAGTTGGTTTGGGTGGTGGTGGAGTTGCTGCGGTGCGCTAGACAGTCGTTCCGGGATCGTATCGATTGCCGCCAAACAGAATGCTGACGGAAAAGCGACGCTGGTGCGTGCGATTGGCTGGCCCAGAAAATTGTTGTGCCGCGGAATGATTGATGTACTGAAGTGTTGTGAGATGCCCAACAAAACCAGCAATAGGGATCTGTCCAGATTTGGTGATGAAGTTGGCAGAAACAAAGTCTGGCAGAGGAAAGAAGCAAACAAAATGAAGGGCAGGTGCGACGGGGACACCAGGGGGGCAAGAAGCACCAGTCCAGATATACGCCAAATTACCCCACACGCTTTCGTAGTGTTAGTTCACAGGCTGCCGAGGCACTGTCTCCAAGAGGCAAGGGCGCGTGGAAGCTCTAGTGCCAGTCGCTCCTCTTTCCCCCAGTTTCTTGAACAAATAAAGTCGGGGCAGAACCGTGCCTGGCTTCACAAGATGTATATCGTCCACTTTGTTTGCTGAATAATGTACATGAAAGCCTGGGACGTACCGGAAGGAACGACGTGCGACACTGGCAGGTACGACTAGCGCGTAGATACCGTTTCCAAGACAGCAGGCAGCCAAGAGAAGATGGCGGTTAGATACAAAGGCAGAAAGGAAGATGTCACAGATGTGGCCTCACCGTTGAGAGTGCGGTGCGACAGCTCTTTTTCCACTGGCCAGTTTGCAGTCGGCCAAATTATGAACATCTAAAATGGGAAACAAAATCGTTGTATAATATTCGTACAGCCGACACCAATATGGCTTGTCCAAGGCAAACTATGTATTTACAAGTGGAACGCGTCGCGTCAAGTCGACGCTCTCGCCGTGTGCGTGTCCCGTCTCATCACATTACATGATTTCACGCTCATCTCATCCATCCGCATTTATCGCTGGAGTGGCGTCTGGGGACGAGCGGGTCGCAACCGAGCAAACTCTGCGACCTTGTCGCCAATGGCGCTCTGGGCAGATGCAGGCGCAGCCAGGGAAGCCTGGATGCGCTGGACGCCATCGATCAGCGTGCCCTGGGCGGCCTTCGTCTGATCCAGCAGGTAGCACTGGGCACGAGCCGCCTCGAGCTCCTTCTTGCGCTCCTCGGTCAAGCGCCACTCTTTGGGGAAGCTGGGCTTGTACTTGAACTTGTGGTGGCGGGTGTCGAGCGGAATGTCTTCAAAAGTGTCTGTAGGGTCCTGCAGGGGGGGTAGAGGGTTAGTGGTGGCCGTCACCATGGTGGAACAGCGAAACAGCAACTGGACCTACCTTGGCCTCGGCAATCAGTCGGTCAACCAGGTCGCCCAGGTAGCGCTTGTTCTGCGCCTGGTGCTCAAACATCTCGCAGCTGATGCGCACAATATTTGTCTCCGGGTTGTAGCGCACGCCGGCCAGCTTCATGAGCTTGTTCTCCTGGACGGTCGTCAGGCCCAAGTCGGACGGGCAGAACTCGACCACGACCTTCTTCTCGGCCGGGTGGAGCTCGCCCATGTACGAAGTGTAACGGAAACGCAGGGGCTGCTGGTTGCTCGGGGGCTCAAACGGCTTTGCAAACTCTGTGCGAGAGCAGTTAGGAGAAGCAGGAAAAAATAAAGACAACGTAGAACAAACAACCACGAAACAAAATGGATACTCGACACTCGACACTCGACACTCAACTTCACTTACTTGCCAAAAGAGGCATCTCCCATGCAATGATGCGTGCCAGGTGGCGCTGGTCGCGGATCTCCTCGAGCTTGCCGTGGCCCATGCTCGTCATTTCGTCGCTGTGGTCCACGTCTTCGGGACCTTCTTCTAGAACCATTTCCGGTTCCGGCTCGTCCTCGTTCCAGAACTGGTCCCTTCCCTTCCGGTCTGGGCGACTCGCGATGGATAACGCATGTTCCACGTCCGCCATCGCCCGCTCAGCCTCAATCCTCTCCCGTGGGCTGAGATTCTTGAAACCGTCGTCCTCATCGGCCAGCATCATGTCTTCAAAGCTCCTGTGCTCCTGCGCCTTCCCAGGTTCCCGCTCGTGGCCCTTGGACGACCGCACCTCGTCGTCAGCACCGCGCCACGCCGTGCTCGAGAAGTATCGTGCCCTCTCCGTAGGTGATGTTGCGACTGCTGTGGCTGCTGCTCTCACGGCGCGTCTGCTGGAGGATAGGGAAAAGGTCGTCGTCGTCGCTGGTTTTGTCGTAGCGGCTGCGCAGCACCGGCGCATGCCGAGCTGCAGCGACCGGGAAGAAGCGCTCGCCATAATTCGCTGATCGATCTCACAGAACCGGTGCCGTGGAGAACAACAACCAATTGACCGTTTGTCGGCTCGCGTGTCTCAATATCGAGAGATCGAATGTTCAGTGGGCACTGATTTTCCGCACGGCACTAGTTTTTTTCTCGCGAGCAATTGGAAGGAGAATCGGCGCTAGGCGACTTTTGTCGGAACGTACCCACCCACTGTGATTATGTAATGGCTCAGGATGGCCGCGCCCCACCAAAGAGCGCCAAAAGCTCTACTATAGCGGCTGTACTCAGTATTACAGAGCGGCTTCAGGCCTATTGAGGCATCTCAGCGCCTCTTTGAACATCACCAAAACACTGCGTGACCTACAATTCATCTGTAACGGCCCCGATCTTGTAAGTCAATGCAGATTCTAAAAGCTTTGACATGCATTTCATACTCCCAAACCGACGGGGCGTCGCTT